CAAATGTGCATGTCATACTAAATCTCCATTTTTATGGGTTTCGGAATTCTTAAAATAAAATCTGAGTTAACAGACAGGTGCGCAGCATTACATAAATACCTTGGGTCCTGAGGGTCTTGTAATCTCAAAAACGTATAAATAAATTATAGACAACCGGCTAATCCAAGAAACCAGGCGGTATTGCATAAGTTGGTTGTAGAAAAGCTGAAAATCACCTCCAAAATACACTGACTTTACTTTTTCATAACCTACTTGTAGGGCGCGATAACGCGCAAAACGAAAACCGTCTTTGTGTGACGTAACAGCTGTTTAGCCACAATCATTGTGTACCATACCATGGCAGTATTTGGGTAGGTAAGATCAAAGTGACTATAGTGGTTATAGTCACTTTGGGTAAGATATAGCAGCTTTCTGGTAAAAAAGTGAAAGGAAGTCTGACTTTTAATTCATATCACTCACGAACCTGACCGTTTTAATATTCCCTTTTATTTGTCTCAACTTAGTATTCTTTTCGCATTTTTAGGGTTTTCGAGACACCTGGAATTGACTATCACAGGGTGGTCCACACCCTGACACGCGAGCCGCATGCGGCCCGCAGAACCATTTTATTTCTAGCGTATACTAAATAACTAAACCATTGTCCCGTATTTGTATTTAATGGCAGAACATTTTTGAACTATTCCAATTTGGGTTGGATCTCGAGATTTAAACAAACCCCTTTTTTAATTTAATGTCGAGAATGAAGTTTGTTAAAATCACAGTATTTCAATGTTGTAACTATAAACGTCGAGACGCTGTCGATATGTGTATGACGTCCTGTGATCGGTACAAAGAGCCTCACATGCAACTCGTCCTTTAGAAAGATGTTTTGTGCCTTTATTTTAGTAAAACAATCCTCTATTTTCAATTGTGGACAATGTGAAGGCAGTGACGAAACGCTGATCTGACTTGGCGCCGCGCAATCAAGTTTTTACATCCCGAAATCCCAACTTAGACTGACTTAGTTATTCTTTGACGATAGCACTAGGCTTGCTCACGCTGCAATTTACAAAATCAGTCAAATACGCAATTCATCATAAATTGAGTCTTTATAGAAAGGTGACAGAGGAATTTTGGAGAAAACGTATTTCCTTGCTCACAACAACAATGAAACAGTGTGCTTTCAAGTAATATTTGTCATGAAAGAATATATTTTGAAGCTACATTACAAAACCAAACACGAGAAAAGATACAGAAAACCACGTTATTTCTCTGAAAGCAATTTTAAAATATTTAAAAGATTCATATATCTTTCTGAGAATGAAAATAAAAACGCCACCCATGCAACATAACAATAGGCTGATTAGAACAGTAAGCTTTCATTTTTAATTTATTTGAGGTAACTAAACTCGCGATTTTTTGATCACTTTTCGGTTTACTCCAACTGCGGCCCGCGAGACCTTCTTCAAACGTTTTTGCAGCCCTCCAACCTCGCAATCTTGGACCACCCTGTACTAAGACGAAGATATAAATAGCCGAATATAAAAGCGCCCTCATCGTCTACCTACAACACATGTAAAATATGTGATAAATATTTATTCGTTTTACTCTAGATGCCAAAGACATGGTATTTGGGTTTACACACAAACGATGTTTTGATGTCAAAGAATGTTCTTTGCTGCGAAATAGAAAATGTTACATCGACATCATACGGCGGCTCTATGATGATCACAGAATATCATCAGAAGTAATATTTTCCCTAAATTTCTCTGTTATTGGAATCATTTGTATTTCTTTGCTAATTACTGTCTAGTATTTTACCAAAGTTGTGAATGTGAACTGTGAAATATTCTACGTTTTTTTTTGCAATACCTTCGGATATATGAATTGGAACCGCCCACAGATAAAACGGACAACGGCAGCTAATTATACCCCGGCAGATATTCCTGATTTTTTTTAGTCACTGTTAGTAATAACTGGATAATATTGCAATTTGAATCGGCGCTTCAAATTAAATCAATATTTCAATAAATTACTATAATGCGCCCGTAAACATCCATTTTAGTTGGGTAAGAGGAGCTTATGGTAAAGTACCTGAATTAGGTGTGTTCATATTTTTTCCTTTCATTTGCAAATTTTATTTAGTTCAACCGCAATCGTTTTTTCTGCTCACTTCATTCGACAAGACAATGGTGTTTACGCAGTCGATAAAAATGATCGTGAGTACACCCTTACCCAACTGATATAATATTATTGTAGAATAAGCACAGAATGATTGCCTTCCCGGCCCAGTCTTAAACTCTAAATAAACCTATAAGTCTTCATAAACTACTTATTGAAATGCTCGATGGAACAATGTTGATGTTACTTGTATAAATCATACCAAGTGGGGCCAAGTCGGAAAGTTGAGAAGAACAGCTTCCTTTATAATATTCATAAATACAGTTCCGTATGCATTAAAACAGGCATTGGAGTACCGATTCTAATTCTAACAGCAATAATTTCCACTTGATTTACCGGTAGTTATATTATGCACTCAGAGCGCGATCAATTCTTTACAAATTCGATTACTCAGATTTGCAATTGAAATTCCTGATTTCACTTTGTATTGTAATTTTAAGATGATGCGATAATTGAAGCTGAATCTCGGTATCCTGATGGAAAAACCAACGAAACTGCTGCCAGATTTGGTGAATTAATTTTCAATACATATCTCAAGAGGTGAAACCCCCACCCCAACCATCTCGCCTGAGGGTAATAAATTGAGGGTAGGCCAGTGTTCTTTAAACATTTTTCATCTCGGTCCACTCGGCGCAACCACTCTTTTTGCAGAGCTCCAGAAACTAAAATAAAATTAAAGAAAAATTTGATAATAAAAATATTTAAAAACAGTAACTAAATGAGAGCGATGTGCTTGCATATTTTTGCACAATTTTTTTATTTCAATGATAGTGGGTCTCAGTGCTGGCGCCAAATTTGATAGATATTTTGTTTTATTATATAAGTTAAGTGTCAAAATAGATTTTACGCGACCCCCATTAAGTCCTTCCGCGACCCACCGGGGGTCGGGAACACCAGCTAGGCTAGGCGAACAGAATAGATTTCAGTTTTTTCAAAAATAATAATCTTCTTATCAACGTATATTTTTATATAGAACTTTGTCTCGTGATCAATTCAAACAACAAAAAAACGTAGAACATAATTTATTTAGTATTCGCTAAAACTGATATCTTATTGTCGGCAATAAACGTCCAGAAAACTTAACAAAAATTGAAACGTTCAACACTACTGCAATTGTATCGAATAATATTGTTTTATGCTGTATTAGTTACATTCTATACGCTTACTTGAGATATTGCAAATAGAAGCGTTCTACTTCGAATTAATAAATTTACTTCTTACTGTAGACAAGGCCAGGTTGAATTCTTCTACCATTGTTCTGAGTGATGGAAAAAACTACTTGATTTTTGCATGGTGTGTCTTTGGTATGTATGACGAAAAATTTATATTTTAATCATTGTCCTGAATTTTGACATCGTTCAGGAGATTCTGAATTATTCACATCAGTACAAAAAAAATACTGCTTACTATATTACTTCTGTTACTTACTTCTGTCATGCATATAGCTAATTTGTTACTTTGTCGTTGTTAATCTTGCTGATATTGCTTTGAATTTTTCAGTGGTCAACTTGATCGCCGCCGCCTTTCTTGATTTCCATTGACTTACTTATTCGCCATCAACGTATTTAATTGCCACGAACTTTCCTAATCGCCACAGACTTACCTAATCACCATGGACATCATTTGACCATCCCTCATTTTTCAGATAAATGGATCGTGTGGACGCTATTTCCTACATCCACGCCTACTCAACATCAAATTAATAAATTCCAACGGGCTTTGGATAAATATGGAATAAATGCAGACATGGATCCTTGCCAACAAGTTGATGCAAATAAATAATTGAACCAAACAGATATCGGAGCATGGAAAATCATATTGTGCGCTGAATATTAGCGATTATGAAACTTATACCATTATACTGCAATTAATCTTTTTATCATTGAAGTACCGCATTCTAATGTAGCTATTATATATATGCTTTTTGGGGGACCAACTACTACATATTATTCTCCTATGGTCCTATGTCCTTTATTAAAACGTTTCATAGTTGGCAACCCTAGTTCCGGGACAAAAAAAGTTTGGGAAGCGCTGCAATATATCATCGAAATTCTGCTTCAAACACAGGCCACGATCAATGGCGACTTTTCGACGTTTAGTAATACTTGATCAGTGTTAGGCATAGACAGCTTCTTTCATCAGATGTGCATTAAAATGAACTGACCCAAGGCCGGCTCTTATTACGACCATTGAAATATGATCGTAAACCAAAACACTCGATTCGAAGAACTAGTCTTAGCGTTGATTTTGACGTTAGAGTCGGCGCATACTTTGTTGCTTTGATCACGTTTCTTACATTTTGCACAATACCGAAAAATCTGACTTTTTGAACACGATAATTCACATTAAGTTTTTATTTATTTTTTTGAATTTTACAATCTTGCGATCCATGATTTAATTTACTATACCACCTAGATAATTATAAAACAACTTTTCAGAAATTAAAAATGTAATGAAATGAATAAAAATTAAAATAAGAATAGAAGAACATCGAATTCGAAAAGAAGAAGAAAAATTTAATTATAAGAAGTGATCTTTCGCAGAAATAAAATGAAAAATTTGAAATTTATATAACCATAATAATTGCCCTATCGAAGTAATTTAACAACAAAATCAGATGTGTAATGATAACTAATATTTTTTAATTGTATGATTTGGTCAAATAGAGATAAATATTGCACAAAAACGTGGAATTGCATAGAATATCATTAGTTCGTAAATTGGTGGCCAGTTGGCAAAAAGAGAAAAATTAATATTTGAGTGTTAAAGAAGCAAGAAAACAAAAAAATGAAACAACGTGTTTCATTGAATCTGCTGATATTGGTGGAATACAAAACTGTCTTCAAAAATTTTAATTCTAGATAATTCTAGACTGGCTGTTTTACAATTAAATAATACAAAATAATATGAGCTCATCTGTAACTAAAAATTGATTTGTACAAAAATTCTTCAAAAAATTTATTATGCTGTGGAGTCCGGCTGAAATAAATAATGTTAACGGTTAGTTTTTATATTGAATTGAGTAGAAAAAAAAAATCGAGCAATAAATTAGGATCAATCTATTCTAAGCAATTTGGATACAAATAGTTTTTTACACAAGTCAAGCTACCCTAAGTATGATTATGATTGAATGTTTTAGAAGATTACCACAAAGTAGTTAAGTAATGACTATCAGGCTTACTATTTCCATACTCGACATGGACTAGTAACAGGACAAGAGACCGGTGACAAGAGCCATATGTTTAATTAATAAGCAAGTTTATCGACCTATGTCTCTCCTGGAACAAATATGAAATACTATCGTACGTTAAAATAGGTTAAGAATATCAAGTACTCCATTCAGAATGATCAAACAAGGGTACATTTTCATGCGAGGACCAGAATAAATACTTTACGTTATCGTGTTTTAAGATATAATGAAAGAAAATTTCAATAACATTATTTAAATCAATTATCCTGCTAGTTAACATCACATCACGCCTATAAGACAGAACTAACCATTAAATGATTCACTGAATAAAACAAATAGCTGCATTTCACTTACAACTGAGTAAGATTAGAAATTGAAAAAATTTCAACTTACATTATAGGAAAGGGGATTATCAAAACCTTGAGATTCAGTAGGAGCTTTAGGTTTAGATGTAAATGAAGGTGTCGAGAATGTTGGCATCGATGGCATACTTTTTTCAGATCTGGTTTAATCGAAAATAGTAAATAGTATAAAATATTATTATTAAATATTTAGAATCTAAATATACATTTCTATATTGTTACGGAAGATTTACAAATAAAACCAATTTGTCTGTGATTAAATATGGATTACGGATTACATTTTGGTACCTAAGTATACGGATTAATCAATGCTGTAAAGCCGGTGCAACCTGCGGCGTGTGGGCTAAATGCGGCCCACAAGGAAAAATTGAGCGCCCGCGGAGAGGACCAATTTGGTATTGTATGTAGCCCGCGAAACGAGTTTTTAAATTTGTTTAATCTGGTATGTGCGAGTAATTCCAATCCTGTTGCGATGCAAAGCCTTCAGTTTATTTTTTAGGCCTATGACGTTACAATGCCCTAACAGCTAGCTTGTGTGGAGCGAACATCGCATGTCATAAGATCAATAATCAAAATTTTCGTGCCTGCAACTACCAGAAAGCCTATGTTTAATGAAGGTGCATACTGCGGTTTTACCCAGTCATTTGTATCTGGCCTTCCTGTCTTTAAGTGTGGCACATCCCTGCTGTAAAGGATTATGCTACGATACAATGGAAATATTCAAGTTATGAATTAAAATTAAGTTAGTTTTACCAAAAGTTTAAATCGCTTCCAACCATACCAATCGTAAATTGAAAAGATAAATATTTTGGCTCATTTTAAGAAATACCTTATTCGTTGAATCAATAGCTGCACACAGAACAATATAAATAATTCGCGTTTCAATTATTTTTTTAATTTGGTGGATAACGACTAAAACTAGAAATGAAAATTTAGCAACGAAATAAATATTCATTAATAAAAAAAAAATATTGTTAAATTTTACCCTTTCATGTAGTATACAATTCCTCCCACTAGTACCAAAGCTACTATTACTCCAATAACGATTCCTGCTATGGCACCTCCTGACAAGCCAGAAATTTCTTCAGGTGGTTGAGGAAAACCAGATGGGAATTCATCTGAAATAAACGTTTTGGTTGGTAATTATCATAAGTTGTACATATACAATTACACATTAAGTATAACTTAGGTCAGAGGCCAAAAATTTTCAAAATCACAGCACATTTACTTTCTGCAATGCAAATTACGATGCATTGGAAAGAAAATTCAATTCGCTACCTTAATTTACGATAAGGCAGCGTTTTATTATATGCACATTCACATATAATTAAGAGAGATTGTTTTCGTATACATAAGATATCATAACGCATTTAAATATTTTTAGTTGTACTTATCTCTCGACTCGTTCGTTATTTTTACCAGGTTTGATTATTGTATTTAAAGTTCTAAAAATTTAAACTACATTACAATTCATTGCTACGATTGAGCATTCAAAACAAAAAAAACTTCCAAACTTTTCGAGTGAATTCGGCTTTCGATGAGCCTTACATCTTCTTATAATTGCACTTTCAAAATTTTAGTACTTGAAACGATTTGAGTATATTGATAAATAATAGGATCCCACATATTAAATATCACGCACTCGTTAGCAGTGCTGGGATTCAAATTTTAAAAACAGGTTTCCTTTTTATATTAAACTTACTAACAACAGGTTCACTTATTTCTGAAAATGTATGTATGCCACAACGTAAGCTACATAATTATGACACGCTTTACATAAATCTAATACATAATTTTTGAAACGTCAAATATATATAACGACACTAGTAGTCAAGGGCGGTGCACGCTATCCATTTGCTGCGGTCTTCTCAAGTCTAAGACAAAAAACAAAAACGGGTTTGCGCTGAATCTCACCACATGAGAGAGTTGAACCAAATTTTATATTTAAGGGATTAAATTTCGAAAATATATATTTATTCTTGTTAATCATACCTCAATATCATTTTAAAGACCTATTAAGCCTTTTTTGTGTTACAATATATATATATCTTGTAACCATTATCTGGCACAGAGAGGTACACTATTAATCTATATCTGATAATTTATAAGCACTTACTTTCTGCATAAAAGCAGCCGGAATTATTCGCTGTAACATAAGTAGGATCGAAACAACATCCACGATGAGTTACACACAATGATTCTGATATTCCTTGGTATCCACATTCTATTCTATATGCAGATGGTACATAGCATCGTGTATATCCTTGAAAAAAATTTTGCATTTTGTCACTATTTAAATACGCAATATTTACAAGAATTGAGGAACAGAGTAATACCTGTGATTTTATCAGAAAAATGAATAATTCTTTTTGCCCAGAACAACGCCCTGGACAAAGAGCCACTGATATGTAGGAAGTTTTTATTTTAGAAAAGCCGGAATTTTCCGGTCGCAATTGCTTACGCACCAATTTATTACACCCCTGGTGAGGTGATGGCATGAGATTTATAACCTGCTGTGTCACAATAGCCAAATCCAACATATAACCAAACAAACTCGCAATGCTCATTTTATGTCTTGCTTTAACATAAAAAGTCATATTTTCAAACATCCCCTAATCGTGAGTCGGAATTGCAAATTTTCCATGGTGATGAGGAAAAAAGAAAAATCAAAAGCATTGAGTTCACCAAACGTTCTGAACTGCCTAAAAAGCCTTTTTGGTATACGTCAAAGTTATTCCCACAGCCCCAAGTACTATAGAAAGACAAATAAAAGTTGAGCTTAAAAGTTCAACAAAAGTATTTCGGTACAAATAATGCAAAAAATAAATATTCCCATCACCTGCAGGTTTCTTACACACATATCCTCTGTCTTCGTAACAGCTAACATCATTCCATGCCCCACTCCATGGATACATTTCAACACATTCTTCTCCATTGCCTTGTCCATTTGGTTCATTGTCATTCCAGTTTGTATATTCGACTGCTGTAGAATCGGACCAGATCCAACCATCTGAAATAAAAGAGTAAATTAGAACACAGTATAGATCATGGGTTTTCAAACGTTATAATCTCCTTTACAAAATTTGAATATAAAATTTACCCACAATTTTTTTATTTTCCCTCCTATAAATACCTTTAATTAAAGACACACAGGGTAAGAAGGTTGCATGAGAATAAATTTTAATGCATGGATTATAATAAACTTTCTTGTACAATAATCCCATATGGAAGCATAAAGCATAGATGCTACATGTATTTTCACGATGTTTCGAAAAGCACACAAATGCACGATTTTCAATTGTTGCTTCATCGATAACTTTTTGCTGAATACTGATTTAAAAATTGATACATAATGAGGAAGTCGTGATCAAGCAGACATTCATAAATCCTAAAAGATCACAATCTTCCAAATTATTTATTTTCTCATGCTTTAAAGAGTCTAAGGCTTAGAGTCTAAGCAGTTATCATTTACCAGAATGCTTTTATTGGACAAATTCTCACCATAGCCATTGCTGTATAACCCAATCCATAGATTGTGTGACGAAGCTCCAGCGATTGAAACAATAAAAGCACTGACTTCATCATCAGAATGAAACGATGCAAGTTCACCACCATGCACCTGACATTCATGTCGAGCTTCAAACCATGATCTTGAGGTTTCGTCAGTAATACCAGGCTAAAGACAAATAATTGAAAAATAAAGTACTGAGAAAAAAATATGGCTTTAAATTATTAATAATATTGAAACCAGAAAAAAATGAAGTGGTAGATATTTGATTGTGACAAAGGTTAATTTTCATCGTTTATCTCGATCGACTTTTTCAAGATTTTATGATTCATTTTTTTATAGCAATACCGTTATTTAACAATGAGTAACGAAATAAATAAATGATATATGTTAAATAATTGTATTGGATAGACGTCAATTCAATGCTTATTTACGAAGTTAGTTATTTACAAGTTTTCTTACTTGTTATTCGTAATTCAAAACTGACTTGATAAAAGGGACAAATTAATATTAGTTATTTCGTTTTCAACTTTATCTAGCTAGAGAACAATGTCTTATCTTATCTGAACTATTCAAATGGCAGTAAAAGATGTGGGATTCAAACAACAAAACTAACAAATGCATCGTTCACAAAAATTCTTTCACCATTACTTTGCATTTACATTAGCTATATTTTCATACCTAATTACGTCTACCGCTTATATCTATCGCGTAGCTCAAAAACACAAAAAAAAACATATTGATATTTATCGTCCTTACAAAGAGTCTTTCAGAAAGGCTGTGTCTAACCTTATATGTTATAAATGAGTAAAACCTACATTGATATAATAACAGAACTCATTGAATTCCGCGTAATTTGGATCACAATTTCCTTCTCGAATCGGTGGTTCTGTTGGAATAGGATCACGAGATATTTTACAGACAAAAGATGCCGTCGTGTCACAAGTTGTGGTTCCACCACCTGTCGTACTCCATTGGCCATTACTGGAAGAAATATAATGAGGTAGTTTGAATTGTGAAATATAACAAAATGGCGTTTTAGCTTTATACTTGTTTTTATATGCTCATGGAAAAAAAGAGGTGATGTGCGGAAGCAAAAATAAAACTCCAACAAACTAGTATTTGAATTCGAGTCAATTATTGAAAAATATATTTGTATGTATATAATTTAATATTGTCACTAATATAACTATATTAATAGCAGTGAATTTTTTATAGGAATGTGAAAATAAATATGAAAAATCATCATATTCATATAATATTTTTGTATTCTAATTCTTAAGACCACTTACATCACGTTCGCCACATTAACACAATTTTCCAGATTTTCTTCAGAGAAAATAATTAGAAGCGATTGTTTGCTATTAATTAATTAATTAATAATAATAATAATAATAATAATAATAATTAATTAATAATAATAATAATAATAATAATAATAATAATAATAATAATAATAATAATTAATTAATTAATTAATTAATAGTGAGTACACTATGGTGGCATCGATGATCAAAAAACCTTTGATTTATTATCTCTACCGAATTGATTGCGTTTCCTCTGGACTGAGAGTAACTAGTGTTACATGCGTATAGAAAAAAGTTCAGAAAACTTCATAAGACTCGAGACAAAAAAATGCTCTCATTTTAACTGGTGTTTTACCACATCTTACCTATTTATGTACACACACCCTTGATTACCAGCAGTCTGTGCTGTGTTTGGTTCTCCTTGTCCCCAGTTTGTATATTGGACTGGCCATCCATCTGTCCAGGAAAATGACGTATTGACAGAGTCGTCGTTATTTACCTGTCAGAACAAAATAATTGAATCTTATGGAATAATTGAGAATTCTGATAATTCGTCTTAGCGTGTGAAATGATTTTCTTAAAGTTTTCAATTTTCATTTCGTTAGAATTTGCGGTGTGACAGAGGTATTTAAAATTACGTTATTCCAGAGTAACTGAATACTTCAGAATTTAATTTAATTAAAACTGTTTGTTTATGAGTTTTTTTTTTGCGATTTCACTCTGAACAAGGCTTTGTACAAATGGTCACTGGTACGTAAAAATGTACTCTAGGTGGGATAAACCCCAAATCTTTAACCTCTGACATCAACGTGTAACGCTCTTGGAGTAACTTTAAATTTCCAAAAGTGGTTAATGTGAGACAAATAAGTGATCTTTTAATAAGCGAAAAATTTGTTCAAACAAGAAAATGCAGTCCAAAACTGATTTTAATTTGAAGTCTTCAAAAACACCCAACAGGAGAAATCAATAAATAGTGTCAGAGTGTGCTTAAAATAATGATGTGAAAAAGATTAATGAATGTGAACTGAAAAAACTTACAGAAACAGAATACGACATTCCTATCCATAACTTGTCATTTGATGTTAGTTGTCCTTTCCAAAACCAGCTATGAATTAATTCATTCTCGTATACGTGGCCGATGCTCATCAAATTGTTGCCTGAGAGATAAAAAAATATTTGATCGAGAATATATAAGTGTCTGAAAATATAGCGTCCAAATTGCCCCATTTATTTCACACATATATCGTATTTGTATCATTTGTCCCACACGCACGAGTACCGTATTTGTACTACTTGTCCCACTTATTTCACACCTGTATCGTATTTGTACCATACGTCTCACTCACCCCACAATTGTACCACGCTTTTCTCTTCGAAAACTGGACCAATTGCTTTGAAATTTTCAGGGATTGAAGATTGATGTTACCACAGAAAGCTATTACTTTAACTTATTTCCAAAATTTCTGTGGACTTCCAGAGATTCGTTTTTTTGTGTCAGAATAAAAAAGAGCAAAACCTTGTGACGTGTCCATATATTTGAGCATAGCTCTCTTGATTTATTTATGTACTCGCACGGAATTAATATTATTAATATACGTTCATCGGCGGCGAGAAAGAAAAATGAAGGAGTTAATCAGCGATTTAAATTTTTTGATTGAAAAGCGGCAATATAAAATACTGAAAATAAAACCGTAAACAATATATGTTTTGTTGAGGCCCGCCACTGTCTAAAACGAATTTCTATAGGGATTGGAAATCGCAAAATTGCATGTGGCATCGGCACACTTTATGTTTGGTCGGCGTTTAGAAACATATCGTCACTTAAATCGAAACACGGTTAATAATGGGTGGAATTTCCCTTTTTATCCATTACTTTAAAATTGCCTTAGAAAATTTACGTGTAATCACAAGGTTGAGAACTCGACTTTATTCAATCAATTTTTATTGTACTGAAATAAATTTTAAAATTTACAGCAGATTTACTGGTTTTTCAAAAGGTTTTATCTTTAAAAATAATCGGAGTAGCAGCATTGCAATTGAGCGGAGTCAGTGTTATAAGTACATCTCAAATTTGTCGAATTCGCAAAGTAGCAAAAATACGATCAAAACAATCTATAATCATGCAGTTTACCACAAATTTATATTTTTATATCCGCGCATTGCCGTGGTGTTTTAGAGTGGCTTTTGTTTAGTCGACGCAACCGCAGGTTAAATTGAATACAATTAAATTAATATAGCAAAACATTTTAAATATGCCCGTATCGGTCATGGATTGATGACTTTGCACAAGAGAAAAATCATTTTTTGTTGAAAGAGCGGCTCTTTTAACAAGTGGTGTGCGTAATCGCGACGACTGTTCAGCGTGGATTTCGAGGCGATAAATTTGCATGTTTGATTTACTGGTATACTTTATATGTATTTTTTTCGTATGAAATAAAATTGTACTAAACTGGATTTTATATCAGATATCGAGATTTTACTAATGGCGATAACGATTTAATGTATTTATTTTGACGTAAGAAATCGCAGTGACATTGGACACAATTAAATTGATATATAAGGACATTTTAGAATCTCATAGTTATCATGGATTGAATTTTATACACGACAGAAATATCCTTATATTCTGAAAAAGTGGCTTTTCTAACGAGCGCGTATCGTGGTGACTGTTACAGACGGCACCGAGAAATTCGGATTTTGCTTTTTTTTTGATTCGGAAAATCCTAGCTGCGCTCCTGCAGTTGTACCGTATTTGTTCGACTTGTCCCCCTGTACTAAGCTGGGTTAGATATGAAACTTGCCAACAAATAGTTACAGTAAGCATATAAAGTGGGACAAGTCTGGTACAAGTGTGGTACTATTGTTATACATGCAAATGATCAAAATACTGATGCATGTAAAGTAAAAAGGATTCTAACATACCTTTATCACGGCAATATTTGTCAGCATCTTGCCATGTTTTGGATTCTACGACGAGAAGATAGCAACCTCGGCCCCATGAATAATAATTTGACGGACAGTTATTGTCATTGGGTTGAGTTGGAATTGAAGGATAGTCTTCTGATCTACGTACATAACAAGCGAATGATTTTTCTTGATTGCAATCTGCGTCATTCCATCTTCCAGTAGATTGTGTACCCAACCACATCTCAGCACATCCTTCCTAAAAATATAGTGAATGGAATACATAAACTCTCGTTTACAAAATCTATATTCAGTTAGCCAACTGTTATAAAATCTCTGTGCTTGTTTGTGTGTGAATAAATTTAATATTTTTAGGTGAGTGAACACATACCACGTCTTTTGGCAAAACCCTCCAACTTAAAGTCTGTACGATATAAACCTTACGTTTTGTTTGACTCACTGATTCTAAAATCCTCTGCCGTTTAATAATGTTTGCGCACTCGGTCTTTGTTATTATTATAGAATTGAGACATTTTAAGCTAGATAAAAATGTCTAAAAAACTTTTTCAGATAGTTAAGTGAAATTAGTATCAATCAATTCTGACCTCATTATTCCAATTGTCTGGTTGTCCACCATCCCATGCAACGTATGTTACAGGAGATTGATCGACCCACACAAATGATCCGGTATTTCGGTGATAAAAACCAATCCAGCAGTTTGAAGTAATACCAGACAAATAACTAGCAAGGAAGGCCTATATAAAAATAATAACATAGTTATATGAGTATTGGGACAAATATTTTAAGAAAACTTTCAAAGTACAATACTATATTATACAGTATACCAAATAACATATACACATATAAGCAGCACAATTCATGATCCCACAGATGCGTCACAAAGTTGCAAAAAAAAAAATTGAAAAACACCACTATACAAATAAAATGCAAACCTCTTCAAATACCTAGCTTAAAATTTACAAAATACTAATGCATCTAAATGTAAAGGATTATGCAGTCCTTTGGTTTTGTACTACCATTCTGGGGGTACGGCTGTTAGGCTCTCCATCGTGGGACGTTATAGTTTTGGCTCTTTGTCATAAATTATTGCTCTAGCCTATAGGCCAGTATATAGACAGCGACAAGAACATCCGCTTGGTAATAGAAAATTTGGTAACAGAAAATCTTTAAAAGTCACACCATGGTGCGGAAACATGAAATAAAGATGGCCTTTCCGTCTGGACACTGTAGGATTTGGAATCGAAAAGAGAAAAACAGTTTTACTGCCATTGAAATGGCCCAAGCTCCCCAACTATCAGAAAAGCAATGATTGAGTATATATGTTAGCATGATTTGGTCTTACCTGTTCATATTCATTGTTAATAACAGCCAGTTCAGCAGACATACTCTGACATGTATCCGATGCATTCTGAAATTTTCTTGTGACGTCACGCGATGAATAATAGCACTTATTACCGTACAATGCAAAGCCTGGTTGTATGAGAATTTACATGATTACAGGGAAGATACGAATGAAGAATCTATACATAAATACGTTAGAAATCTTAAATGAGAAATTAACATACCGTCAGGACATCCTCCTGTAGGCGCTTCAGTAGGTGGAACTTCTACAGCTTGACAATCGATGCATTTCTCACAAATGAATGATTTTCGCAGCCCACAGTTGTCATCATTCCATAAACCCCGATCTGCAGCAATGTCAGCACAATCTGTAATAAGAAAACAGAAAAAAATATTTGGCATGAAGTGGACTTGGATCGTTTTGGCAAATTTTTGTTGCACTGTTTAAAATGACGTCTTTTTCAGAAAATAACGAAATCAGGTTTAAATATCCTACAAATTCTTTTATTTTTCTGTCTTTATTTTTAATTCACAGGCAAACCTTGAAACCACGTTCAGTGTAATACTTTTAACATTTGGCTGTAGTTTGCTAAGATTTTGATAGTCATTTGACCCTTGCGTCCCTTATATCTCATGATGGCTCTCTTGTTTTCAAACTAATAATGTAATTTCTGTTTGTAGATAATTATGGAGAGACTTTTCGTATACCGAGTTACTTAATAATAGAAATGTAAATGCTACACTATACCCTCAAAATATCTGGTATTTCACCTTTTAAATAGATTCACACTATGAAAAACGATAATTTAGAACGGAAAATAAGCTTTGCAACCTTTTTTTTTCTGTAGTCAGTGCTGTCGAATCTTATAAGTTTACAAGAACAGTAACGACCTGTTATGTTGCAACTTTTATTTTAGTTCATATAGGTTCTATAAAATCTTCCGCACAATGTATCACATATTCGAATACCTTCATTATTCAGATAATTGTTTGGTTCACCAGGCCCCCAGTTAACATAATCCAATAATGAGTCATCAGACCAGTAAAAACTTCTTCCACCGATGTCCTGTAAAAATATGAAGAATTTGGCCATCAGACAATTAACTGCAATAAAATAATAATAAGAATGGAATAATTTTGAACGGGAGGCGATAATATTAATGTAAGATATTTTTCAATCTAATTCTACACCGACAATACTTCGATCGATTGCATTTCTTATCATATTACTTAAAAAATTAGAAAATTTACAACTTTGGAAGTATCGTTTTCTTCGATAGTTCAAGTCATTTAATCCCGGTTTAAGGAACTTCATCTGAGATTCAAAATTGGAAACGCTTTTTTTATGTTTATTATAATTTATGGTATATGGTTTTTTTTTCAACCATGACTCGATAAACTAAGACGTTATCGGTTCTGGCATATTTTTATTTGACGATAAACACATAAATAGACAACATCAACTTGTCCATATTACTTAGAATTTTAAAATCCATCACACTTGGCGACTGAAACTTATGGTTTAGTACAAAGATGATATATTATCACCAATTTCTCACGCCTCACTTTCGAATCAAACCAATTAAATTAAAAAATCAAATTAAATTGACTGGTAAACCGTTCTCATGTCCAAGTTGAATTAACAACCAAATATAGGTCAGGGTTCGCCATATAAATAAAACGGCTCAACGGCTTTCCTCTCTATACTATATAATTTTCCAACTCACTCGTAATCCGATCCACAATGATCCAGCAGTTGTTTGTGCTGCTCTACTGAATACCATAGTGTTTTCATCTTGATCGTGTATTGCCACTAGATGGCCGCCCCCAAGTTCCCGGCATCTCGATTCTGCTCTCGACCACGACTGTTGCTCGTCAGCGACAAACATGTAACATTTTTCAGATCCATAATTGGTCACATAGTGAATCTGCAAATTTATGTAAAAAGTAACATTTAAAGCAACGCAAGAAGTTATCGAAGGATATTTTTTTTTTGGTCGCAGTATGATTTAGTTTTATTTGTCTATAGTTGCTGTTTGGCATTTATTCGCAGCATGATATATTTATCAACCACTATAAGATTAAACTACTTGTCATATTTATATACTCTTACTGTTTATCGGGGTATGCAATGACTCGGTACTAACCCATCCTTCGCCACACCCTCCGTCTTCAGTTCCTTGTGGTGGAGGGAGCGTTGGTGGTGGTACCGGATTTCTATGGAGTCCGATCTTACAAATCCAGTTTCGAAGTGCATCACAATTAATATCATTCCACCTATTTTGCAAGAAGAAATAATTTAATGATTTTCCAAATCCCTAAATTGCAAAATATGAAGCATTATCAATATAAGTATTGTGGCACCGTATGACAAACTACTTATCCTTCGTTGCAAATTTCTTGTACTCTTGTACCCGTATGTGATATGAAAATGACTTTGACTCGATTTGAGACTCGGATGACCTGTGACTCGACTTGACCTGGGGTTTGGGGTTCTACCCAACACCGACAAGCCGAAAGGCTAATCAGGAGTGACTTACTGTGAATATTCCAGCATTTGACTTTCGACACAGTTTTCTCTCCCATTATGATCACTTGGTTCCCCGGCTCGCCAGTTTGTGTAACTTACAGGTGATCCTGGAAAAAAACAATTTGAAACATTAAAGTAATTTATCATCCATTTGTAAAAAAGTACCCAATTTTCTGTCTCGGTTATCTTGCAAAATTGAATTCAAAACCGCAAATTTATTTAATAATAAATGGCGGCCGTTGGGGAACGACGATTTGTAAGATTATTATTGAACGTTTTGAACACATTTTTGTTAAATTCATTAACTCCACGTAGACGTATACATTTGTACGTTTTTAAGCTATCAAATCAAATTAAAATTGCTATAAAAAGTCATGTTTGACAATAATTCGGGGTCGCCTGTAAGAAAATATTTCTAAAAAAGGGAAATATCAATGGTTGCATGCACGGAAAAGCAACTCGAGTTAACTACTTGTAAAGTCGTGTAATTAAAGTAAAGTCGTTGTTGTTGAAATCGTATTAGGAATATTTAGGCCAACTTGTATGTATCCCCATTCAAATTTGAATTTTTTTTTTACAATGATTACTTCCATGTAAAAAAAAACTTGGAGTTGCAATAGATCTGCAACGCAAAGATTGCTTTTAGAATTTTAGCAGCACTGAACTTATTTTGTTATGACACATCAAAAATTAAATATAAGGCGCACCATGAATGGCCTATACCCATTATAATAAGATATGGTTGTGACATGATGAATAATAACATCAAAATTATATAAGTAAAAGCAATTATCGATGAACTGCAAAATATATTCGAACGCTCATCATTTCCTATGATGACAGACAACAACTACTACACGCGAACAATGTTGTTTGTATACTCATAGATATGTCAGAGCAATAACAATACAAGATTTCTTGTTTTTAGTTGGTTGATATTTCGTGATATATAATTTATGTAGATTTCGTGTTATCACAAGTCTTACAATGATTAAATTATCGGCTTGCCGGAATTGGAATCGAATTTTTCTCGAGCAAGAGTTGGAGACGATTTTGAATTTTCCCCGTTTCTACAGCCCTGCTTTACACATCGGCTATTGTCCGTAGGGAACCAGACAGTGCAGAGCAGCAGAATGCGCATATGCGCATTCGCGGAAGGTCAAGTGAGAGATTCGTTACGTCTCAAGTTGTAGTAGAGTTAGAAATTCCAGTTACCAGCTGATTATCATTATTTGATCTGAAAAACGCCCTCCTTTAAAACAGTATTGAATTTGATTCAAACAAATAATATATTTAAATATTCTTAGTATGAGGTAATATAGCAAAACCCGAAATATTAGGAACCTTATATAGTAAAATTAATTAAAAACGCCATTCCAAAAATAATATAAAATTCTCTATTCATTTTATTTAGTTTTACAGATTTATTAATTTAAATAGATTTCAAATATGTTTCGGGATTCTTTTCGAAAAATAAAAGACAAAGAAGTGAAGTCCAATGACAATAACGTTGAAAATAAGTTTGTGTCTAAACAAAATAACTCTTCTAAAGAAAAACTTCCGTTGATTAAATCACAACACGACAACGAAGGCACCGAGAATGAAGACAACAAATCAATAACTGAGAAGTTTAATAGACCATCAAGCGATCCAAGAAATGAAGAAATGTCGATTGACAATATAAAATTATCGAAAGAGAGCGGTTCGCCAGGATTTAGTGAAGATAATAAGAAAGAATTAAAGAAAAAGAAAAAGTCTTTACACCATTCAATTACCATCACCAACCCAGAATCAGTAAGTTATTATTCAGTAACTGTTATCAAGTTTAAATCATCGCTTTGGGTTCGGGGAAAATTTACCATCGACTCCTATTCCCTTCTTCAATATACTTCTAAAAACGCCAAGTAAACTTTATGATTTTATTTAAGAGTTGACTTCTTTTATCACCACCAAAAATCTGAAACCATGTCTCCGGGAAATCAAAATTCTGACTTCGAATTCGGATAGTGTGAAAATACGAATCCAGCTCCGAACCCAGTGGAAACATCTTGAAAACTCTTGACACCACAGCAACGGTTGAATTTCAACCAGACTGGGGTTGTTGTACTTGAATAGGTCTTATCGCCAATTCTCGCATATGATTATGCACAAAATAATAGTTGATGGACTCATTTATTTCACGTGATCCGTAATTTTATCCAATTTTTCTCACGTAACCCGGCGGGCGAGGGGTCGTAATTTCGCGTATGATTAGGTCGGGTGCATTGTGCATCACCGTCCCCAAAATATTATCACAACTATAATTTTTCTTTTGAATTCAGGTTGATCACGATGAATTGGTCAGAAAAATGCGTGAACGTTTTAAGAAGAAAGTCAGGAAATGGGAATATCGCATAAACCTTTACGCGAACATTGCATCTCTCATGACCTTTGCACTTTTAACATTGCAAGTTTTACAGATGGCAATACAACCGTTCCGTGGCATTTGGATTTCAGATAAGAATCTCATTGTATGTCAATTCATGATGAAAATTGTTAAAGATTAGTGATATATCGTGCTTCTGTAACAATCTACTTTTACATTTGATATGAGTTTTTAGCCTGCACAGAAATAGACTGTGTCACTAAAACAAAGCCCTCGTCATTTACAACTTATTCTAGAGAAAACATAACTTTGTGTTAGGCGGCCTGAATTACTGAAACTTTGTGTACAAACAAACATAAACAGAAGTTCAAGTGTAATAAATTTTATTCATTTTTCATAGAAGTATTTTAGAAATTATTGGGATTTTCAGACAATTCAATACAATCTTTCTTCCAACTAAAATCAGATCTCAATCAAAAAATATAATCTGGTTTGAACAGTTTTCGGAGCCAGCGGTAGGATGATGGTTAAAACCACCAACCAATATCAATATATCTGGCGGTATATAATAAATATATTTGATGTTTCAAATGAATATGCGACAGTCTAGCGATGTGTTGACTAACTATTTCTGATTCATAAAGCCTTCCGATATGCACTAAGTGCAAGGAAACTCTAGCCAGAATCAAAATTTCTAAACGGACAAATTATATCTGCTTTATATTTTATTGTTATCGCAGGTGATGCAAAATATTTTGGTCGCTTTCACTGCACTAATAGCTGGATTCCAACTAAAGATGAAATATAATGAAAAGGCAGACAAATATAGACGAGGAGTAAAAATTTACTATCACCTTCTACGTATGACGTCATATTACACAATCATGAATGAAAGCGGAGGAAAACCAGATTATGAAAACACAATTGAATTTTGGAAAGAAGCGTTGAAAAAAGAAATCGAATCAGTTCCAGTGATGCAAGCTTTCAAGTCTTAAAATTATTTATTCAGACTTTGACGACGACGGGTGAAATTAATATCACCCTGTTTTAATACATCTAAATTCTAATTCATCTTACAAATATGCATAGGGAAATGAGGAATTTCTGCTCAAATGGTGAGGAGTTGAAAGTGTGTAGTATGCTCCGTGAACGAGCTTAAAAATAGAAGACTAATTTTTGGTAAAGAAGTGTTTTATCTCTCAATATGAGGGCAACTAAAAGCTTGGAATTTAATCATTATGATCTATGTCAGGGTGGTCCAAGGTTGTCGGCTCCGCGGGCCACAAAATTATTTTTGCATTGTTCGCGGGCCACAATAGTGTCAAGAATAGGTAAACAGTGCAATACAAAACGAACGCTTTTATTGTGCAAACACATAGTTATCAGACATAGCCATCCCAGGCTAATAGAATCTGCATTCTATATTTAGTTTTCTATGATGCCTATATTGTAAGCATATATTCCCGACCAAAAAGATAGAAAGCCAGGATAATAATTTAGACTGCCAAGCACATCATTCAAATTCACTAGTTACCCCAGCTAGCCATAACACTAGTCAATTAATGACATTAGTGATGTAACAATATGTCAAAAGATTTTTCTGATTAATTTTATTACGAAACAACACGAAATGCGATTTTTTGATTACTCCCCGAATGTGACGCGGCCACCGATAATGAAGCGGAGGGCCGCATGTTGCCCACGGGCCTGGGTTTGGACCATCCTGATCTATGTTATGGCGGATTTCGTCAAAGAGCATTGAAACATTGCCTCTGGAAGAACATGTCACAGCAATTATATCGATCTTTGAACATATATATTCATTACAACAAAAAATTGTATACTCGATTAATTGCCGGAAATCTTCCATATTTTATTTTGTCCTCGCGATAATTGTAAATTATTTTCAAATTACAGCCATAACCAACTCCCATTTGTTTCGTACATATTGTATGTTGCTGCGTGTTGAAACAAATCATAAAAGTTACGAGCATATCATCGTTATCAGAGTACTAGGAAAATAGCGTGGAATTCACATTGAATTGTCCACACGCATCAGGGCTACATAACTATTAGTATAAATCAGGCTTTAAAGACCGAAAATGCGAGTTAAATTGCACAAATATTCAACAGTGCAATGTACAGAATAATAGCCGTTCAACTCGACACAATACTATTATGGATTGAATGAAGATCATTTCCTCTATTTACGATTATAACTATATGGCAGATATTGATATTTCCCATTGCTAATCAAAAGTTTAACTAAATTCAGACTAAACACTAAAATTTTAAAGTCATTCACTTTCATGTATACCTGACCCAAATACGTACAGTATTCGATATGGGAGGTAGGTATTATACTTTTTGAGTTCCCGACATTTGGAGTTTGATAAAGAATTTACAAACAATATAAAAATATTACATTAGACATCGTAATGAATAAATCGCACAATTGAATTACCCTAAGAGCTTGGTAATTTTTAGTAATTTGAATAAAGTAGATGAATATTCATTCAACAAACGACAAACTGTTACATTCTGCAGTTTGATATTGTGGAAATCACATGAAATTTCCTCAGTCAACAAAAATTGTTTTGGTTATTTTTGAAAATAGTAAATGGAACGAAAAAATTCAGTTCAAGTGCAGTGAGGTACATGAGCTCATAAAAAACATTCGTTGGGTATTGCAGAAAAATCATATACATGATGATAATTTATTTGAATTGTATAGGGAGACCTTATGAGGTAGACCCCTGTACTTCTGGATATACTCAAAGCCGTTAATCTAAGTCAGGAAAAGAGAAGACACCGAAATGAAACTGATACAAATCATTTGGATTACAGAAAAAGCTAAAAAAAATTTCAATTCAACTCTTTCGGATCCAATATCTATTTTTGACCGAGTTTTTTAATATCAATAAGTAGAAAGCCATCAAAATCGGGTATTGAGCCATTTTTCAATTTCAAAACTATCTTTTATGAACTATTATAGATGAAGAGTCTGTATGGGGTTTAGAAAAATAAGTGGTTATAGCAAAAAGGTGAAATAATAAGTATCTAATCGATGTAAAGAATGTTCAGATCGTCTCTACGCAAATTCAAAGATATGGAAATGCAGTCAGGTACCTTTGATAGTCAAAAGAAGTCATCGAACAGTAAAGAACAACAAGGTAAACGAAACTTACCGTACTTCCAATTTCAATTACACTTTAATTTTTCCGAATATGACACCCCAACACAGGGTAAGCAAACAAGGAATCTTATGCTTATAGCATTTATTATGTGATATTTAAAGCCAGAAATTGTGATTTACTTCCAAAAGATTTTGCCAGGCGTGAATCAATCCAAATGGTCAGTTTTAATTCGTTAATTCATTTGAGCCTTCGAGATTTGAGCTCTGACTAATCTTGTTAAAGTTCCTGTATCTACGGTATGGGAAAACATATGAAACAACTAAAAACCGACTTGAAGAAAAAAAATGAGAAATACTACATTACAGCACTGCATTTATGTTTTACAAATGAGAGTCGATGCCACACCAAGACATTATTAGCAAAAATGGCTAAATTTATACCAAATCCTTTTCCATCAGTAAATAAACTTATATTTTAATTCCAGATGTAGGAAGATCAACCGATGAAAAAGCACCATTGTTACAATCAGTTGTTCAAGAGAAGATTGAAAAAGTTAATGTGAATGCGGTGCGTAATTTTGAAGTGAAATTTTTTTCTAATTGATTCACATTTTGTTTAACGATAAAAATGGAGTTTTGCCAGATTTTATATTATAACGTATTCAAAATACAATTTTACATGCAAATGTCGTAGATGAATAGATTTAAGAAAAAGGCTTTAAATATTATTTGAATATTCTTCGTGTATCATTATGAAAACATTGTTTTTTAAAAATTCGACATGACTTGTGTTACATATCCGAAAAAGTCTACTTGGAATCGACTGAAAGGCACGACTTGGGACGTAAGTGAAATAGCAAAAAAAAAATTCGCCGAAATACAACCACGTTCACTGATGCTGTATTGGAAAATTATCTTGTTGTTGGAATAAGCCAAAATAGATAATAAGGATAATAGAAATAGTAAATGTAGTCAATACGTGATTAACGTGGAGTTATGGTTTCAATTACTCGTATTCATTCTTATCTATTTCACTGTTGTATATATGAAATTTGAAATGACTCAGATTTGTGACATGTGAGTGACTCTACTTGATTTGAGACCGAACTTTTAAATTTTAAACTGGTGAAGACCAAATTTCGAAAAATATCATTTGAACAGGAAATCGAAAATCAAGAGGTTGGGAGTGAAACAACAATGGATCAAATACCAGACGTATTCAGTGAAATGTCTGAAGATGAAAAAGAACCTCCACCACCAAGCGAAGACGAATTAAAGGATTTGCATAAATATGGACCCTTACATCACATTGTCGATATTACCAATCCAGAAGAGGTGGGATTTTTGATAAAACAAATAACAGAGCGTCAAATCTGCAAATGCTGACATGTTTTCAAATAGGTGTAGCCTATTTAATTGTATTTCACCTTTCATGAAGTGAATATATACCAATAGGCTAACGAAAAATCTCTCACTCTCTCCATCAAATAGACAGGCCTGGCATTAATGTGACCAATCCCACTTCACCTGCATCGCGTAATTATTATACTACCCTCTCTCGCGCGAGTAGTCATATTTTGTTGTCACCTTTAAGAAATATTTTCCTCAATTTATCAATTTATTTTACTATAAAAAACGCTTAGAGTGATCATCATATTTATCTCAGATTTATTTTATTTCAATCCTAGGCGAAAATATACCAACAAACCATATTTACTTCGAATAGACGTAATTCAAATCTGGCTACGGCTTTCTCGAAAAATGACAGCTCGGAATGCTTTATTAAATAAAGACTTACAAATATTGCTTCAGATTGATTATGTTCATCTGATAATGAAGTTACGAAAACGATTTGAAAAGAAAGTCAAAAAGTGGGAACTTCGAGCAAAATTGTATTACAGCACTGGCCCGGTCATAAGCTTCACCATATTGCTGCTGCAAATTACACAGCTGATTTTGCAGCCATTCCGAGGTGACTCAATCTCCAACGAAACTCTCATAGTAAGTTCGTTAAGTTTGTGTAGTAAATAGAAACAACCAAATTTATGTGTATTTTACTGTACCTCAACAAAGTCCAATTAGTGATATTTCGTAACGTTAACTTTCTAAGAAAGACGATTCGTCTAATAACAGTGACCGAAAAAAAATTGCCAAAAAGATTTTCATGTATATATGTATGAAATGTGCTAGCAGCATTAAAACAAAAAAGCATGTTTTAAGTAGTTCTTCGCAAACTATACGTGATTTTAATTCATTGATAAATTAGAATCACTGACATTCCGTAGACTGCACGTAAAACAAATTCATCGAGTTGTGACAAGATATTGATGTAACATTCAAAGCAATCGTTGCTGTAACATTTAATTTGTCGTCAATTATGTATAACATTTCGGAAATTATTTTTGGATCGAAATATCGCAAATACAAGTGAACGTTGCATGTGTGGACGCGTGCGGACGTTTGTTAATGAAAGAGATATCAAAATCTATTTCTTCTCTTCGCACAGTCGTTTTATATTTTTCGCTGGGAATAACATCTAGTGAGCCGACGGGGTTTAGAATAACCACAATAGCAATAATAGCTATACTGAATCACATTCACAGATATTACAAAACGTCTTCACTGGTATCACCGGAGTGATCGCTGGTCTACAGTTATACCTGAAATTTAACGAAAAGGCTGAAAAGTACAGAAAAGGAGTGAAAATCTATCACCAGTTGCTGAGAATGACGTCATATTACATCATCATTAGCGAAAGTGGGGGAAAACCCGACTACGAAACCGTAATTGAGTTTTGGAAAGATGCTTTGGAGAGAGAAATCGATGCAATACCTGTTATACCAGCTTTTCGACATTAAATAGGGAGACTGAAAATTATTTAAAAGTATCACTGCACAATAAGTTATGAATATATAATAGGAGATGAGCAAGGGAAAATATTCTTAAATACGTTTTAATATTGTATTTGTTGTTGAAGAAAATATGTCTCTTATTTAACATTGGTTTAGAACAATTTTTATGGATTTTGGATGATAAATCCACAATCATTTTTATTGAGCTCTTCCCACGTCGATTAAATAATATCATATGAATCTCACAAAAATTGGATATCATTTGATTTCGTTGAACACCCTTTACTCGACAAAGACGAATAAGTACAAAGACGAACTTAACTAATAGACCCACTTGTATGGGTTCCTCAAAATTTTCTGTCTCAATTGTATAAATCTCAATTCGTATGAATACTCTGCCTTTCTGCTAAAGTATTGTTTCTATTCCAACTCAGAACATAACATGATTTCCACTTAATATGCTTGATTTATCCATATACCCCACAATATTTAACTATCATAACTCAGAACAGGTTGACAAGTGCGGGACAAACGGGCCAAGCGTGCTAAAAGAAGACAAATGGGAGCCAAGTGGGATACGACATTTTTTAAACACCACACTTGCACCCTTGTTTTTTAATCCACAGTATCTTCGAATGATTATGGGTTCTAAGGATACTATATCTCTACTGTATAGCCCATTTTTCTTGGCGATGTAAAAAAATGCCAGCTGTAAGGAAAAGGAGATCTTCTGTTTTCAACTTGGGTACCCAAGTTAATGATGCAAAAGTGTATTTCAGATGTTGAGGAGAGTCAAGTTGTTAAGAACAATACTTCGAGTAATGGGTCTTTATGAGGTTTGAATTCAAGAATTTCAATAAAGCCTTTATGGTGTTGTGTTTGATAAATAAGATAAGATTGTGTTAAACTTTTGAATTCAATAGATTCAAAAAATTGAGCGATTTTGAACATTTTCACGGCATTCCGGAATTAGAAAATTGGCTAGGAACAGAATAAACTTTACGTTAAGAAAACTTGTGCCATCAATCTTTCACTTTATTCATATAAAGTAAGAAGAGTAATAATTACCATCCGACCAGCTATATCCTGCGTTGTTGCTAATGGAGTTAAGCCCAATCCAAAAGTCAGTATAAGAATTCACTCCATAATCTTGAACCAATTTTGCAATCTCCACTTCTTCGACGCTGCTGTGGATCGAGACAAGATCAGCGTTCTGTGACGTGCAATGATCGTAAGCTTGTTGCCAGGTCGCTCGTCCAGATAAATCCGCAAATTCGTTGAGCTGAAAAATATAAGTAGAAATAAAAACTTTTCTGTTGAAACAAGTGTATATTACAAAATACCAAACGTTGTAGATATGCTTTATTTCAACGATTTAGTAGCTATTATATTTTATTTTGCAATTTTGTCCATCTGCAAAATTTGAATTACAAAGTTTATTCAAAATATAACATAATTTTATTTTTTCACGTACTCAACTTTCAAAAAAAGATGAAACAAATTGTTGAAACTACCTGGTAACATTCTACAAGGTTGTCTGTTTTTATCCAGCCTTCTGAACACGATCCTCGTGGAGATTCTGTTGTACGTACTGGTTCTGTGTATCCAATTCTAGGCTTTTCGCAAGTGTAGTAACGTAAGGAAGTGCAGAGGTCCATTGACCAGTAACCTGGGATAAAACAACGAATAAATATTTACAGATATTTCCTCGAGCATCGACTTAGTAGTTTTCTGTAACAGAGGCAGATTAGTAGGAAGATAGATATGGTGCGATCCTAAATTTTACCCACCCGTTTAAACATCCAATTACAGTCAATATTAAACCGAACAACGCTTTCAGCTTGCAACTATCGCACACAAGACTTTATAATCAAATTTATCACTCACTACTAAGTTACAAGTTCTTCATACCTGGCCAAAATCTTCTCAGAAATTGTGCTTAGTAGATTAAATGCATACTATATGCATCAAGGTTGCTTAGTAATTTGAGCATTTCAATGATAAGAATGTTGGTCGTCAGATATGCTAGACTAAATTTCTAAACTTTGATACCTAATATGAATAAACAAACCTGATCTGTCATCCATGTATCCACATCCTTGAGCATTGCCAGTTCCACAAAACATATAAGCAACTGCGAAAACTGGTGTCATACTACACCATGGTAGATCCAACAAAACGAAAGGATTATTAACTGTAGTGCATTCGTAGTAAGTTTGTCCATTGTAAACGAATGGGAAATAACATTTCATATCAACGTCTAAATTAAATTTTTCGCTGTTTTTAAATTCGAATTGTTCGAAGTGAGTAAAGATAGTTCATGTAGCAAATTTTTCCCAGAAAAAGGCAAATACGTCATAGCTTTTAACAGATTTCCGAATAATGGTAAGATTATTTTTAGTTTAAGTAAATGGATTTATGAATTCCGAAGTCTAGATATTAATACAACTTTATGAATGAACTTGATATTGCATGAGTGCAACAACGCAATGCAGTAAAAATAATGAAATTGTAAGTTTTAAAAAGTATAAGTATACTTGGACTTAATTATTACAGAAAATCGTTTTAAAATTTATATTCAGATTGATCAAAAGACAGAAATGATAGAATTCCACTGGAAAAGTGTTTGTCGTTGTTTCCGCAAAGTTTGTGTGGGATAACAAAACTGCATAAAAATTGGTTATATGTGTTGGGAATATATATACAGACATTCATTAAAAATGCAAATTTTGCAAATTTCATGCAAAAAAGACTGGAAATTTATTTTCCGAAACTTTTATTAAACTTTTTTCTTTTTTTCAACGTGATAAAGTCATCATTTATTACGTCATAGCTCCAGATGATAGGAATACGATACCTGGTTGATACTGATCCCACAATGTGTAACTAATTTCTTCACCAGATACCCAGTAATATATCTGAGCTCCTTTATCGTCATTTGTAGCTGCCATACCTATCCAGGATGTGTATCCTAAGGTAGGAGGCACAGTAGATGTGACCTAAAAAGAGAATCATATAGGCTATGTCCAAAATATAATTTACAATTCAACTGAGGTATCTACGAAAACAACAAAAAAGCTAACAATACCATACTCGGGAGACTGACTATGTATACAATTTCAGTTATGATGTCATAGAGCAGGGCTACTCAACTATTTTCACCAAAGATCCGCATACAAAACTTCAAAATTATTTCCAAAAAATATATTTTTACATCCCTAAACGCACACACTTCATCGACCGGCTAATGATTATCAGCTAATCAAGATCGTTTATTATGGTGTTATAGTTATTTTCATATAGATTCAAAACAATAAAAATCATTTTATAAAATGAAACTTTAAAAATGGGGCTAATGATCCAAAATAGGTGCGAATCAAATACTCGAAAGGTCCGGATTCGGACCGCGATCCGGGTATTCGGGATATCTTACACCTAACATTATTTGTATATCTAACAAACATTTCATGAACCAAAATCAAATTAGGCAAGAATATCTGATATTACAAAATGTTTGTTTTTAATGCTGCTATAGATTTGAGTTAATAGGCGAATGACAATTTATACTAGTTAGTACAGTGCTCTTCAACAGGGGTTCCGCGGAACCCTAGGGTTCCGCAACACATGCAGTGGGGTTCCGTGGGTTTATAGGGTTCCGCGTAAAGGAAAAAATGACTGCTGGGCCAGTAAAGTTGCAAAAAATGATTATTCTTCTTTTCCATTTTTGGATGAATTTCTAAGTGCGCAACAGCAAGAAGGACTCCTAGATATCCGTAATGATATTAATTCTGAGAAAACCTTCGAAAAAAATGGGAAGGAATATTTTTGGATTTCTCTTCACAAAGAGGGTACAGCAATTGCAAAAATGCATTGAAACTTCTGTGTCAATTTGTGTAAATCAGCATTTTCTGCTTTAACAACTATTAATAACAAAAACGAAGTTGTTTAAAGAGTATAGACATGAGTATGAGAATTGCTTTGAGCGCCGTGGAGCCACGATTCAAGAATATTGCAAAGAAAATGCAAGAACAACCTAGTCATTGAAATTCACGCTTGTTACCTTCTTTCTGTTTTGTTGTTGAGGTGGAAATATTTGAATTACAAATATTTTGTGTCACGAGTATTTCGTGTTTTATTTTTATTATTTGGGGTTCCATAAAAAACGAAAAATGATATCAGGGGTTCCGCAATAACAAAAAGGTTGAAGAGCACTGAGTTAGTATCAATTTCACTAGAGCTTAGCTTGGATTGACGACATAGCATTTAGTATTTTTCTTATCAACAAATTTCATTTGCTCATACTTCATGAATGTTTTGAATTTTATATGCATTGAATCGGGTATTGAATTCTGAACTGTAAACCCAATTCCAAAAAGCGCTGCTAAACTTTAATTGAAGAAATTTATCATAATTTTTACATATTTTAAAAAAATATTGGATTACGAGAATAGTTTTATGTGGTATGCATCAAGATAACAAATAATATGTGATGGCTATTTAAACCTCTTCATGTATTCTAAATTAAATAATGTTAACTTACATGAGCATGCACAAAAGCCTGTTCATAATGGTCGTGTATTGATACCAAATGTGCTCCCATTTCTGTGCATAATTGGTTGGCATAAGCATACGGGGCAGTATCGCTGCTAGTCCAATAACAGGAATTTCCTGCAAAAATCATCATTACATTACAACTTGCATAAATTTAATTTTTTTAATAAATTTTCATTTTCAGAAATGACAGTGATGAGATTCAATATTTTAAGAACGGGTTGTCGAACTCGGTAACAACGGGTTCTCTATTTTAGAAAACCAGGTCGAACTTATAGTTCTATAACAATACGAGTTCGTTACATAAGATCACATAATAGGAACATTTTGAACGGCATATTTAGTAATGTATGTCCCTACGTAATCTACTCAAACATGATACAAATACAACGCTAGTCGTCAGCAGTAATGCACCCACTTGCTGCAGTCGTTTAACGACTAAAACAAAACGAAAAGCTTCGCCGATTACCGCGGCACTTCAAGAACGAGACCCCGCAAACCCCCTGAATTTCACCACTGCTGTAAACTACACCTTCTACCAATTTCATATCCCTATTAAACTGAACGAATAGATAATAAATAAAACAAATGTTTGTTGAGTTCCATCCTGTGGCGGAGACTTGGTAGCGAGTTGTAGCAAAAAAAAACATGTTTATTTACCGCTTCCTTTCCATCCAAGCTCACAACCGTCGTCTGTCGGAGGAAACATGGTGGTCACTGGTGGAAGATGTTCCTTTTCTTTCTTGCACATGTAAGCATAGTTTTTGGTACAATATGCGTCGTTCCAGTATCCACCATTTCGATATATGTTAACGCATTGTTCACTCTGCAACAAATATGAAACGGATATTGAACACATCTTCGCATAGCCAAGGGATAGAAGGGTTTGCACCCAAAATTGTTTTCAACGTATATCTAAAAAAAGGATATTGCGGTATTTGCAGCGAAAAGCAAATTGTACCTATTTTAAGGTACAATTTTAAGGTTTTTTAAGAAATCGTTAGATATGAGTGACTGCTTGTACCTGCCTTGTTCGAAGCGGAAGGCACGAGTAAGCGTCATATTAAAAAGGAATAAATGAATTTGCCCCACCCCCTAAATTTTGGGCTGGTTAATCTCCGGTTTGACATACCGGTATATAGTTGAAGACACAGTACACCATGTGTACATGTACAGCTGTAACATGAGGAAAGTCCTTAATGAGAAAATTTCTTGATTTATTCAACATATTTAATTTGAATCATTTTCACGAAGTTCAAATGCGACATAGTTACTCATCCATATTTAAAAGAGGGACCAAATTCTCGTCATATACATTTGCAATCTTGTATTATTTCGTATAAAAAATACTTACATCATGATCTGGTTGATGAAGATACCATTTCGTCAATGTTACAGGTGATCCATCACTCCATTCATACCAATTCAATGTGTCCAAAGAATTCAATCCAATCCAAACTTGATTGCCATTGACTAAAATTGTGCATCATATGATTATGATAATATGATGATACATCTCACTATTATTATATATTTCATATTGCCAAAACAATGAGAGCGACAAGCCATGCGAGATAAAAAAAAAAGGCACTGCTTTCAAGGGCCCTTGACTTTCTGTAATTTAACAATATAGATTTTCACGAGTCACTGTTAGGAACTACGACTCTTTTGCAATCTGGACCTGCTAACATTTATTTCATATCTCCTAGTTTTGCTATACTAATTCAATGTGTCTAAAGCACGTTAGTCAGGTTGACGAGGGCAAATTCAGTGCTCAAGCCAAATCAGAACTATAATATGTATATATTGAATTATTTAAACGTGTATTATTATTTTATTATTAAACTTTATTTCATATAAAGTTGTAAAAAAGTGTAAAACAATCTAATAAATTTAACTCATATAATGACATCTCCAAAAACATTGTTTCATTTGACTGTTCCAATTTTGGTAAAACTACGCTATTCATGATAACTTACTGGCTTGCACAATAGTTACGAGAACGAAGTCGTTTTCAGCTTGGCTTAAAATTGACACCAGATCTCCACCCATTGCTTGACAATCTGCCCTGGCTTCTGTCCATGGTTTTTCCATACCAGGAGGAGAGAAATGGTAGCAGTGATCATTCCATGGGTACCAGTTATCTGGACACCTGAAGGCTGAGGTAAATAACAACGAATATTCATTTATAGTTCATTATTTTATTATTACCTCCAAAAATTGAGTGGGATTGGTAATGTGATATACATATGACATTGGTTGTATTTGTATATGATTGGCTGGATATGCATAATCTGGCTGTGGCTGTATATGTACAGCTTCACCACGTTATCATACGTTATTATTATTACGTTATTTATATGAAAAAATTATTTTGCCTAAATTAGTCATTGATACGTTTTTAAATTTAATTTTCAACTATTGAATTTTTTAAGAAAAATGACATGGGATACATCTAGAAATCTTGATAACGCAGATACAAATTTCAAGTAAATGGATATTGAATTATATTTTCTTGGATACTAGACTCAGCAAACAAATAATTTATCGAGAAATGCTATGTAGTTGAAAATATATATGTAAATAAACTTAACTATATGTACCAGTCATCTTTTTTATATGTAAGACAAAATGATCTATTTACTGTATGATGTCAAATAATGAATGAAAAACTTGAAATTTTATATTATCATGTAAGGATTATATTTACCTAGTCCATTGAATATCATTGAGTGTTTTGCAGTTTGGAATCTAAAAATAGGAAACACATGAGAAATATTAAGGTATACACAGATAAAGAGAAAATTATAGTTGTAGATTATTATATCTTCCAGGGTATATTTTTAAATTCATTTTAGTGAAATCTTTTTAAAAAAAAACTGTTCATTAAGTTGTGCATTTCAAAGTACCGGTATATATAATATAGTATAAAAATTGCGACAAAATAAACGTAACAATATATAAATGTCCAATAAAAACGTTGTTAGACATCCCAAAATCTTTGTTTCCTTATTTTAATGTAAGGGTAATTTGATATTCTGTTCAAGACGACACTCAGTATGCCATGACGCATTGAGTATGTTTTTTTGTGTGTAGCTTATACGGTAGCGGTGATGATATAACATAACTTCAACTACAAAAAACATAAAGAAAATAATTACATGTACTGGTTAGAAACATTATGCACATGTATACTGTCGCTGTTTAATATACTCATCTTATATTATTTTTATATATTGAATTATAGAATGAAGAACTTACGATATGCTAGAGATCCCGTGTCTTGTTGAACCATCGTACGAATTTTTGCCATTTATTTTGGCAAAAGAGACGCTTCCACCATGAGCATTAGAAAGTTTTCCTGCGTGGATAGCGGCAGGACAAATTGCTGAGGACTAAATAAATAAATAAAAGAAATAAATTAAAAAATTATCTGCGCTTTATGACAAAGCATCAATATATGTTACTATATAGGGTTTATATAAAAACAAAACATACTTACTTCTGTGTATGTATCAGTGCCGTATACAATACCACTTCCCAAATCTTCGACACATCCACCTGGACATGCAATTGTAACAGAATCCTCTTCAAATTGTGTACCTTTGTCTTGAAAAAAAGTCGCATTTTGATAATAGTATACATTTACAAGGCAACTGGTAAATGATGTACATTAAACTGAAAATACCCCTTTCAATACTTATAAATATTTTTCATAGTTATCGGTAGCGAAATGATAATATTTTCAGCATAAGTGCAGATAACACTAAAGAGTCAATTGATAGTGTGAACGATCGTATTTCAAAACTGAAGTAAAAAAACGCACGAATACCATTATGTTGTTATTTTTAACAGAATACACGTTGAATTAATAAATCGCCCCCTTGTGCTAAAGGGTGTGTCCGAATGTTTACTACAATTGGTGTGCAGCGCAACACTTGACAACCGTTTTTCAAAGCATTTTGGTGGTAAGATGTGTGTCGCTAGGAAATTTCTGTTCCGCAATGTAAAATGAATGTACAGGTTGTAGGACTCAAAAGATGCAAAAGAAAAAAGTGCCCAACCTTCCCCACTTTCCCCTACTTCAATTATGCTGTTCAATACTATGACGCTGTTGGATTGTGTTTTTGTGCTAGTACGTCACTGACCTGCACATGTAATTCTTCTATCAGCGTAGCATCCATTTACTTCAAATTGTAAGGTAATTCTTGAGTTCCACGATTGTGGTAAAACTCGTAAAAATCTGGTAGTGAGAGGTTCACGAAGTATGTCGGTGTATTCTGCGTTTGGTTCATTTACGCCAATGAATATCTGAATATAAGAAACATTTTCTAATGGTACCTATTTACCAGTTATCATTGTGAATGAGAGAAAAATATGTGATATATGATAATATGATAAAAAATAAGTTTAATCTTGGCACTTTTCGATTGGCGTATAGGAAAATAAAAACTCACAAATACACATGAAACTAGCTTGCTAAATATGGTAAAAGTCGATAAATCTAAAATGAAATTTTGGTGACCCTCCGAATATGTATTTTCAATTCAGAAAATTTTAGTTTGTGTACTATAATATAAATTTTGTGTGATCAAGTTCTGGCCATGTCTGTCACTAAATGGAGAAAATAATTAATTCAGTAAAATACCTCAGGTACGTACAAATTGGAGAAGAATCAAAACACCAGAAACAGAATACCCACAATGCAAATTTTCAAGTTTTTTTCGGCTTCTGGATTTTTTTTAAACAGTGTGTTATTATAACTATCTGATACCCTGAATTCGGATTATTCTAGAATATCGTAGATTATTACACACTTTTATTCATCTAAATTATATTTCCTTTATAATGCACTTCTCAATGCTTATGATTTGGCATTGCTACTTTTGATCAAAACGTATGTGAGAAATAGTGAATTAGCATTTTGAAGTACTTACGTGATCATCTTGATTCTGGTTTCTATATGTTTGGAATGAAACTCCTGTATCACTGAACTGTACTTTATATGTTTTCACAAAGGATGTTGAGTAGGAGTAAGTTGTAATTCCAGCCACCTATTTGATATTTAGATTTTTAACATAATTACTCAGAATTATTGATACCAATACTAGTTTGTGGATCGTTAAATAAAAAAGGGAATATCAAACATACATATACATACTTTAAAATTGTTCTAATTTTCAAGGTCACACACACTCGCTCGAGGTAAAAGAGACTCATCTCTAATATTATATGAGAGTGTCGCCAAAACTACGTCAGCTTTGCATTAACAGATCTATGGAAATCTTCTAGACATAGTCCTAAATCTTTATTCATAGTTTATACCTTCCAACACATAAAAATCAGTGAATATGTCGGGAACAAGAGACATGAAATAAATGATTTTTTTAAATGAATTAATTCAATAAAAAGCATCAATTTTTCATTTTAACACATCAATTGTTGTATAAATGGTGCTATGTCTATGTCTGATTTCTCAAAAAAGTCTATATTAAATAGTTAACAATCAATGTAACTGATATACCTTAAAGTAGTTATCAAACATAACTTGGACCCACTGATTCGTAGTTGAGGAAGATGGCGACCATCCAGTTGGAATATAAGCTTAAAAAAGTGATTTCACATTTGTCACACATAGTCATGTCCACACCTCGATATCACTCAGAGTGTATTAAATTAGATGAGCAATGACGAACGAGAGACAAACCAGTAATCATTGACTCATTGTACATAGGTTTGATAAGGTTTAAAAACGCTTTATGCAAATACTGGAAAACTAGCCTGGTTGTATTTCCTTTAGCAGGGTGGTTTGGTGCATAGACATTTTACAAAATAAGCGGGCTAAGGTTTGGTTTAATGATACATCTTCATGCTTTAACAAATGGAGTGATTCATGAATTTGTGTAACACTTATGAGAAGGAAAAACCTGAATTCCAAGAAATTGAAACTTACCTGGGCAAATCGGAACACTACAGAAGTCCCATCTTACGTTGGTATCCATTGTGTAGCACCATGGCCGGGGTTCACCATCAGGATTTCTGCAGTAGTTTCCGACTAAGCCAGCATCTGGGTAGTTTTGAGGTGTTCTAAAAATAAGTAGTTTTTAAAAAAAAAAAATAATTCTCAAAGTTTAGCAATAATTAGCTCGTGAATTATAAATTGAGACTTAATATAAGTTTGTTTTATCACAAGTCTTGAATAGATTATGCTCAAATGCCAGTATTGATATACAAAAGTTAGCCACCTTACAATTGATTACAGTTATGCAAAATTTTATTGAGAATGAATTGTTAATGATATGGGGGTATAAAAGAAAAAAAATACGCTTTCTCTTCCCAACGGTCTATGCATTGTTAGATATAAACTTACCTGTCGTGAGCTTGAGGAGTCTGAGACGACCAAGGCTGACAGTCAATGCCGTCTTTTGTTTTTGACAACCACCCTCTGTAATCAGCACCAGTATCAGAAGAATCTGCTCTGCATTCATCTGAATATAACGTATAAAATGCTACATCAATGTATTGTACCCTGAATGTATACAAATTAAAATATTTTATGGAAACAAGATGTGCCAGCCCGATTGGTAATATCAGTATTTAAATGTACAAAGCGATTCACCTATGTTTAAATTGCTATATTCCAATTTATGAAAAATGTACAATGTACAACAAAGAACAACATACCTGAGTCTACCGCCGGTCTTGCTTGTTTGGCATCACCTTGTGATGCTGTTATACGTTCATCTGATATGTAACCAGAGTTCATTCCAATTTTGTTGAGGCATGCTGTATATAAATAGAAAAACAATCAACTGTTTTCTATAATCAATGTTCAATTGCACCCATCAATTAGGGAATTAATCAACACATTTATCCATGTTGAGAAAACGACAATAACTTCGAGGGTCGGAATATGCCGAATAAAATCAGACATTTATTCCAGAGCCAGGTTGGTGATTGAGAAGTTAAACATATATTCCTCATTACTTAACCCAGGTATAATATTTTGCCGAAGCGCGAATTTATCTGGCCGTTGAGGTAATGAACCCCAATTGCTCGATCTTGTACTAAAAATGCTCTAAAAACAATTTCATATGCAATTACACTTTATTTACAAGCGACATAGAAGTCCAAAATTTGAAAGGTGATAAAACAATTGGAATGAATGATTTTCCGGTGGCTACTTTAAGTTCAACTACCTTAAGTTCAACAAATGTGAGCTGCATTTAATACTGCTCTATAGGATTTATTCCCATAAAACTATATATGATTTTGTTATCTGTCAAATGCTAAATAAATAACACATATTGATCGATAAAACTCATACTTGCTCTGCATCCAATATATTCTAATCTCATCGAAACACGATCGTAATAAGTTAGTGGATGACAACGCATATGACGGGCTATTATTGGTCGTGGGAATAAATTTGTTACTTGTGTGTCCTGGTCTCGGTTTCCTTGGAATATCTACAAAATAAAACATAACAAATTGTTGCTCAATTCAAAGTGGAATTTTAGTTGACTGGAATTATTTTTAAAGTATAATCCACGATAAACTCTTAGATATTTTGAATAATAGAAGATATATTTAGTAGAATAAGACCAATAATTCATCGTATTTTGTTTCATGTAAATTTACTTTGATAAAAATGAAAACAAAACTATTGCAGATGCCAGGTCACAGGATGCACGCCAATGTTTTTGAATTAGGAACTTTTAAATCTCTGAAAAATGAATTATTTAAAATACAAAATATTTGTGTAATGGTAAAATGTTTTGTTTTCAGCAATCTGGAATGGCCTACTTCGACTACTTGCAACTGCTGAAACCAAACTCGTACGTATTAAAACAATGGTTGCAGAAATTCTTTATCGTTAATAGATACGATTATTGTAAATTGAAGCATCTTCCAACTTACAATTGGATTCCCGCTACTATCGGATATAAATTCCCAATTAGTGACATCATCTTTTGTATTGTACGGATCTTGACTGTAGGACACTTTAAAGCTTTTGACCCACTGTCTTTCGTTGTTAAGTTCATAACCGTTTCGACCCTGTAAAACAACATTAACCAATTTGAATGTTTTTCTAAACAATAAAAATAAAACTTCAGTTGTTAAATTCAACTCTCGACCATTTACAGTTAGAGTACATATACATGGCAAAAAAAGATGCTTAATTAAAGTTTCGTTTCAAGGTATTTTCTAACGCGTAATTGTGGGTTTAGACTATAATTCCTCATAAAAAATTTTATAATAAGAATAAACGGAAGATTGTATATATATCATGTTTTAATACGAAACAGCTCTTTTGCTTTTTTTTAAATTGCGAGGTATGAATAATTCAAGAACTGACTTGTGTTATTATTCCTTTGAATTCCGTATGAACTTGAAAATCAACTTGATACCAAGATGTTTCTTGATCATTTGAATCTGGCATCCATCCTCCATGATATCCAATTCTGACGTCACCTGTGTAAATTTCAAAATATTATCTTTGGTAATCGTATTGCTTCGATATTTGACAATATGAATTAAAGTATTTTTGTCGTGTCCAGCATGGTAAATTTTATCAAAAATTTGGTCGTGATTTTCAACCAAACAGACTCTTAGAGGTCATGAGAGTTTATCCAAAATGTACCACGAAATAATGACAAGTTTTTCAACACGTATACCTACCGATACTTGTAATTAAAATAGTTTCTTGCGTATTGAGTCTCCCTCTTGTCTCGTTGTAGTTTTGATTTCTTATCGAAGAAGCACTCAATGCCGAGTCTGGAACAATTCCTCCCTTTTCAACTCCAAGATGTCTGAAAAGTATGAAAGAATGAATTCACATCAGAACATGACGTACATAAACACTGTTGGCTCATTGAATCATTTCAAAATGTTTTCCATCATTAGTATAGAATTGTATGTCGGATTCAGGTCGGGTTTAGATATAACTTAAAATAAAATAAGTATTTCTATGCAATACAATATTGCCTGTGCAAAACAGATTGTCACATGCTATCAAAGATTGAAAATGTTATCTAATTAAATTAGTTATGTCCACGTTGGCGCATTTTTTAATTATTGCTGAGTGCCGAGTTTATGGTGAAATATGGGTTTTGTGGGACAGTCGTAACTCAAAATATAAGAAGCAAAGATTTTCTATGCTGGTTTTGCTCGTCCTCAAAAATGAAACAGAAAATACACCGCTTATGCTGTTTACAAAGTTATTGATGAAATATATAAAGCATGAATACAAATTTGGCAATTTTTACCTGAGAAGTGCATTTTTCAAAATAGTTAATTGCGTGCAACCACAGAGACTCAGACAAATTGCATCTTAACAAATTTCATAAGTAATTTTTAAACACTTTACGAAAATAACCCGCAAAACTTAATTAAGAAGAGAATATGATAGCAACGGATAAACTAATACCTGAACCCTCAACAAAATATCCAGGAATATTCACCGAAGGAGCTAAAAATACTTGATCAATCTGCAAAATTTCGTACAAGTTTGCTTACTTGAAACAACAAGCTTCGTTACTTCTGCACTCTGATTGTGCGACATCAATTCCCACAATATTATCGGTGACTCCCAACTTTTCACATGCAAAATGTCTGAACGCAGAACAATCAAGATCATTCCATCTCCCATTTTCAAGATAAAGTTCTGCACAGTCTTCTCCTCCAACGTTGTTTGGTTCGCCTGGAAGATAATTCGGTCTGAATCTACCGAATAATTCTAGCCAAACTTGAAACGATTGTAGTCAGTATATATGCAGGGTGTCTCAAAAATAAGTAACACTTTTAATTTTGATTTGCTTTTCAGGTACTCATCATAGAGCGTTCATTTTCTCAGAAAACATAGTATGGATAAGTAGTAAAATTTAGGTTGTGTTTGCATTTTTTATTAACCCACAGAATGACAAGGAGATAAACCCAAGAAATGAGGTGCAAAATTGCTGTTTGGCAAGAAGCATATAAATCAGTAAGAAAAACTCAGCGTCTTTTTAACAGAGAATTTTGAATTAATTCGGCTCGGATAGTTTTCCTTAGCGCGTCTGCTGCTTGATCTTCCTGATCATTGTGCATCAACTACAGACACAGTTTCCATAAATTTACGATGAATTGCATAAATTGTTCTTGGGGAAGGAGCCGAATTAATACCAAATTCTCCGTTAAAGAGGCGATGATTCTGCCTTACTGATATATACGCTTCGTGCCAAACAGCAATTTTGCACCTAATTTTTTGGGTTTATCACCTTTTCATTCTGTGGGTTGATAAAAATGCAAACAATACCTAAATTTTACTACATATCCATACTATGTTTTCCAAATAAATGAACGCTCTATGATGAGTACCTGAAAAGCAAATCAAAATTAAAAGTGTTACTTACTTTTGAGACACCCTGTATATATATATATATATACTATATAATGTATATATAGTATCTCAATGGTGGATGGGCAAATTTTGAAACTGATGAAAATGTGTTGTTAAAATATTTTGGATGGAGCATGTTTTCCCTAGTATATTGTTTTCGTACTTTGCTTACGTACGTCAAAGTAACCATGGCGCATAAAGACATTCAGTTAGTTACATCATGATGATGACAACATATGACTATGAGGTTACCTGAATTCCAATTGACATATGAGAATGGAGACCCATCAGACCATGACCATCCTCCATCTACGACATCTAATACGTCATCCTGGAAAGACATTTTGTCAGAAGCACCAATCCACAAGTTTGCAGCAAACGGAAGACCTTGACCAATGCCTGAAACAAGTAAATGCCAAAAACGATTAAAATAAAATAAGCTTCACCTTGTGAATAAATATTCAAATTTCCGCGTATCAAACTTAGTGTATCTGAGTATCGATTTTAGATTTAAAACCCTCTGTAGATTTTTAAAACGTATACAAACATAAAAAAAAACTACAGTCGAATTTAAAGTAATTATCTAAAGTTTTTGTTATTATCTCGAGTGTTGAAATATCTTTCTGCTTCCAACTAGGACCCCCACATCTTAGATGCCAATCTTGCGCTCTTTACTGTTAACGAAAGTAAGAAAATTGAGGTATGAAGGAGTTACACATGAACAACTATGAAGTTAAACCTGAACCTGGTTTTAATTTTTTTTTATTCTCCAAATCAAAATAGTAAACAGGTATCAGTTCAAGTCTGTTGTGATGTATATAGCATTTCAATAGTATTTGATTGTATGCTACTTATGTGAAATATATAACGAACGACCTGCCAAAAAGCTGTTTTCATCTGGTGAGTTCATAGCAACCAAGTCTCCACCTTCCTGTTGACATTTGAATCTGGCATCGTTCCAACTCCTAGTTCTGTCTATATCAATCTAAATATGACGTTTGTTAATTAAGAAGATACAATCTATCGGGAGTGCAACAACTTTTCATATAATATACCGGTTTGCCGGTGAAATACATTTATGAATATATTCAAAAACTCAAAAAAAAAAAAAATAAGTTAAAACATTGAAAGATATTTAAAAAAAAATTCTCTTTTTAACGCAAATTGCAATTAAATTGTGTGGAAAGTCAATGTGTCAAACCTTGTAACACTTTTCGTTAGCTGGGTTTGAAAACCATCCATTTCCGCCACATTTCTCGTAATCACCATCTATAAAAACAATAATATTATGTTAATTAAATAATAGAAATTTAAATCATACAACAAAAATACTGAAATTCTTACCGATAACAGGTGGTGTTGGAGTGTAGGGTGTAACTTTGACTGTAAGAAAAAATATTGTATTAAAATTGCCTCAAAACAATGGTATTTAAATTGGATAACCCACACAGTGACCAATAAACAGATAACAAAACGGACATGAATACTATAGATTATCTTTGACCTTAATTGTCACATTCAACATTCAGGCGAAATTAACTAATTATCAACTGTAACTAATTAATTAACTAATAATCAATTGTACTCAATTAACTAGGCATTATTAATTGCAATTAATCAATTAGGCATTTGTTAATTGTAATTAATCAATTGAGCAATTGCTAATTGTAATTAATTAATTAAGCAATGACTAATTCTATTGTTTCTTTAACATGCGTTTATGCATGGTCTAACACTGTCACTGAAACGTTACAAAAATATTTTTGTGTTAGTGTGCAACAATGATCTTATATCACTCAGTCTTGGAACACTATGGATAGTGTTAAATTTGAAATGCTAGAGATTCTTACTTTCTGGACTTTTGCAAACAAATACTCTAGAAATTGTGCACGAATCATCTCTCCATGTTCCAGAATTTTCCGACATATAAACACAATCTTGTGTTTTTGATGCACTATTCGACCAATTTTCGAATTCTACCGTTTCTCCGTCAATCCATTCATACGAACTACCAACTTTTCTCAATCCAATCCAACTGTCTTGCTGTATATGGCCTTAACAAATATCATCCAAGTTAAACAAAAAATATAAATCTCTGTTATGACTAGAATAAATAATGAGTCTTATTTCCAAACTACATGTAAGCAGTTATGCACGTGGTAGGTAGATAGCTGAAAGCGTACTCAATTTATTATGTATGACCAATGTTAGGATTCAGAAAAGGATTTACATATTTATTTCGGGCGGAGGAAAGCCGATAAGATGGATTAAGCATATGGCGAATCGTTGCAATTCGCCCGGTTACCACCCATGTTGAGTATGGGGTTAGTTGTAGGTAGTTACTTGTTTCAAATGCATTGAACTTGACGGTTGACGGTTGAGTAAGCCTTAACCAGCTGTTACGTGAACCACCCTATGGCGACGAGGAGTCCAGAAATACTCCGGCACATAATTATCCCCTCACGGGATTCGAACCCGCGTACCCAAGCAGGGTAATCATAGGTGCGGTGGCAAGCCTATTCCTAACGCCGTCGCCGAGCCAATTATGTACAATATACACCCGAACATGGACCGTGTAGGGATCGGACAAAATATCTTCAACGCGCGATGTGAATATAGTACAGTGACAGTCCCGCATTGCTGTACAACCAGAAGCAACAAAATTAATGTAATAATGACAAAAAAAGCATATCTGACCCACCGTGTACAAATGACATCTCGTCAGCAGATAGTACACTAGCGAGTACTGATGGGTGTCCGTCTTTTGATAAGGAGTTACAATATCCTGCTGCTGATGTTTGAGTTTTTTCTGCATTTCCGAAGTAATAACAGTTGTTTTTCATCCATCTCCAACCATCATTGCATTTACCATCAACTAAAATTGATTGATGTTATCAAATTTATTGACAACTCGTGCTCAACTAAGTCATTACCTTTTGATATTTTATATTTAAACTTGAACTAAATTGGGCGAAAAGTGAAAAAAAAATCCGAATTGTGAGCTCTCCTTTTAAGCTCCCGCAAATGCCCAAGACTAGGTTCGTAACAGACACTGCTAATAATTCACTCGGTCCATGAGAACAACACAAAAATGTTTCACAATTGTACTTACTTGTTACAACAGGAACTGAGGGGAGAGTTGCCCCCTCAGGTAGCTCGCAAATATATTGTAGCTCGTGAAAGCAACTTGAAGTTTCCCAATTTGTGTTTTTATTTCCTGAATACATTGCCATGCAGTCGTATCTTCCTATAAACAAAAAATATATGCGCAATAGGTTAATTGATATTTGTATAAATAAAAATATTTGACATGTTCGAAGATCCAAAACATGCAAGAATCAGACAAATCAGAAAATAAGGCGTGAAACCTGCGGGCCAAATGCGGCCCTAAAAGAAAAATTGTAGGGCCCATAGAGAAGTGCCAATTTTGAATTATGTGCGGTCCGCGAGACGAGTTTTTTATTCAATTCAATTCGGTACGTGCAAGTAATTCCAATCCCTTTGGGCGTTGCGATGCCTATACCCGACTCCAATTTATTATCTATCTATTAAATAAAGGTGCGACTCGCGGTTTCATCCAGTTATTTCTATCTAGTCCTTCTGTATTAAAGGTTGCAAACCCCTGTGGTAAACTATACGCTGAGGCACGTATTTGAAAATAATTCGTGTTTGGTCTTATTCCCGTTTTGGCTTTAGTTTAAATTGAACATGCAATCTTTTCCCATAATCAAGTCATCATCGATAACTGCACATTGTCAAAATTGATTTAACGATATCCATTTATTAATTGAAATATGATTTCAAGTTGTTCGATTATGGTGTGACTACAACATTCAACTTGTATTAGGTTCGAGCTTACAATACCTTATCCGGTTTGTTTTTGCTTTCAAAAGATCTCCCACTTACGACGTCGGGAATGCAAATTAATAATATTCGAGCAGTCTCAAATTTGCGAGACTACATACAAGTTATGTGCGTAGTATTGCATATTATAGTGGTTGCGTATTTACTTTTCCACCGCGACACGCTGCAGTAAGACTTCGCAAACAGAAGCCTACGTATTAAAGGACTTTGTACCTTGTAGCTGTTAAAGCATTTTCAATATTACAACCACCTCACCAGGTGTAGATCGAGGCATGTTAGTATCCCAATATGCGGTTTTTATTTCTGTGTTATCCCACCATCTGAATTCGTCATCGTGTCCTACATCTGAACCCCCAATCCATATCTCGTGCGCACCGGAATTGTAGTATTGTTCTAATGCAGTTGCCAAATATTTTTGCTGGTCTGGCCTGAAAATAATAGTGAAATATAATACATCAATGTTAAATTTACATGTTTTATGTATTCTACCTAAAAAAATTGACGATAGAATTGCATAAAAAAATGGGATGGGACATAACTCTTATCCTACTTTTCCGTTCCCACCCCGTTTACGAAAACTATATCTTATATTATGTAAAAAAAAATTCCCCACTGACGTTTCAATTTTGAGTAATCCAGCTCCGAGAGCTTGGCATTTTTCCATAGCTGTTGTCCACGTAGCTGCTCTGTTGGGATTCACAACCAGTTCGTAACATTTGCCTGCCAAGTATATCCATGATGGAGGACAAGTTGCTGAAAAAAAGAAAAATATTCGAGTTGAAAAAGTCAAACAAAACTTCTTGTGCCAAATTCGATGACTGAAGTCACAAATAATAAGAAGAATAACATACTCATCCACGAGGAGAGGAAAGCCGATAAGGTAGATTTATATAGCGACCCATGGGCTCTCGTCCGGTTACCAGTCCATGCCGGGCATGGGGTAAGTTAGCCAGTTATTTGTTTCAGATGCATGGAGAAAATGTAATTCCTTAGTTTATAATTACCCTTGTATCCCTTTTCACAAACAAAAGCTCTTTCGCTTGAACACTTGACTGAATCCCATTGGTATTGTTTTGAAAGTGTCATGGCGACACACGTACTTCCGGTGTACAGTGTTCTGAAGATAGAAAAAAGTTTTGTAACGTAGATTATACGGGACTACATTATTCGATAGTACAACATTACTTAAGAGGGGCGTAACGTATGCATTCAATCAATCATTTATTAATCGCACACTAAACGCGATATAGGAATATTGCACTTACGGTGAGATAACTTGTCCCGTCGCCAGATTGTTGTAGCTGACAGGGTCGTGTGTCGTCCATTGTAGAGTACCAGGATTATCCTATATAATGAAATAACAGTTTTTATTAATTTAATACCCACACATATAATTACTGACCTTAATCGTTTTATGCAAATTTATTAATGGAAGAGTTGAAAAGCTACATTAACAATTCGAAAACTGTAACTGTCTGAAAACAGCATACACATAATTTTATTCGAATATGTGTGTTTAATATTTACTTAAAAACTTCACTTCACAGTTATTTTTAACAAAAGGTACAAGGAGAATAATCTAATGTAGCGTTACTGTAAACACACACAACACAAAAACATACAGGGGCAGGTGCATTTTAAAATGGTCAATGAATAAAATTTCAATAAATTTTGTAAAATCCCCGACCCAAGAATATTTTCAAATACATTGATCGCATGTGCTGTTACTATGGACGCGAAATTAATACTTATATTCACATAAATTTTTATATAAGAATTCTTTTTTAGAAAATACTTCAAAGTGAGATAGTTGGGCCTGTTTGCCACCACCGAACTTTTGAAATCGTGGCGTGGCCTTACTTTAAGCAAAATAGATGCTGCCATGTTTTTGCGCTATACAATTACTAATGAGCACCCCAATACTAAATATAAAATATACAATGAAATTCACTGAAAAATAAAATACGGTATGTAACATTTATGTTTTTGTTGAAAAAACAAATGCCCCATAAAGGTTTCCAGGCGATCCATAAGTTAGGAGAGCAATGCTCCACCAAACAAAATAAAACACTGCAATGTACCAAATTTGAACTATGTCTTAAAATTTATAATCAGAACCCAAAAAGAATTATCAGTTATCACATAGCTCATTGTAGCGGAATATACAAAATGAGTTAGACGTGCAGTTTCGTTTTGGAAGGCATTTTAAATATATTTTTTTCAATGCTACGATATATATTGCAATTCCTTCGGAAACTAAATTTGTTATACGATTCAATGGGTTTACATTGAATACATACATGTGCGCATGGTTCGTGTTAATGATATTTATTCAGTTTTGACTTAATTGATTCATTAATTCAAATTATCAAAAGCCGAAAATTTACATACCGTATCGCTTAATCCTATCCAAAAGTCTTTCAAAAATGGTTCTACAAGACTTTGCACTAACTGTTGTTCACTCGATGAAGTTATGGAAACCAGTTCTGCACCCGACGCTCTGTTGTAATCGAGAATATTGGAGCGAATTGAGAAATTGATGTCTTATGATTTAATTTTTGTTTACTGTAAGTCTACCCTTACATGAGGCGGTTTGTAATTTTGTTTGAAAAAAACGAAAACAATCAACGTTTCATGGCTAAAAAGGGTCATTAAAAATATGGACCTCTTGAAGTGGGCGCACCAAGATGGCGCACAACCTGAAATCAGGTTGTGTACCAGGTTAGGGTTCAGGTTATGCGACATCTTGGTGTACATACTTCAGGAGTACCAAGAATATTTCTAAAAAATAGTAGTTTTATATAGCAGTGTATGCTTTTACAAAAACCTTATTCAGAGTTAACTATTTAAACAAATTCTTAGATGAAGTTGTAGGGCTGACAGAGAATATTATCCAGAGTTTAAAGTTCGAGTAAATAACATCGTCATCAACCCACAACAGAATGAACTAGCTAGACAGACAATCGTACTTGCAGTATGCTTCTCCTTCAAACCACTGTAGTTCTGTATTGAATACGTAATAGCAGCTTGATCCACCGTCTATCCAGCCTTGTTCACAGCTGTCAATTGTTCCTGAGATATAAAAATAAAGAAATACAATTGGAAATACACGGAATTATTCAGCTTTTAAAATCTGTTACTGAATATTGATGAAAAGAGTGGAATCGAATAAAAGTAAATATTATTGATGAAAACACACTATCGCGTTTTTTAAAGTTGCTCTCTTTGTGGTTTCTACTATATGTTTACTAAATAGTAAGTTTTATGATTAACTTGACCTACCGGGTGCCCGTTTACAAATAAAGTTATCTTTGGCGTCACAACTCTTATCGTTCCATTCTCCTCGATATAGCGGTAAATTTACCCACATTTCAACACAATCTTCACCGTTTGTGTTACTAGGCTCTCCAAATTTCCAATTTCTAAAGTTATATAATTTTGAAAATTATCTCTATTATATAATATTTTATTTTCGTACAAGACAAAGTGTGAAATTAAAGATTGAATGAATTTGTTTACTGCGAGGTAATACCAAATAAAAATGGTTTCTCGCTATACAGACAAAATTTTACGAAAATGCAAAAGAGGAAATTTATGTGTATCTAGTTTTCAATGACTATTTTTCTGAGTTACGAAACGTGCACTATAAAAGCGTCAGACTCAATTGCACCGCAATCGCAGGCTACACTCTTTTAAAAAAAAAGATTATTGATCGTGTTTTTATTGATATTGCTTGACTTGAAAATATACACTTTTTGAATCGAATTCACGATAATATATTTCCACACGTAGTGGTTTCGAAGTTATATATATATACAGTCATAATTTCAAGAATTCACAGGGTACGAATGCAGATTTTGTTAAAGAATCATGAAAGAAGAAGAAGTCAATTGTAATTTTTGTCGAGATGATCCGATCTTTGCTTCGAAGAAGACACAAGCACTAATAACGTCAACAGCTATTTGTGGTATTCCATACTTACGCAACTGCGGGATCTAACGCCGAGCCGTCAATCCACGTAAATGTCTGTTCATGTTGAAAATCATTTAATCCAATCCACCAGTCTGTATCTTGAAATACTTGAATTTTGCTGTACGCGTAATCCTGGAAAAACAAATTGCAGAAAATAATATGATGGTGAAAATATAATGAGTAAATTCATTGTGACACAACAAGTATCGTCAGAAATATTATCGTGGGGAAGCGCTGCAACTTTACTAGCAGTTTATAGTGATTAATATTTCAAATCTTCAAATTAAAATCAGTGACGAAATGTTGTTGCTTAAATCAATTTCTCACGCACTCACTCAGAAAAAATGACTCATCTCTGAGGAAAGTTAAGAAATACTGAAATGCTAAAACTATTTATATTTAGATATATAGCATTGCATTATATGCCAGAATAATGCAGATTGACGCGAGATTTGAAAGAGCTATGAGAGACAGAATTCAACATAGCTCAATTTCTTCAAAAATTAAAACTTTGGACAATAAAATATCTTTGTATATATGGTCCAGGGTTGGGCAAGGTTTTTGAACTAGGGGACAAAAATGTTGCTCACCTAGACTGGCGGGCCATGTGAGTGTGACGTAAAAAGTTACATTTTAGGAACAATATTTACAGTGTCACAAAAGCAAAACTGAAAACAATAAGCTTCGTTCCCCAACTGAATTTAATCACTGTCTAAACAAATTAGTCTAAACAAATTCCTCGATCTATTTTTTATCTAATAAGTTGAAATTTGAGTTTGGTTTGGTTGTGGCAGCATCAGGTGGGTCAGATTGAATCACCCAATGAGCCGGATCTGTCCCGCAGGCCGTAGTTCACCCATGTCAGGATAGACTATCCTAGAAAACACGACAATAAACCGATAAGAGCTCACAGCCGACCGAGGATTACGACGGCTGAACAATTTCCGAAATATATAAAATAAACACAGCCACATTTCTGCAATGGGGAAGAGTTTGCATTGTGGACGCAAAGTGAATTAAATTTATTATCGTGTATGCAAAAGATCAGCTTACCCTTTCTTCCACTGTGGTGAAAATAGCAAGGGTACCGCCATTTTCCTGGCAGAAAGATGAAGCGAATGTGAATGTGTCGCGTCTGTCGAGTCCATTTAGCGCCTTAGAAAAATACCAGCAAAAACCGTTGAATGAATCCCAACCTGTAGGACATGATTGAGGAGCAACTGAAAAAAAAATATCATGTTTTAAAAAGTATCTGGGAAATGTAGACGCTATTTCTAAGCCTATTAAAAACTAAAGTAAGTTTGTCACATTTCCCGTATTAGTTCATTTGTTTATACCAAAATAGACGGTGTAAGTCAAGATTCCCTGCCTGTACTACTCAACAATTCCTTGTTTTTTTTTGACATTTCAATGTCATTTTGTTAAGTATATGTAATGTAAGTAAATGCGTAAAATATTCTAGAATTGTTTAGGATTGCACAACGCCGCTCAGCCTTTTTCATTTAATGAGATAATCATGCTTTCTTACACATAATGTTATAGACAAAAAATAAATTGTAGAGCTATGACTTATGTTCACAAAAATATCGGGTGTATTAATTAAGACTCGCAGAAAAATAGAATCGAAGGACTGCCCATTGCAAGCTTGACAAAACACTACTGTCTTAAAGAAAGAAGTAAAAAATAAATATTAAGATACATTCCGAAGATAATATATCTGTAAACAACACCGCCTGAAAGATATTGGACAGTAAATTATCGTTAGGCATAAAACTATTTTTATTGAAAATATATAAACGTCTCATTATAACATAAATTCTTAGCGTGTTAGTCTGGTGCTAACTGAAACATCTGAGTCCACTCCAGCATTTGAGCCCAAGGCGCCCATGTAAGTTGATTTACCCCGTTTATACGAGCCATTAGCGCACCGTAAACTAGTTCTAAACACAAAGTTCTTTTCCATCTTTATTATAGATGTAATAATTACATTAGTAATAGTCAAAAATGTAAATAATATTACCGTAGGGACTATATGCAAGTACAATAAATATGGATGTGAAAATGCAGGATATTCTCCCCATGATCATCAAAGATCCGGCACAATCCTTGGAAGTGCTATGTCGTTTTCTTTTGGAAAAGTATTGTTATATTACAGAACTAACTAAATTGAAATTTGGAGAAATATTAATGAATACACTTGTATATTAAAAACAAGTATATGTACCGTATTTTAGAGACTATAAGGCGCACTTTATAAATTCATTTTTATATTGAAAATTGTTCCTGCGCCTTATCATCCGTTGCGCCTAATGTATGGATCAGGCAGTGCTTCATTGTCTACATTCAAAACTAATACGGTATTGGTTTAACAAACCGTTGCGTCTTATAGTCCGATGCGCCTTATGTATGAATTAAAATCCAATCTGAGCAATTTAAAGACAGTGCGCCCTATATAACGGTGTACCTTATGGTCCCTAAAATATGCCATACAAAATAAAATGTAGCGTGACATCGTGAGTTCTCTGGATAGCATGGTATCGAGTGATACCAAATAAGATTATACCACTCATTTCTAGCAAGGTTTGAGTTGTTTTCCTGCAAAGTAGGAATAGAGATAAGGCACATGATTCTATTTCATATGTTGATGACATTTCTTGAAAATGGGGCATTGTGTTCTAAACACACGAGCATAGAATAGCGCGGTAACGTGTGGATTTGACCTACACTATTTGCGCATAGTATTTTGAAGTACTTGTCTAGTTAAGGTGTTTGCTTTTGTTAGATAAATGTTGAACGTTTATAATTAACAATAGCTGGCCTGATGTTGCACTTTTAGGAAGTTAATTGAACTTCTGAACTCTCGAACAAAACTTTCCTCAAAGTATTTGTGTACATTGTATTTAAAATGATAATTTGACGGATAAAATTATACCATGCAATGTTTGAGAATTAGCAGCTACTGTTTCCTTTAAGCTGGTAAAAAGTTTATGGCTTGCTTTTTGTAAAGGCACGAAGACTTTGCAATATCATCTAAAAATATTTACAATGATAATAAAATTATATACAAATACCTTTCATAAATCAAATAGGTAAAAATTTTGAAAATGTTCTGTTTTGCAGATGGTACTATTTCATGGGTTCGATAGTCATATCCAGAGAAGAATTTAAGGCGCTCACGTAGTATGTGCACGAAGATGGCGCACAACCTAAACCCTAACCTGGTACTCGTACTATGTGCAGGCTGTGCGCCATCTTGGTGCACATACTTCTGGAGCTCCGAATTTAAGTATCGACTTCTTTCCACAAAATATCAATAATATTTTTGCTAAGAGCACTGGCATTCACCACTTTTTTGTTGAAACCGAGCTCTTCTTTTACTTGTTTCAAAAAAATATAGAAATATAAGCAAATTTCAGAAGCGTAACCAAATAGAGGGTGTAACCTTGACCTCATTACACGTGTACAACAAAATTGGTTGCGCGAAAAAATCCAATTAGAGCTATGCAAGTACGATATCTAATGTTTAGCATGTTCTTAAATATTCCATGCGTTAGTTTGTGTATTGTTGTATTCCCATTTGATATTATGTGAATATTATGTATATTATTCTTTTAAGCATGCATTTTCGTAACTCTGTCTTCTGATAGGGGGGGATACCGTATCTGCTTTTCCATTGCGCAGATGCCGTTGCATTGCCCACCGGCCACCGCGCACTTCAGTCACATTGCATTAACACTCAATGGTCTGCAACAGACTGCTATCCCCAATCTCAATATCCTACTTTTGCTAACCCAGCCTTTTTGTCCATCGCTGTCGCCTTATATTCATTACTAACACTTAATGTTCTCATTTCTCTAATTATCAATTTTTTTCTAGTTACAGTACTTTTGTGTTTAATCTCAAAAAGTTTTTAACAAATAGGCGGCACTCCACAGCCATCAGTGAGCCTGCAGAACACACCATTCGCGTATGAAGAACCTTTCCGCATGTTTTCTATTAATTAAGCTAGCCCGATTGCCAAAGAATTTATTCACCTGATTAGGAGATGATTAATTAATAAGTAATTTCTTGTTTGGCGCCACCAGTCTCTATGCATTACCAGTATGACGAGAATGTATTGTGAAATGTATGCATTCTACATATTGGTTTTGGCTTGATTCGGCTTCATAACATTTGTACCCAAGTCCTACCATATGTATGATAAATGCCCGAGGATTTGTGATTAAAAATGATCTAACAAAAATTAACACCTGAGCGAGGTCCGCGTTACAACTGTGCCCTTAACGCGATCCGAAATGGAGAAACCTTGGGGATTGTTGACAAGTCAATATAATATTAAACTGCATTGTTTGCTCAATGTTTAAGGCGACATCGGTGAGATCTTCCGAAACGCAATGACACAAAATAACTATTAGTAAAATATGAACGTGTATGTATGCAGTACACGTGCTAACAATAAACGTATGTTTAAATGGATTGAATACCTGGGTCATGGGGGCACGGGCAGAGTCGTACACACCTCCTCATTTAGCCTCCTGGCGACAAACGATCTATAACCATAGAAAATTTCGAAGCAATTGGTTCGGCAGTTATAGAAAAAAACGATAACAAGAAAACGAATACTAACAACAACAAAACGATTTAGTGTGTCCAATAAGGTGGCTGCTATGACAGGATTCGATTTCTATTGTTTTATTTTATGTTATCGGTCGTTCACAGGAGTACGCGAAAAAGATTCCACTATTCTTGCCGGCTCGTAACTACTCTTCCCACTTCAGGACTGCGCCATCTCTTTCTTTGTCTGACCGCCATAGAGATTGGTCGTGTTTTCGTAGATCTCTGTTTATCTGTTCAATCCGTGTATTTTTGCCGTATAAGAAAGTTGTTTACTTGCGCCATCAGTCTGTCGAACCTATTTATAATAATACTATACGTCTTTTCAAAGCGCAGACTCTACTGAAATTTTTACAGACTTGGTGAACTTACCTAGATAAATGGTTTTGTTTTGAAAACTTCATAAAACATACAAATTGAAAATGAGGAATGGGCAGAAGAGAGAGAGCAAAATCTTTAAAAAAGTTTAAAACATGGGAAATATCATGTGCCCGGGCCTCACCACACATAAACCTAGTTAACGAGGCTTGGGCCAGAAATGACCAAACAAAAGATATTCGACTGTATTGAACTTTCGGCTGTTATACTTTTAAAACACTCAAGCTGCAGTATTAATGATTAATTCAGTCTGATACAGTATATTTGTACATGCCTTAATTTAAATTTCTTGAAAAGATGGAAATATAAATTCAATTTTCAATCATTTGAAACTTACACTGATACAGCAATATACAGCTACATGTTGTTAATCAAAGTAATGTTTATTTTTTCCCACCCCTCAATGGTATTGTGACAAACCGTAGATCTTTGGCGTCAAATATAAACTTTGATCAACGGATAATATTATTTCCAATTCTCAAAAGAATTTTACAATATGATCTATTGATCATTACAAAATAAAACTTTTAATACCAGATTACTTTACAGCCTACAATTTTAATATTAGCATCTCAGTATTAATACCAAATTAAAAACTAACAGAAGGATGAAAATCTTAAAAAAAATTGTGTGAGTATGTCAGTATGGATGAATAACTGTCTATATTTTCATTTTTATTTCATAAATAAATGCAGACATGTCTTACTCAGTGTGCATTATAAAAAGTTTGTAATATAGCTATTCGGTGATTTTCTTGTTTTCCAAAATTGGTATTTATAGATATTATTATCAAATCGTTTTGTTTCCCCGTTTTTTACGTCTTGAAAATACTAATAATTATTCCGGGGGCCACAAAAATTATTTTTGCATTGCTCGCGGGACACAATAATGACAAGAATATGTAAACAGTGCGATACTAAACAAACGCTTTGATTGTGCTAATGGATTGATCAGTATTTGTCATTTATCAAGCTGAAACATGCAAAAACCACCAAAAAAACTACTAAAGCCTGTAAAAGTCTTTCTATATTTACATTTAGTGTAAGATTCTAAACTCTTCATAACGGAAAAAGGGCTTCCGCAAATGTAAGTGCTCTCGATCATCGATCATATTTTCAAAGCAAAATCTTAACTTTCGAAAATGCTAATTGCTCATAAGATTCTAAATTGCGATTTCAAATTATATTCTATTGTCACGACATAGGTTGCCGAGATATCAAGCAGGCATTGTAATATTTTGTAATATCTGTTTGAAATTGTCAGCTTTTCCAAAATCATAAACTAATAACTGCAGATTGATTGATTACCAAATGTGAGGTACTGGAGGGAGATTACTGAATTTTCTGACATATGATAGTCAGCATTTTTTGTAATACTGTTTAGGTTGGTTGCGAAAAACACCCGGAATAAATTATATCGTTAGGCCACACCATTAATATTTATTAATCAGGCATAGCCAACCTAATGGCAACCCGCATTCGATTTTTAGTTTTCTATGATGCCAACATTATTAGCATATATTCCCGATCAAAAAGATAGAAAGTCAGATAACAACTTAGACTGCCAAGCACATAATTCAACTACGCAAGTTGCCTCAGCCATAACACTAGTCAATTCAGTAAGATTGGTGATGTAACAATATGTCAAAAGATTTTTCTGATTAATTTTATGATGAAACAACACCAAATTCGATTTTTTGATTACTCTACTAATGCGCCGCACTGATAATGTAGCTGTGGGCCATATGTGGCCGCGGACCTGGGTTTTGACCACCCTGGTCTAGATGCAGTTCCCGACATCGTTAGGGTTGAAAGGTATTGTACCTTCAAAATATAAACCGCATTAGTAAAGGATGAATTTATTTTTGCACAACAAAACGAAAATTTGCATATACAATTATATTTTCATATTGCACAATGAGAAATATCACAGTAATAATTATGAACTCATGATAACTTAAAATCAGTAAAAACGAAGGGAATGACAAAAACTGAAAAGATTTTAAACCATATATGAATAGTATGAAATGACACACACCGTTTATTTATCAGTTGTCCAATTCAGCATTGTTAAAATGCGTTGATTAAACTTCGATTCATGTGATACAAAAGGTAATGCAGATATGACAGCATATGTTACATTACGGAGAAAAACATCGCTTGCACTCAAAACTATTTTGGATATGAATAAACCATAAGAGGCATCAACTTGCCTATTGAGTTACCGCTGGTTAGATCCTAAGTAATATAAACCAGCCATACATGCTAATATATCTGCCTTTTTAGAAAAGTTTGATAATCCAAATTTCGAGTTTAAAAAATGAAAGATGTTTTGTTGTGGAGACGGTGTAATAATGATAACGAGTGAGATTGCACCTATTGGTACAATGGTTTGGGTTTTTGAATACAGCTCTCCAATAGCTTTATTTAAAATTTTATCAAGACCCGTAGGTCTGGTTGTTGGAATGAATGCAAATTTTTTGATTTTTTTTTCTGAAAATATTCTGCTAGCTGGAATCAATTATCACAAATTCAATAAAATTCGGTATTGTGAAAAAATCTGTTATAAAAGATGGAGGATGAGGAGTTCTATGTACATTTTGTACATTGTTGATTTCAGGCTATAATCCGATTCTCTCTACGCAGGAGTGCTCTGAAATAGAAGCATAAGTGTAAATGTTTCATGTTTCATGTTCAAATGTATAAAATGCAGTTCAAATGTTTGTGGGCGCGACGGCCTATTCCATTTCATTAGATGCTTGTACAGACTCTTGTGCAGAGCAAAAGTCGCGAAAGAACATAGTATAAAAAAAACTATTCCAAATTGTTGCTGTATTTAGGTACCGGTAAGTAAACTTTTTCGAAGTATTTCCAAGCTGTCTAGAGAAATTCAAACAGAGATATTTAATCGTTCATATCATCACAAGATTCAGTCTGTAATTCAATTCTCGCTCATTACCACAGCAAATATAGAAAGTCTATTTATTTTGAATCATATTTTTCAACCGTAATCATGTAACTCACCCCTTCAAGACCCACTACTGGGTTATCGAATCCTGAAGATTTAGTACCCGACTCAAAAACAGTTGATGGTTGTGATGATTTATTTCCACTAAACATAGAAAACGACGGAACCGATTTACCATCTCTGCTGAACCAGAAAGCCACACCAGCAATAACAACAAGTAGAAGTATGCCTATTACTATTCCAGCAATTGCGCCTCCAGATAACCCGGATGATGGGATAGGTTCTTGGGAGGGAAATTCGTAATCTGTAAATACAAAATAAATTAGAAAATCGTAAACGGTATATTTATTTATTTAAAGCGCCGTATTCGATCGTGTTGGCTTGCATCGCTAATTACACTCCAACCCAAATATCACGCCCACCACTGCACCCAATCCCAAATATTTCAGCCCTTTCAAAAACAGTAGTTTCTCACATATTGCTTGATACCAACGGTTGTCTGTAAGGGGCTTGTTAGAAGCAAAATGTCCGAATAACTGCCTCAAATAAGACTCGTAACTGAATTTGCCATTAGAAAATTGGAGTAGGTAGAACTCAAGGTAATCAATCTTTTTGGATTGTACTAATTTATCTGCGATTAAAGTACCAAATTACAGGAGAAGTGTTTTACAGTCAACTTTGACTGGTTACTAAAATTGTGGTGATGCGAGGGCCTAGTTGTCGAAGCGTTAGAATTAGACATAATGAAATCGTTGGTTGAAAACTTTGACTCAAATCCCATGCCCAAATTGGGTAGGCAATGCATAGCCGGAAACATCACGTCCTTCCTAAATAAAATGGCTCACTGCATATTAGTGGCTTGTGCAGAGTCATGTTCAGAGTAAAATAAACTGATATGTTTTCGGAATTCATAAGAATTAACAAATTGGTAGAAGTAGAACAAATTAGAGAAGATAAATTATATATTTCAGGTAGATTTCTAAATATTGAAACACATCAAATCATGTTAAATTCTTTGCCATTGTCTTTCACACAGTAGACTAACATCATGATTTGTACAGTCATACTTGACCTTATTTAAACCTATACTTACTTGCTGGATAAAAACAGCCCGAGAAATTTGAATTAAACACAGTTTCATCCCAACAACAACCTCTTCTCAAGCAAACAGATTCATCAATACCAGTGTAACCACAGTCTTCACGGAAGTCTACGGGAACCGCTCCACAATAGGCATATTCTAAATGCAGATGTTTATATGTTATGTTTGTACTACCATACAAGCTATATAGATAGATTACTGATATTTTGATTCTGAACCACAGAATGCAAGAAGTGAACAAAACATGCAAATAGGTTTTAAAAGTAGTTTTGAAACGCGTCATCTATTGAGAGGGGAAACATAAAACAAACTAAATAACAGATTAACATGTTTAAAGACTGTGCATTGTTTTTTTCTCACTTTTTTCATCCATCGGAGCTCACAAGCCATAAAACAAGCATACGATGTCGAAGAACTATGTAAAATAATTAAAATTTTGCTCCTGAATAGTTTTTCACTTGTAAATAGCACTGTAGCATTGTAAATAGTAAATTTTATTTCATTGAGGAAATTAACATTGTCAGGTATAACGCGCTGCTATGTAACTAAGGCTATAAGCCCAAAACCCTGTAGTCAAATTGTTCTGGGTCGAATGAAAGAATCTTTGACTCCATAGCAGATGATATAGATTGAGATTCATTCTGATGAAATTTTCATGTTGAACGCTTCAACAAAACGAAATGTATCGACTGCTAGCTAACCTTTATGTACTCTGCATATGTATCCACGATCCTGGAAGCAGTCAACATCATTCCATTGTCCATCCCATGGATACATTTCAACACAGACTTCACCACGTTCAACTCCGTTAGGTTCACCTGGTACCCAGTTAAAAAAATCAACTGGTGTTTCATCTACCCATCTCCAACCACCTGAATGTCGTGGAAAAGGCAAAAATATAGTTTGTTCTACAAAAATAGTTTGTTCTACTAATATAAGAATCACACACTTTTTCTCGTGTCATTGTCATGATCAAGATATGTTTTCAGGAAAAGTAAGGTCACATGCACTCGCTGAAATGCAAATACTAACTGGAACTTATAAGAAAATTATAACGAGAACTGCGTGTTAGAAAAAATCGACAGGCATGAGACTTAATTAAAGCAATTCATGTCTATTCGGTCAGGGAAACAACTGTAAACCGACGATGATAAACCTGATCAACCGACAAATTTGAAGTAATTTTATATGGTAATTTTGCGTATATGAAAATAATAAACTTTAAAATGGGTTCAGATTTAGCTAATAAATTTTTGACAAAAACAAATGAAAATTACGATAAATGGTTCCTTTGATATTTCTACTTTCATAAGTTCCATATACGAACTGGCTGATCTATGATGACAAATGAAAATTATGATAAAAGGCTGATTTGGTATTTCTACTTTTATAAGCTTCATATACTAACTGCTGATCTATGATGATACTTGGTTAGTCCACGATGTAATAATACAATATTGTGGGTACACTTTGCGCAACAGATGCAAGTCTATCTCTAGTTCCAAGCAAGTAAATTGGAACATATTCTAGTGAGAACACAACTTTTTTACTGAGCGCCCAAGATTTCTGAAACTTTTTGTATATAGTTCAGATCTTTATTCAAAGTGTGTAAAATTTCATGAGCAAAATCATTGGTAAATATTGTCATAACTTACTGAATCCATCGTGCGTTAACCCAGTCCATAAGTTGTGTGATCCTCCAGTAATCATATTGACTATTGCTAGGCATTCGTCTTCACCATGGAAACTTGCAAGTGTTGCTCCTCTCGTTTCACATTCCCCTCTTGCCTCCCAGAACGAGCGAGTAAATGCGCTAGAAGTACCACGCTGAATAAAATGAAAAATTAATTTGCATTTATTATTCAGGAAGTCTTTTTCTATCAGTCTATCAATATATTACTGTCAACAACTTCTACTTCACAGATTCTATGACGAATGGCACACACATAGACATGCATACTTGATACATACACGAAGGTTGTGACGTTACTATACTCGTTATAAAGGTTACAAAAAATGTGATTAAAGTCACATCAAATTACTGTGATGACTTTCATGTTTGCCGAAAACATTAGAATATCTGTTCTAACCAACTACGTATCATATACAAACAGTTGTACCTTTCAAAAACGATCAATTTTACGAACCTCAATATAATAGCAATAAGCTCCATATCCGACGAATCCCGGATCACATGTTCCTTCTATGTCTACAGGAGTTGGTGGTGGGGTAGGGATAGAAACCAATGACTTCTTACACATAAAAGGTAATGTTGCACCACACGACATTCCTGAACCAGTTTCTGAAACTACGCTCCACGAACCGTCCCTTGAATAATATACGGTAAAACCTCAGTACTAATTTAGAATTATTAAACTCTCGTCTAGATGGTGTGGCGCATCATGCAAAGAATACGCTCGTAACAGCCCCTCTGATTACCGTGCGTGGGTTTTCAGGTTCTAATTCCATGCGGGGATGGTTATGTGCGAGAGGACTCCTTGCCACCATAGGGTGGTTCACATAACAGCTGGTTGGTTACGACTTCCTACACCATCAAGTCCAAGCTTTTAAAAACAAATAACTGGTTAACTAATCCCATATCCAGCATGGACACCAACACGGGATCAGATGCACAAGTCGTGATATGCATTGCATACACCATGTAATAGAATGTTACACACCTGTTCATATAAACACATCCTGAACTCTGTGATGCAGTTTCAACATCTGGTTCACCGACTCCCCAGTTGGTATATTCAACTGGCCATCCATCCGCCCATGTAAACGTTGTTTCCGTCAAGATTGGTGATGCCGTTAGAGAATCTATTGGTGTCAATGGTGTGCTGGTCTGTCAGAAACGTAAAACATAAAACAGTGGCACATATAGACACCATAAATTTTTAAATGACAGCTTATCGACAATTTGACTCATGCCAACTATGAAACCTTGCATAATTGTCCTCGATGTTCATAAGTGAAATGCTTTTGGTATCACAAGATGACATGATGTAAACACTGAGTATACAATGCCATGATCGTGGTTGATTCACGGTGATGTCATATTGGATTTTCGTAAATGCATTATTCTGCCTAAATGAATTTTCACTAATTTGAAAAAATATTATCATGTCATTATTGAATTTACAAAGAATTTTCGCCAACTACAAAATTGCAGTTATAGTTGATTCAGTAATAACTCAAAATTAAAAACATGCTAAGAAGCCCAAAGCTGTAATAAAAATGTCGTCGCGAACCCAAAGGCAATAGGCGGTACCCTAGTAGTGGTTACAATACTTAAAAACTCTACTTACTGTTGTCTGATATTGCATTCCAATCCACATAGAATCAGCCGAGATACTTTGCCAGAACATACTTTTTATCATGTTGTTTTCATATCCTTGATAGATACTCACAAGATCTATTCCTTTTCCTAATATTCAAATAAAATATATAAAAGTAACGAAGAAAACCAATTCTAGATTAACAATTTAGTTGAACGCAAAAATGAAATTAGAAAGGCATATAAATCTAATGTAACTATAAGTTCAAATTCATACTCAAGTGAAGTTTTAGTGCAGAGTTTTGTAACCAGGCCTTCAGCCCCCCTTGGGAAGGCTATGGAACGGTTCTCTGGAGACCACGAGCAAAGGCCTTGCGGTGACTACAGTAATTTGACCTTGATTTATTTATTCTTTTGCCTTCACTTATTGCTTTTTTATCGTTAAACATGGTAGATAAAATAACTGTTGTAAATGCTTTCAAAACAAAACCAATCCTTTTATTGAAAAACAATTGGCAACGTAATGATGAAAGATTTTGGAAAGTGGTCTTGTATCTTGAAATTTTGAAAATTTATCACGACGAAAAGTTTTCAGTCCTATCAAACATATTATATTACTGAATATCAGTATCTGAAAGTAAAATCTTTGCCCAGAACAGAAATAGAAAAACATCATCAACATAAAGTTTGGTGACAATCATGCACTACAACACACCTTCATTTTGACACATAGTTCGAGCATCATCCCATGTTGCCGAAGTGCTCATATATTTAAAGCATGCATCCCCATATAACTTATAACCATTGGGACATTGCTCTGGTCTGGGTGTTGCCTCTTGTGGAGGGTTTTCTTCTGAAACATCTTGGTAACAAATGAATGCGTTTACTCCATAACAATCGTCATCATTCCATTTACCAGCTGTGTGAGATGCGTAATCCATTTTCACACAAGATGTCTGAAAGATAAATGAAAAACAAATGTACTCTTTCCTCTACCCTTTCAAATTTGGACAATGTTTCTCGTAAGTATAGGAGATTATTTGATATGAAGCCTCTGAGCAGTTAGTTGTTTGATTGTAAGCAAAGAATCATTAAATGATGTAAAATTCTTTTTTAATGTAGATGGAACTTACGCCATAAAAGTCAGGTTGTCCTGATCCCCAATTTGTGTAGTAAACTGATGATTGATCTATCCAAACAAATGGATTCCAATACGATCCCCACATGCCAATCCATGCATTTCTTCCAATGTAATACATCAAACTGCTAACGTATGCCTGGGTACCAAGAATGGAAACACTTGATTAGTGAAAAATTTAATACTGAAGTCAGAATTGTTTGCTACAACAAAACTTTGAACTAAGGTATGAGATCGGAATCAGGTGAGTAAATTTAAACCTAATGTAAGATACTGATTTCAGCTCTGATCAAAAATAAATACAAATATATAATATATTGAATTCCATGTGAAATATCCCAGTTTAAGCACAAATATTCCTAACACATTCTACATATTGTCATTTCACTTCAGTATTTTGCAAAACAATTTATTCATTATGAACAGTCCCACACAGCATAAATGAAGAATATGATACACCTTGAATGATAGGGTGAACTGTCACTGACCGACAGACTAATCTTCATTTTTTCTTAAGAGATGGATTGAATGATGAGTTACAATTTGACAAAACATACCAAATCATTATTTTGAAAGTCAATAATGGTCCTATATTGTGCATCATTATCTTTTTCTTAAAATTACTGAATAATATTATTCAAAAATGAAACGATAGTAGTTTTGACCTTTGGTTACTACAGAAAAAATATGGAAGTCAATTCATTCATAAAATTTTGAGTTTTAAAATAATTTCGCACCTGTTCGTATTCGTTTTCAACAACAGCCAAAGTAGCTGAGATATTTTCACATCTTTGTCTTGCATCATACCAGTTTAGTCTATCACCAGATGCCAAGCCACCATATGTCCAACATTTGCTTCCAAAACGATAGTAACCTAATATATGAAAAAAATACATTATGGTATACTGCAGAAATGAAGATATTCAATTTAACTAACAATCTTACTTTGAAACCGCGTTTAAAATGAAATTGTCAATAGGTTGTTTATAATCACATATTTAAGATAAATTAAATAAAATATATCTTTTCTATAACACATTGTCATAAGTACAGCCTGTTGCAATCCTTACAATTATCTGTGGAGACAAAAATAATGAACGCTGTGACCTGGTTGTTAAAGTGTTAGACACAATATGATTGCATCGCAGTAATATACTTGGGTTCAAGTCCCACGCCCACCTCCTCACCCAGAGTTTTATAAATTGGGTAGGTAATGCCGAATCACAAAGACTCAAGCTATTGTATCTCCTTAGCTATCAGGGGTTGCCTACACAGAGCGTTGTTCGCAACTAAACTGTATAAATTTGTCGTATAAAAAATTGTTTTAGGTTTGTATAATGATGCTGTCTATTTCTCGCAGTTTCCAGATGCTATTATTTTCAGACTATACAAATTGAAAGGTTACTGTAACTTACTAGAGAATTATACCCATTTCAATTTATTTTGGAAATGCATTTTACAATTTTTGCGCCTTTCACACTAGATTATTTTCCTGTATTCAGGTAACAGATTATAATATACCGGATGGACAATTCCCCTCTGGTGGAATGGTAGGTGGAAAAGTTATTCCACCGACATCGTTCATGTTTTTCATACAGATGTAGGATTGTCTTAGTCCACAGTTATCGTCATTCCAATTACCATCATGTGCGGTCATCTCAGCGCATCCTGGAAACAAAAACCAGCGGTATATTACGCAACTAAATAAAAACGGAATTGCTTTGATAGGGAAATCCATTTGAAAACGATTTTCAATCTAGTTGCAAAGATATAGTAATTTAGACATCTTCGGAAGTCGTACCAGCAATATATAGAGGTATTGTATTTGTATTGAATGCTATTATTATTGGGATATTTACGTCAATGTCAAATTGCAATAAAACCTAGGTATGTAATTCAAGGTCAAATGAACACATACTGATACAAAGATCCCCACATAGCAATGTCAACCAAGCTTTTTATCAGTAGTTAGCCCTCAATTTTCATTTAACTTAGTAATCGCTTTCTACATCCAATAAACTAAACTGAATGAAGAAACACCCAACACATCCGGCGAATTTGAGAAAAAAGCACTTATATCTAGAAACTACAGCAACACAACAAAACAAAAACTAATCAAATTAGAAAGAAATGCTCAAATATATAGACACAAGGGTGCACATAGGTATCAAAAACATAAGGCCTACGAGCATCAAGTTTGCTGATAGATCAGGGACAAAAAAGACGGAGGTGGACAAGCAATAAGAAGTATTCTCATTTAAATAAAAAAAAAAGAAGAAATTGTTTTTGTGAAATATCTGGTCACATATGGAGAAATTTGAAAATTGCAACTGTTTTAGAATAACTTCTTTCATCTACTAAAATTTGAACTCAATTGGTCCATTAGTAACAGGTAAAAGCGATTTTTTCCTCAACAACAACAGGATTAAAAACAACAACAAGAATTTAGTAAAACGATTCATTTGTCCACTTTAAGTCCAAGTATACAAAAGCGTTTATGTAAATTGTTATTATTGCTTTTCTCCGCAATTTAAGTGTCAATTGATTTCAAATTTTCAGTAATTACAAAGGGAAGACATTTTTGGAAGAATATACCAGAATGCTCGATATTCCACCCATCAGTTTTTTGTATTTGCATATATTACGCCATCATGTGCCATTCCTTCAATCAATGTGTATGTAACCGATGTGTATTACTACTACAGTTGTGGGACCTGATTTGTAATTTAGATTTGGCACATTCGAAATATCAGGTAACGGATTTCTGTGTAGCCGCTGCAGTTAGTCAATTAATATTCATGTCCATATATTTGAGCATTGCTCTATAGTTATTGCTCTACTAAAGCATGCTCTAGATTTTCATCTGACAACAATCAACGACATTATTGACTAACAAACTCTTTACTTTTACCAACCTTCACTTTCCAAATAATTATTTGGTTCACCAGGTGCCCAGTTAACGTAGTTGAGAGTTGAACCATCTGACCAGGCCCATTGTTGAAGTGCAACATCCTAAGTAGAAGATAGTAATGAAAAACGATAATATCGCTTTTATGTTACTCACATAAAATAAAATATGTATGAATAATGGTTGATGCTCATTCGATGGTATATAAATAGGTAATACGACTTCTCATTTGTTACGATGCTTTTCATATAAAAGTGGTGGAGTGTGATGATCTTGGGAAACATCACAATCTTTAAAGTGTTACAAAACTATTTCTTCAGTTAAAAAATTTTTATCATAAAATTATTTTTTATACTGTTTGTCTTTCACAGTTCCCAGTGTATGATAAATGGATGGGATTTGCAAAATTTGAAATCTTCCTAATTATAGAGTAGATTCGGGGCAAAATATTGGTGGATGCTCGTTTAATAAAGAGTGAGAAAACATTTTCAACCGAAACTACTCACTCTCAATCCTATCCAATGTTGCTCGAATCCAGAACTTGCGATTCTACTGAGGACAAAAGATTTTTCTTCAATGCTGTGCATGGACACAAGATGTCCGCCCATTTCAGCGCAACTTTTTTCAGCATTTGGCCACGAATGTGGTTCTGCAGTTTCAAAATGGTAACACTTATCTATTCCATCAGATGCAGTGAATTTTATCTGAAGATATTTGAAATATAATTAGGGAAATACAATTTTGAATCGTTGGATATTTAGTTTTAGCCAACCCATAATTATTGTTGTTGTCAGTAGCTAATCATGTACATTTGACATTGGTCAAAAGGCTATATCGGGGGTGGGCAACTTCTCTAGTCGGCGGGCCAGATGTGGGAAAATGAAGTTCGGGCCGGACCCTGCCCGCGGGCCGTATGTTGTCCACCCCTGGGCTATATGCATCCACATGCGCCATTCCCTCATTTGTGAACTGTCAATATGTGGAATTAATTTCTCTTTTAACGACTTTTATCTAGTTCAGGTGTCGCCTCAAATATAGATGAAAGCTTTTTGAATTACGCAATTTTCCATTTTGCTCTTCTCTATGAATATATCAATAAAAATACATAAAACCATAAAACCCCAGAATACCCATAAAACATCTGTTCCACATTCCGTAGATTCAGTGCCTTGTGGTGCAGGTAGAGTGGGTGGTGGTAACGGAGTATCTCTCTTCCCAATCTTGCAAACCCAATTACGTAGTGCATCACAATTCAAATCATTCCACCTGAAATTAATATATTGGCTGCATGAGAACATTCAACAAATGAATTGCCGCTAGCCAACCTAAAGCAAGAAACCAATTTCCGTGTAGCAACATATCTTTTTAAATCTTTTTTCGGTTCACTTTTATAACTGTGGAAATCGTAGAGAGTTATTGTCATTTGAATCGATTAATTAAATTGAATCATGTTTGCCATATTGGACCATGAAATTAGACTCGAAGTCTGGCATTATATTTATATACTGGTAGCAAAATTGGATTTAGTGCCTATTGAAAAACTCTCAAAATTCAAGATCCTATATTTTGCACTCCTCTAACTCTAAGTTTGTATTTTAGGTTCTCAGAACAGAATGAAAGCATTATCAGACTTGAAAACATCTAAGTTAGGCTATTGTAGTAGGATTTTATGTTGTGGTTGGGAGCTGGCAATCTGGAGTTAGGCAATCGTGAAAATCCGCGCAATGATAATGATCTCCCCACGGTAAAATACAATGGGGTAACCCTTGCAAAGTCTACCATCTACTGCCACTTTAAAACGTAATTTATGTAATTTTTCTTTTTAAAAATAACACATCTACCAATTAAATCGAAATATAAGATATTAAATTAATATCGGATAAACTTACATTGAGCCATACGTCAATTGAGTTTCCACACAATTTTCTGCTCCATTATGATCACTAGGTTCTCCGCCAGCCCAATTAGTATACGAAACAGGTGTTTCTTTAAATCAGAAAAAATAAGATAAATTGTTGTTAATCAGTACCGATAAAATGAATATTTTATTTATCTATTGAAACTATAAATTTGTGAATGATTACAATGAGTTCTATTTGTGATTATGATGTATGAAGCATTTTAGTACCGTATTTTACTGACCATTAGATGCACTTTAAATCTTTTTTTTCACAGAAATCAATCATGCGCTTTATAAGTCGGTGCAGTTAATATATAAATCAAGGCTTTATTGCCTACACTCAAAACCAGTACCGGTACTATTATTTTATAAAAAAATTGCCATTTTCTTTGAATAAAATACAAGAACCCTTAAAAATATTGATTTTTTTTTTAATGAGTTTTGTACTGTACTCTTTAAAAACCGCTTCGTCTTATAGGCTGGTGAACCGCATTTATGAATAAAAACTAAATTTGAGAAATTTATTGACAGTGCGTTTTAATTTTCAAAAGACTAAAGCTGTGAAAAGGGCTCTGAGCTTCCAAACACGAAAGTTTGCAAACGTAGAAGCATCTTTTCTAAATAATCATTAGGACAGTTGCCAGTACACAGCATACAAATATGGAGTAAAGTCATTTTTACCATCAGTCCAAACGTATCCAGCATCTGGGTTCTTATTGTTGAGTCCCATCCAGAAGCTTGTGTATGAATATAAAGCTGTTTGAGCTACAAAATCCCAGACAGCAGATTCTTCGATTGAGCTATGCAAAGATAGGAGATCGGCGCCTTGTGCTCTGCAGTTGTCCAATGCGTCATCCCATGTTAGTCTTTCAGCGCGGTCTGTTTTTTCATTTATCTGCGAAATGAAACATAGCATATTGGTATTTAGAAAATGAAAGACTATTTTTTTCAATCACACTACTCAACTGAATCTTCGTTCACAAATGGGAGTAATTTTTAGGCATGCTCATGTCTTTTTTTATTGTTACTAGATTTCGTCTACTGTTAGGTAAGGAGCTACCTTATTTTGAAAGTACCTTGGCCTTTCGGGTCCAATTTAATACACCCTGGGTGAAATGATGGGTTTGGTATTTGAATACGAGATTTCAACCTTTGATGCTATAATAGTTAAGTTTAACGATAACCCATTTACCCTTCACATTAACATGTAAACATGTACCTGATAACAAGAAACTGTGTTTTCGTTTCCCATCCATCCAGTTGGACACTGAACATTGGGGTCGGGTGTAGTAACTACTGGCTGGGTATAACCAGCCCTGTCTTTTTCACAAATATAATATCGAACAAAGATACATAATTCCAAGTTCCAGTAACCTGAAAACAATTTTTTTGTAATAATTCACTCCAGTTATAATACAACAAATGATATTCAGAATTACAACATACCAGTTCTATCGTCCATGTATGTACATCCTTGTGGGTTTTCGTTTCCGCAATAATTTGCCCGACCAGACCATTGTGCGTCTATGCTGCACCAAGACGCGCCATTGACAACAACTGGGTTGTCGACAGTGGTACATTCATAGTATGTCACACCTTTGTAGACGAATGGGAATGTACACTTCAGCATAGCGTCTAAACATTAAAAATAATGATAACGTAAATTTTTTTTTCAGATGGAACTACCATTATGATTTTCTGATTCACGATTTTTACTACTATTCTTTACTGAAAGGGTCTCTGCGGGCGCATACGTTTCTAAATTCAAAATAAACCAGTGCATGAAATACCCCAAACCGGGAGTCGCGAGTCAACTCGAGTGTCATCCAATTCTTGAGTCGAATCCGAAGTCATGGCAACAATTTAAATGACTTGAGTTACTTGTGAACTGAGTAAATTGTGAATCCAGTCAAAATTGAGTCAAGTCAACGATTCGAGTCTACTGAAACTCTGAATGGAATGTTTTTTCAGTACACATTACTGTCCACCTGGTTCGCCTGCATCCCAATGAGTGTATGTAACCATCTCTTCAGATCTTTGCCATGTAAAATATTGACCTCCTTGAATATCGGTATGTGCTGTAAATCCTATCCATGCTGTGTATCCAGAAAATGCTGGCAGTTGTGATGTCACCTACAAGTCCAATTATATATATTGAACAGTGATCATAAAATTAACATACCTTATTAAATTTAAGTATCATTTTAATTTTAATAATAGTAAAAGTTCTTTATCGGAAGAGGGATAGAATTTTAGATTAAAATTAAATTTCAAATATGATGTCATTAATTTTTATAAAATGACAACTGAAAGCTTCTTCAGACTTGATATAAGATTTGATAGACAGGTCTCAATGTATAATTCACCGTAGTTTTTATGGTCATATATCAAACGAACCAACTAAATATCTATTGAATTATTGAACCTAGTGCATTCTGTGCCCCTTAACAAAGCTGTCAAGGTATAACATAGAAAAGTCTGACTTAAAGATATTTCAAATAAGAATCTTGCCAATTTAAGGAGAGTTTTGGTGACTTTTCTTCGAGTGAATATTTATCAAACATTGAACAACACATCAGAAATAATGTTGCATTCAAAAATTATTGTTATTAGTATGGTTTTAGTTTAATTGTTTTATTATGCGTACCTTTACTCCAAAAAGGCGCTGTGACAAACAATATGTAGGGAGTTACCATAATTTGGAAGGACAGAAATCTTATTCCCTACCGATTTTATTACACACTTGGGTTGGGCAGCGTAAGATTTAAACCAGATATGTAGAATTTGGGCTGCCAACTCAGTTAGGTCTAAAACTTCACCCACGGCTACCTTTCACCCTAATTCACACTAATTTTGTTTCTGAAAAGTTAAAACTTACCAATGCATGGACAAATGCTTGTTCATAGTCATCATGGATGCTGACTAATCTCGATCCCATTTCTTGACATTGAATATCAGCATATGCTTGAATGAACTCATCATTGCTCACTCTATAACAAGACGGGCCTAAAATGTCCAAAAAATGGAAGATTTAAGCATTTTATGTGATTTTTGAGTGATTTTATGCCATTGGGATACTAATGGTCTTAGATACAAGTTTGTTTCCTGACTATTAAATGACTGGTAGACTTACACACTGGTGTGTTAGGTTGCTATTTAGTTTAGATTCAAACAACTTTGAAACTTCAGCAATTTAAACTTTAGTGTGCATCGGGGTATATTTTCAATATTATAAACGAGATGGAATTAGACTTGTTGAGTATTAATTATGAATTTTGAAGATTGTTGCTAAAACAATATTCCTGTGAGTGTATCGCTTTAAATCAAATTGTTTTGGGTGTCAATGAAATCCCGAAAATTGAACTTTGGAATGATCTAAATATAAGCATTCTGTTGAGACAGTGGCTTAATCTAGTTGTGTGATGTTATTCTATTTGCCATGAGATTTATTTCGATATTCTTAGGTTGTATTTATCGCCTTTCACTCTGGACAGGCCTCTGCAAAAGCAGCTACTACTAAGTAGTTTTAAAGAAAGCATTCCAGAAGCTGGGCTTTACTTAACCAATGGTGGGAATGGGATTTGAACCCGATATTTTACCCTGTGATAGCATCACTCTTCAATCTTTAGGTCACCCACACCCATCAAACATCCACCCTGGGTCAAGCGGTGGCTGGTGGGTATGGGATTTGAACCAGATATTTTACCCCGTGATTGCATCATATATACTTAAGTCTGACCCTTCAACCTTTGGGCCACCTACACCCATCAAACATCCAAAAAATTCACATATAAAAAGTAATACATTATCTATTTTTATCATCTATTTCATATTTACCAAAAGCAGTCCAGCCAGGTTCACATCCAGCATCTGTGGGTGGAAATATCGTTGTCGATGGCGGTTTGAATTGTTTTACTCTTTTGCAAATATAAGGTTCTGTTACATCACATTCTATATCATTCCAATATCCTTGTTGGATGTATATTTGTACACAGCGTTCTTGCTGTATAAGTATATTTGAACATGGATTGATAAAAAGATTGTAAATTTATCAAGAATTGCTAAAGTACTAGACTCTAGTAACTAGAGTATGAATTGCAGCTAGTTTATTGCGTAAATCCAACACAATCCTTCATTCAGAGCGTAATATTTGATAAAGCCTATGTCGTACCAGAAAATTTCTAGTACAGTACTTCAAATCCATGTACCACTAACTCGGAAATATAAGAGATTGATCTCTGTGCCAAGAGCTACTGAGACTATGGAGACTCAAAAAAGAAATTGTCTAATATAGTCGATGAGTGTTTTAACGGAGTATGATGAAATAATTCAGAGTGAATTAGAAATTTCCAGTATTTTGCAACATGAGTAGCCTTCAATGTCATTTTGCAGCTTTACAAATATTTTCATACAAAGGTCAATATTAAAACTATTGAAATTCTACCATATAATAAGCAAACTCAAAAACTTTAATCTTACGTTTCCATTTGGTTCACGGTAAAACCATTTTGTGTAAGTTACTGGAGATCCGTCCGACCACAAATAATAATCTTGAATGTCTAAATCTGACATTCCGATCCAAGCGTCATCACCACCAGCAAATATATTGCCAGCTGTTTAAAATATTACCAAGTGGTGTTACAAATAAGTGGAAAAATTGTTTTTTTCCTCATTTCACTCTGAGCAAGACCAGCCTCAACTATGAGAAACGAACTGTGTGGGACCAAGTTTAGGGTTAAGATAATGAAGATTATATTTATTTCTTATTTTATCCAAAGTTTTTTTTTTTTGGTTGAAGTTTTGAAACTGTTCCATGGCAGCTTGTACACATGTACTAAATTAACTGCTTAACTGCTTATTTTATTTCATTCATTCATTTGGTTGTGTTTTCGATATGAATCTTAAGGGTCTGGAGGAATAAATGAATTGAGTTAGAATCAGTGCTATAATCCAGAATGAATTTAGATTGAAACGTGCAAACTAATCAAATAATATTAAATTCCCCTCATCAAAGCAAATTCTGTTAGCAATGTAGGCTAGATGAAGTGAGTACAAGTCTTTTTATGCATAAATTTGGTTTCTTTACCACATTTATAGAGGCGATGAAAAAAAACGAATACTAACTTTCCATTTTAATAAGCAAAGATTCCATAAAATCATTTTCTCCTGATGACCCAATAGATGCCAGATCTGCCCCCATGCTTAAACATGCTGTTCTTGCTGCTTGCCATGTTCTTACATCACCTGAATAAACGTTATGAAGTTAAATTATGCTAGACTGGAAATTTGACTTTATATCTGGCACTGGCATTGATATATATATCGGCAGAGATTTACCCACACACCCCTATAGGGGGTGAACATTCCCCCTTATAAAATTTTAAACAACCCCCTAATTTTCAGGTGTGACTTCATACTTTAAATCATGACATAGATAAAAATGTATTTGAATATTCAGAAAGTGGCCTATATAAGTAAATACCGTTGAAGATAACCGACCGTCAATAAATTGTTTTGATTGGGGTTTTGTCCACACATAAGGCACAATGGGCTATGAGACCCCACCAGTACTATTACTGGCTTTGAGTGTAGACAATAAAGCATATAGCACTACCTGATCCATACATCAGGTGCACCAGCTCCGCAGCTCGTAAGGCGCATGATCGTTTTTTGAATAAAAGGGAATTAATATTAAAATAGTGAAGTGCAATAACTTTCAGTCAGTGTATGTGTGTACCTTAAGGCGCATTACCGAGGTTAGGTGACTAGGTCATTACGACTGGCATGATTCGAATTTTTGTGAATTATTCTCGACTTGCATTAATTAGTCTGCTAGAAATTCTTTTTATTATTATAATTTTTACCTTTTGGGGAATGCCAGTAGCAGTTGTCTCCCCATGTATACCATCCGTCATCACAACCAAGAGCTAAAAAATTAAAATTTAAAAAAACTTCTGTGAAATTATCTGAGAGAAGATAATAAATAACGAAATATAATAAGATAATAATACAGTACAAATAATACACATAATAGATACATGCATGGTTGATTATAAAAACCTGTAAAATTATTCATATACTGAACTGACACTAGCAAATACTGATATACTCGAACGAACGAGTACAGAAACAATGTAAATTGTTAATGAAATGATGAAAGCATCAGCGATTAGCGTCAGTGCCGGTTTGTTAAAGTAACAGTCACAAATTATTTTATATACATATATACTAAAATTTAAAATATGCCACTCACTATATCCAGTAAATGAAAATGATGATGGGTAAGCTCCGTATCTGAAGAAAAATTCAACAATTATTCGTAGCTATTACGGATAGCGCAGGTCCTAATAGGACATTTGGACTAAAAGTCGGACATGGGTTTTTGACTCTTATTTTGTTCTATGACCCTTGTAGATGCCTTTACGAACAAGGCTCTTTACAAGCAGTAGCTGATATCTTGGGATATGCTAAAAGTTACATTTGTTTGGAAGGACCGACTATTTTGTGTTCTAAGGAGAGTTCTAATCGAATCTGCTTCCATTACTCAAAATTACAGGTTTCAATTGGTTATAGCATCGAAATCATCGACACTTATCGGATGAGCCTATTGTTTTAGTAAGGAAATATTAAAAAAAAATTCGTTTACTCACGACTCGGATGTTATTCCGTGTTGATATGATCCGGCGTATGATGACTGACCCTCTCGAATTGTAACAAACACAGCACCCCCGAGTTTATCATTCGCTTTACCCGCGTGAATTGCAGCTGGACAGATTGCGGAACTCTGATACAATTTATTATAATGATATAATGTGTAAACTTGGAGTAAGTAAATGGAATTGATTCGATTTGATATTTTGATCAAATGTGTACGATGCAAGCCCAATTACAGGCACTTGATCTGCTCTAAAACGGTAAAATATTAGTACATTTTACAGTACAATTAAAGTAAAATGTACTGTAAAAAACGACGGTAAATCTACACGTATTTTCATAAAAAAACCATTGCTTATCATTGTATTTTGAATAAATTCAGGATGACAAAATGTAGTTTTTGTGGAATATTTCACAGTGACATGATTGTGCGTAATTTGCCTGTTATTCTGTCTTAACGATATAATAATAAATGTATAAGACATTTGTAGTGCTCAAATTACTAACAGAATATGATAGCAGAAGTGGAACGACAAATATATACGAATCAAAATAGGAGTGAAATAGTTAGCGTGTTGGATTGATGTTTTTAATCTCGGTGAATCAATTCCTTTCGTGAATGTGATGCTCCGCGGATTGTTGCATTAACTTTTTTGTTTCACGAGTACATATTTTTGCACGACTCTTGTCTTGTGAATTATTGTACGATGAAGGGATTATGAAAGAAAACTTTGAAGAAGAGTGGATGGTTCTAAAAAAGAACCGGAGAGAAAACATGGATATTCGGTGGCTATTTTTACAGTCTTGTCACCAGCGAAAGCGCCAAACATCTCACAAAATACTTTGTTAAAATTTATTTGCAATCATTTATTGCATAACAATTGGGTGATACGTTTATTCTGACTACAAAGTGACTTACCGTGGTGTAGATGTCAGTCCCAAATACCGGGTCAACCGAAGCGTCCTCCAAACACCCAGCAGGACAATCGACACCAAAAGTTGTTTCATCCAAGAAATTGCTAGCGAGTTCTAAAATTGTTAGATATAGAATTACGATGTAAATATAGGTTTTACTATCATAAAAGAGTAAGAGTGAATAATCCAGAAAAATTTCCGTGGACTAGAATGAGTATACCAGATGGCAGATGACGCACGGTATAAAATTGGTGTAAACGATACTAACGGCAAATATTTTGATTGCTCTACAATAATTTATAGCTCAATAAATATTGGTGAATGGCGATAAAAGGTTTAGTTTTGCTTGCAACTATTGTGTAAAATCACCCATAAATATCACCAGCTTAATGGATAGATAGTAGTGTTGCGATCCTGGAATATTCGGCCTTTTTTTCCCATTCCGATCCCGGATCAATTGATATCAAAATATTTTGAATCTATTCCTGGCTTTTAATTGCGACGTATGGTTATTCTAAAACGGTTTTCACTGTGTATTTCGTAAATTGTACGCACTATAAACAATAAAACCTCTGGTCTCGAAATAGCAACCCTATATAAGCAGGCAACAAAAATAACAACCTGAACAAGTGATCTTTCTGTCAATGTAGCATCCATTTACTTCAAATCTTAACACTGGTGATCCGAAAAAACTTGTCGGTTCAATTCTAATATATATTGCACTGATAGGTTCCGATAAAATATCCATATATTCAGAAACCTTTCCATCTAATCCAACAAATCTCTGCATTAAAAAAATTTAAGAAAAAATTTATGTCTTTTTATAGATATCAAAACAAAACTTAATTTCGTTTTACTACATCAAAAGCTAGTCTTTATACATTCACCTTCTAAAATTTCGTCACGACAAAAAAAAGCATTTTACTTACATGAGCTGTATTGTCAATATCAACGTATTGTCTAAAATTGAAACCGCTGTCACTAAACCAAAGAACATACTCCGTCACATATCCTCCAGTTGTGTCTCCACCATAAAGGGTGATTCCACTGACCTGAAAATGAGTATTTCGATTACTATTTCTTGAGCAACCACATGTCTTTATGGCAGAACCAGTGTGTTATCTTTCTGACAAAGCCAGTACTCACTGGTCAAATTGGTGTGAAATGTTATGGACGTGGGACGTTGATTCTCGATTTTGATTTGAACTTTGAATCGACAGATAACGATTTCAGTATAAGACAAATGAGCTACCGGTACTACGGTCTGTCATTAGTCCCTCATGCGGATATATTTGAGCAGTGCTCTCTTGTTTTATAGAACTACAATAAAACATGTTCTGAAACGTGAGTCTCCCCCTTCACTAGAGTGAACTATATATTTTTACAGTACTTATGACATATGGTGATCAATACACAATAACTAAATCACTTAATTAAGTCCCGATAGATATTTTCAGCACCTTGTAATGTGTATCAAATTGAACTTGCACCCATTCACCGTAACTGTTACCAGAAGGTTGCCAACCGGTAGGAGTGTAATCTGAAATATTTAAGAAATGACGTTGAATGAAACAAATATGCAAACAGTCACAATTGAAATTAATAGAATAAATTTCCTGTTAATAACTTGACTGGAAATATTTTATCCATTTGATACGACAGAAAACGTTTAAAGGAGTTTCGTTAGAGAGCTTTAACGATCTGCAATTATCATTACATGTACATAGAAGAATCGACCTCTTTTTCAATATTTTCATTCATTGGTATGCTCTGGTATATAAGAGGTGGAAATATGAATTTCACAATAATTTGTAAAATATATAATCTTACTTGGACAAACTGGAATATCACATGCTTCCCATTGTACGTCAGGATCAAGTGTGTAACACCACGGTCCTTCCGATCTGCCGTCGGGGTTTCTGCAGAAATCACCAACCAAACCAGCTTCTGGATAGTTCTGATAAACCCTAGATTCAGCAGAATATAAAAAGTACTGATGTGAAACTGTAAATTAAGTACTGCAATATTTATACCCGCATTATTGCCATAAAGTAGGTACTGTGTTATAATTGTGGTTTAAATACTGTGGGATAAGGATTTAGAATTTTACATATTTATCCCGAGGGAGAGGAAAGGAGAAAAGACGGCTTATCCATATGGCGAATTAGCCCGGGGGAGAGGAAAGCCGATAAGACGGCTTATCCATATGGCGAACCACGGCCTCTCGTCCGGTTACCATTCCAAGTCGGGCATGGGATTAGTTGTATTGTTTCTTTTTCGGAAGCATGGACTTGGTGGTGGAGGAAGCCTTAACCGACCAGCGGTTACGTGAACCACCCAACGACGGCGAGGAGTCCAGCAATCCTCTCGCACATAACCATTACTGCATGGGATTCGAACCTGCGAACCCACGCAGAGTAATTAGAGGTGCGGGGGCGAGCGTATTCCTAACGCTTAGCCCATTTAGCCACACCGCCGCGCCTATAATTACTCTATAATCTTTATATCAGCTTCTCTAATCAACAGTTTGTGGTCACGAAGTTGTCGAATTTGATTTTAAATAAAGTGGCTAGTAAGGTGGATAGGATTTGCCCCCGTAGTTGTAAATATGCAGATTTAATCACGACTAAAATGAATTTTATGTTAAGCGCTTACATTGAATGAGGGTGAGGTGTCTGTGAGTTCCATGGTTGGCAAGTCTTTCCGTTTTTCGTTTTAGAAATCCATCCTCTGTAGTCTTTGCCATTACTACCAGCACTGGATAAACATTGTGCTAAAATTTTGAAAAAGTAAAACAATATATTATTATTTGGTGAAAACCAAGAATAACATGATAATTTCAGCAGTTTGAATTACGTAGACGTCGTCCTCTCAAATTAGTTCGCACGGAATTCACTTAATATATAATCTGAAAAGTACGACATATATTTAAAAATTGGGTCTGTATACAGGCCCTTTTGATTGGAATAAATGTATGTATAAACGACCTAAGTCATTGCCGAAATAATACGTCAGCTTTACACTGTACTAACCTCCATAGCTAGTTCAACTATCTTAGAAAATGTTTAAAATCTTACTGTTATCCACAGGTGCCCTGGCTTGCTTTGCTTCGTGTCCTGCTCTCGTAGATGACGCTGTTATTTTATTGTCAGGAATATAACCAGAGTTCATTCCCAGTTTGTACAAACAGGCTGTAAAAATATATATAATATTATGTATCCCGGAAAATGTTTGAACAACAATTTATACATTTGTATTATTTAGTATTTCAACAAGCCTAGGTATACCAAGCATAAGTAAGCGGTGTGTGCAGCATGCAGTAGATTTGCAGTCGCAATCGATAGATTTTAGCGGTATTCCAAATATAATTATGTTGTTAACGAGAGTTTCAAAATCATTTGCCTCCAGTCACTAGTATATTTCTGTTTCATAGTATGGTGAATGGCCTATGAGTCGTATGCATGCGTGTGCAATGTTTAAGGGTATTTTAAACTGGTTACCGGTATAGACTGGACACAGCAGGTTAATTCAGTACATTTTCAGTCAGTAGTTAGTTATTTACATTTTAACAGGTCTCAGAAACAAACAGTATGGAGTAAAACACGTCATAAAAAATTTTGGATGGAAAGAGAGGTTGAGATCGAAAATAAATGAAACATAGTTTTGAAATCTTCTGTGTACAATGACTGCATTGAAGTGTTTACAAATGAATTTACAAATGAAGGCATGTTTGCTGTACTGCAAGTGGTGATTATATCATTTACAGTGTGTACAAAATGACTGATGATCATACGGTGGCCTTCAGTTTAAAAACAGGTAAGGTATGAATGTTATACAACGCGCGACATTCCTAAATTATCACAATTGTTGGTAGAGAGAACACCGACAGGTACTACTGATTACACAATTGTTGCGCAAATTTGTAATAGTTTAGCTTAGACATAGCTTATGATGCAGTATTGTTTGAATTATCATTCGAATAATTTAACGACGCTTACTTCAAATTTCTATAACCCTATGTATATAAATACAAAAATCTCTCTGCAACTTTCTGTATATATCATAAATAGCAATTTTTAGCAGATTGAAACGCGTCTTATACTCTCAAGAATCAGGAAACACACGTTTTCAGGCTTGGCAAATAAAAAATTTCGAATCCGCTCTCCCCCCTTGGAATATTTTTGGTTACGCCTCTGATAATATATAAACCAAACTTAAAAAAAAAATTCCTCATAGACATTTTCATAAAATATTACTTTTTCAGCAAAGTTGAGACTCAAGTACCCGATTTTAGAAAAAAATAAAGAAGCGTAATACCTAAAGCAAGTTAATATTTTTCTTATGCAGTATTCACAGTTTTACCGCAGTAGTATAAATGTGAATTTGTTGTGATGTTTGTACTAAAATGTATCTCACATGCTCTACATCCAATATATTCTAAACGTAAAGCTCTACGGTCTCTGTAGTCCATAGGATGACATCTTATATGACGAGCAATGATTGGGCGAGGGAAGAAATTTGTTACCATGGTGTTCTGATCAAAATTTCCATCGAAAATCTGAAATGGATTTAAGAACAAATTGGTTTTAAGTATATTTATGTTTAAATATTCATTTCATGTAACTCGGCCAAGTATTTTGCAGAAATATACCACAATTATTATTACATATTATATTTTCAGAGGTCGCGTATGTGGATCAGCTTACCATAAAGATTTTGTAAATTATGTATGTAGATTTTGACTTGAATAATTCTTAACGAAATTATAGGTGAATTTAGTTGAATAAGATAATCATTACAAATGTTTGTAGACTTTAAAAATCATGAACATGTTCACCTGTGTGATAGCATGGTAGCATCGTGGGTTTTATTAGACAAATAGGAACATTCAAAATTTAATCAGCCTTTCCAACGACAGTAAAGAGGAATATCTGTACACAAAGACGACTGTAACTTACCACGACATCCTGGCTTGCGTCTGTTATGAATGTCCATGTTGATATGGTAGAAGTATCCTGGCTGTAAGACACTTTATATGTTCTCGTCCATTGCATTTCTTCGTGCTTGAGTAATCCATTACGTCCCTGTAAACGTTGGTAATATAGTTAGTACTGCAATATGCGTTATCTAGGCGAAAACTTTAACAAAAATCACAAACTACCTGTGTTATTATACCCTTGATTTCATAGTGTGTAGGTAGATCAACTTGAAGATACGGATCGGGATCACTGTCCTGTGGTTCCCAAGCTCCATGGCCGGTTCCAACATAAATTTCCGGGTTTGAACCTGCGAACAATCACAGATAAACTTTTGATATAAAAAATAAATTAAAATGCAAAGCAATAATTGACAATATTTAGGTGAGTTTGATGACTTTTGCCATAAAACACGCTAATTAACGCTATTATGTTATTTTGAAATATTTAATTTACGGTCGAATTGTTTAGAAAAAAATTTTACCTCCATAGTGGGAAATACTCAATGGTTTGAAAGAAGCAATTTGGCATGGTAACCCAGCACACAATATACTATGTGAACTTATATATTAAGAATACGACGATAAATATGTGGATATGTATGTAGCATCGGTAGCGGTAACGCAATGTCTGAAAGCATCGAGTTTTCAGAAAAGATAAGCAACCAATACGAAACAAAAACTTCAATCAACCCTTCAACCCCTCCAATCAACAACCACCGGCATAAGTTTCGGTAAAATAAGGTAAGGTTTTGGTAGTTTTAAAAATAAAAAGCATCTTTTAGTAACTTCTTCCATCTAAAAGTACTAAAAATTGAAAATTCATTGGTCAATTTGCCAAAAAAAAAAAAAAATTTTGTCTTAACAACAACAATCACCCCAACAGGAATTTAACAAAGCGATCCATTTACACTTGTGCCAAATAATATAACGTAACGAAGTTTCTAACCTGACAGAATAACAACATCAGCAGGTGTATTCAATCTTCCTCTTGTTGCAGCAAACCATTTATCTTTTTCAGTTGAAGCAGAAAATGAAGAATCCGGAATCCCGCCGTGGAACTCACAACCAATGTGACTGAAAACAAAATTTGACTTTAAGAAAAGCAATGAATACCGAACTAAAACTGAAACACGACTTTCTACATTTCCAAGATTTTAAATACATATTCGTTGTTAGGGACGATTCCCAACTTCGCCTGACTACCAAATTTTGATGACGTCATCGCACAAAAAAATCCGAACATACACTTGTAAAATAAATAAAAATAGCCTTCCAGCGACAACAACGAACTTTAAGCACTGCAAATTTTGATTCAAAAGTGAAAGAAAAAAGCAAGTTTTCCCAACAACAACAACAACAAGGAATACTAGCAAAAACAACATTATGACAACAAAACAATATATCTAGTTCCACTTCATGTTCAATAAAAACAATACTTACTCAAAGCAACACGCTTCATTACTCCTGCAATTTGAATCGGCAATGTTTGGGACAACGTTGTTACCCACTTTTTCGCAAATTGCACCCATATAGGCGTAACAATCAGCGTCATTCCATTTACCGTCACCCAACCACATGTGCATACAGTCTTCGTCGTTTTGGTTATTGGGCTCACCTGAAATTGCACAAAAATTATAGTCCTATTTTACACTGTAAATATATGTAATAAGAGGTTCAAAAAATTTTTATTTACCAGATACCCAATGAATATAGTTAAACGGTGAACTGTCTGACCATCTCCAACCTTGATCCGTGACAATGGAATTGTGTTTATCATTGCCACCAAGCCATAATTTGTCATCCGATAAAACGGCTTTGACGATGCCTGAAAAGTTGGGCAAAGAAAAACAAAGAAAATAACTAATACTTGAATAAACGACACGGACGATTCTTTAATAAAATGTAACATGCATAGAAATAGTAATCGTTTATGGCTCAATCAATTTATACTAGTTTATTCTGTTTTCTTTTCCTCCCATAATATTGATTTTAAAACTCACTCTGAAGAAATATTTGCTCGTTCGGCGTGTTTACGCTGGCAAGATCACCGCCATCAACTTGGCATTGATATCTGGCATCATTCCACGAACGCCGTTGTAAATTGATCTAAACAAATATATTTATTAAGCATGAATATCGATTTTTATCGAAGTCTAGTCAAGAAATTTTTACTCTATCATAATTGGTCGACTATTGACCACGGATGACGATACAGTAATACACCATTTTATGCATTATAAAATATTATTGTTGCGTACTAAAGCTGATTGACAGTTCATTCGACGATAATTCTGGGCACTTACATAAATATATTCGAATATTTGTCATATTTCCAGTATATATATAGATAATTTTCGAGGTACAACCTACCTTGTAGCAGTTTGGAGACTGTGGATCTGATACCCATCCATTACCTCCACATTTTTCTAGATCAGGGACTGAATATAAGGGACAAAAAGTTTAAAAAACATTACGGCTAATGATATTTGATCATTTGTATTCATTATTCTAACGGTACACCTAAATTTATAAAAATCTATTGCAGTCAGCACGGCTACAGATTTGAGATTTGCAACAATCGAGGACAAAACTACTTTTATGTGTCTGTTGATACTTATTGTTGTTTTATTGTTTAAATCTAGTCTTACCGTATGTTGGAGGCGCCAACGTCATCACCTCAGTTGGAACTGAAATAAAGGAAAAGATCGATTTACAGATTCGTGTTTATTATATTTAATTTTTAAAGGAAATGCTGAAATTCCGAAAATCATCGCGTACGTCAAATTTTTTAAATTTTTAAATACTATTATGATATATCCCAAATCAACTTCCTGAATATGCTATTTCTTTGTAAACAGTTTTGTGTTTATAACATTCAATATTTCGTGTTAATGTACCCATTTTATTTTCACGATCATATTCAATTGAGGCGCATAAAGAGTCATTATTGTAGTCTCAACACTCAACAGATGACATTTCCAACACTATCAAAACATCTTGAAATATGTAAAGCGTAGTTTCGTCACTTTGTAACTTACTGTCATCTTTCTTGCAAATGAATGACTTTGCAACAGCACATTGTGCTACATCCCATTCTCCAACCATGTTTACGAAAACACATCCATCATCTGTTGAATATCCATCTCGCCAATTCTGGTAATCAACAGTTGAACCATCTGTCCAACTAACTCCATTTGAAATCTTGTTTAGTCCGATCCAGCTGTTGGACGGAAGGTGTCCTGAAATATTGACCAATAATGGTTAATTTAAATACCAAAAAATGGTTCCATTACATTTGAACCCACGTACATTTGAACCCATGACAATTGCACCTGTATGCTATTGCACCTATGGAATTTTTTCTGTTTCACGGATAGTTAAACCCATACTAACCCTAACCCATGGGTTTTAGCACCCGCATATAGATTGAACCCGTGGATATACGCATGGGTTCAAATGTACATGGGTTCAAATGTACGGTCACCCCAAAAAATATCGAGATTGATAAGGGGTATCAAACTGCCGATGCCGATATAGTAAACCACCGTGGGTTTTAAAGGATGTATGAGGTTATATTGCTGACTTCATGAACATTTTCAAATTTGCACAAATAGGGTAGATGTAAATTAATACAGAACAAGTAAAGTGAAATTAGGATGTTCGCATTATGAGCCCGCCAAACATTCAACTACGTCGCAAAAAGGCACCGGGTTGTTGCCGGTTCACAAACGTAAAACGATTAATAGGCAGAGTAGTTTCCTGTACATGTACCATTATCTTATCGGAAGGATTGAATACAATGGTGACTAACCAACAATAAACGACTGTTCCTCCTGACTGTGAATCGATACAAGTTCCGCTGTTTTCCCTCTACAATGTGTATTAGCTGCCTGTTGGCTTAATTCTTGATCCCAAAAGAGATAGCATTTTCCGCTATAATGCCTCCACCCGTCTTCGCATTTTCCTTGCACTATTACATATGTAAATTTTATAATGCATATTTAAACTTGTGAAATTAGGAAAAAAAATTGTAGGGGAAAATTCAAAAATCAGACACTTTTCTCACCCGTCACAACTGGCAAACTTGCTAAACTTTTCCCCTCGGCAATTTCGCAAATATATCCGAGTTGTAAATAGCATCCAGTTATTTCCCAATTGTTGTTGCCTTTTCCGGTGTATAAATTTGCACAATCATCTCGACCTTAAAAATATATTTAAAAATTACAAATTAGTGCATTTGTAATATAATACTCTCAAAATTATTGTGAAGTAAATAAACAAGAAATACATATAGAAGCCACTTACAGGTATGGGATATTTCTAAGACTTGGAATGGCAACAATTCAAGACTAAAAATAATTATTCAATTTTTTGGAACTTCAACGACGACATCATGATTCTTGTAGAAGTTTATATTACCAAATGCATCATGGAGACAGAACTTCCACTCATTTCTGACATTACTTTTTCAACGCGAATGAATGGTCAATAGCGTTCGAATATACTTTGTGGGCCATATGAAATGATTAACCAACTTGATAAAACCATGATTTTTTAAGCTCAAATGGCATGGCACAAACGTTAGCACTAACCAGCAACAATGGGAGGCGGATTAGTGTCCCAATAAGCAGTTTGAATTGGTTGTTTGTCCCACCATTGAAGAATGTCATCATGACCAATATCAGATATTCCCATCCATATTTCTCGATTGCTGGAGCCATATTGTTCAAAAGCTGTTGCCACGAAAAGCTGTTGCTGCTCTCTGAGAGAAAGGTAAAAATAAAAATGAGTTGGATTTTAAAATTGTGAAACAATTTTAAATTTTGCTCAAATTATCGAAATCAATAATTGTCTTCTTTCAATTTCGCGCAACTTACGATTCAATCTTAATTAAACCCGCTCCTACTGCTTGGCAATTTCTGCTTGCTTCAGTCCATGTTGCTTTTCTAGCAGAATTCACAACAAATTCGTAACATTTTCCGTCGGTGTATGCCCAATTCTGAGGACATTGAGCTGCAGAATAGAATACCAATATCATTCAAGAATAGGATTAAGAGAGAATGTGAATGAATAAAAAGAGAAAGGCAAAAGAAGAAATAGGAGAGATCAAGGTATAATGTAATACCATTATCTCTTACCTCTCAAACCACGTTCGCAGACGAATGGTCTTTCTTCAACACATCTCTCAGTGACCCATTTATATCCTCTGGTATTATCACTCACCACACAACTGCTTCCATAATATTGAGGACTGAACAAATACAAAAACGCATAATTGATACAATAATTCAATGCACCGAAGTATCACAAAATAACTTCAACACTGATATCCTCATAGTTAAATCCACATAAACTATTTTAATAACCATTTCGCAAAGTTCTGATAACTGAATAGCTATAAACTAACCTGGTAGGTGGTTGATTGATGTCCCAGTTATTATATGAAAACGTTGTCACTCTATCACTCCATGCATAATTACCAGGCGAAGCCTAAAAATACTCTCATATTAAAGTTATATGTAACAGGTTTTCTTACTTTTTGTTCACCTAACCACATCAACACACGGGCTTAACTTTTAGACAGCTATAATACTATGCATGTATTTCGACGAAATGCAAATTTTGGTCATATATTATTGGATTTATCAGAATTTAAAATGTACCCAAACTCATAATATTGAAAACCAGTTTTATTCAAAGCGTAACTTATTGAGTGTAATTTTTATTTCTCTTAGTGAATGATTGTTACTACCTTTTGCAGTAGTTTTTGCAGTTTAAAAAAAATTTGGAAAAAAATAAAATCAAACGATGAAATCAACAATAATATACAGTAATGCTCACTCACAGTATCAGAAAGTCCAATCCAAAATTTGGTGTTGTAGGTTGAAATAAAATTTTGTACTGCAAGCTGTTCAGTGGAATCTCCAATAGCTACGAGATCTCCTCCCCGATTTCTGGAATAAAAATTTTCAATTTATAAGTGAAAAAAGCAAGAATGCCTTAGAAAGATAATTAGTACCGTGTGATGGTTTTTAATTTAATCAAATAATAAGGTTGAATAAAATTTAATTGATATTCTTTGATTAGATTGGTTAAAGTGTATTTCAAGTGTACAATTGAAAATTGATCGAATGCATACACAATAATTCTAATTATACAGAAATTAAGCATAAAATTAGATAATGCAACAACGGATTTTCACCTGATTTTTTATTTTATTTAGTTTTTTTTTCGCTTCTAGAAAAGTTGGATTGAAGGCTGACAGCTTTATTAAATTGCTCCAGACTGGTGGCTGCAAAGTTCCCATTTGACGAAGAGGAATACACCGAATATATGACACAAATATTTATATACTACATTATGGGCGAAGTGTCGAGCTTGGTACAAATTTATAATCCCCCAATTGAAAATGGCTATTAGGATATAAATTTGACTATAGATGACGATTGACACGTTTTTCGATTTTACAATTCATAGGTCATTTCTAACATATATTGTCGCACTGATTTTGTGGATCGCAGTGTGCATTTGTGTTGTACTCGCCTGCATTCCTGATCCGCTTCAAACCATTGTTTAGCAAGAGAATAAAACGCTTGATAACAGCGACCATTCACCATTGTCCAATCGACCGGACATTGCTGGACATCACCTGCGAATGAAACCACGGTATTTAGAACTTGTATTACAGTTCAAGATTGCTGAATGAAATGAAATAGGGAAACCTAAAATACAACCATCTAATTTTGTAGCTCACCTATAGTTCTTTTACACACAAAGGGAAGTTGTGCAGAACAAGACTTATCATTCCATTTCTTGTCATATGGCATCAGAGGAATTTGTTCAATCCAAATTTCAACGCAGTCTTCTTTATTTGAATCATTTGGCTCTCCAAGTTTCCAATTTCTGAATTTGGCGAAAATGAGAATAAAATCTTGAATTCTTCAAAAAAATTATACAGTATTAACAGTATTAAGCTACAAAATTTGTTGGATCGAGAGAACAATGTACAACAAGAGAGCTATGCTCAAATATATAGACACGTAGCGCCACCTAATGGCAATAATTTTGATGACGTCATAGCAAAAAAAAAAGTAATAGCCTTCTGAAGAAAATTTTTATCTTTAACCACTGAAAATTTCAAGGCAATTGGTCCAGTAATCAAAGAGAAAAGCAACTTTTTAAAAACGTGTCAAAGAACAAGAACAAGAACAACAACATAATATTGAAACGATCGCTATGTCCACTACGTGTACAATAACAGTATAAGTAAAATGGTACAGCATACTAAAATATATAATAAATTGCATATTCTACCAGATAAATAAATAATCGGTGCATCCTTTTTAGGTAACTTTGTTATTACGCAACTTAGAAAATAGTATCCATGCCAGATAGCAACACTCAATATATACACACAAAGGTAATGCGACGAATTTAAAGCTATATGTATGTCCTTATGTCTCTATATAAATAGTACCTATGAGCCAACTCTGTATTTCAATTTTCGCCAGATTTCCGTATACCCGTAGTATATCTTTATCGACTAATTGAGGAAATTCACCAGCAATTACTTATGCAATGGGATACAAAGAACAGTTTTGATTTTGTTGCTGTAAACAATTATAACTTACGCTACTGCTGGGTCTAGATCATTTCCATCAATCCAACTGTAGACATTTTCTTGCTTAAGATCTGTTAAGCCGATCCAATACTTTTGCGGCCTCGTACCAATTGCTAATCGAGTTGTAACCCAATCCTAAACGCAGATAAAGGTTGATTCCTGTCTGATTTCGCTTCGATTTAGAATACACGATAAAAATGCCGGGTATTTCTTTGGGATGTTTTTCAATCGAGTGTTTAAATTGGTGAACTTTTTCATGGAACAAACAACATGTCTTGTCTATAAATACGCGAAAACGCGTACTGAAATTGCTTGAAAGTTTCAGAAACTCTGAACAAACTATTCTCAAACTGAAATGTGTAATCATTTACTGGTGAGTAAAACTTTCGCATAATTTTTTTAGGGCGCTTGATAAAAAAAGGAACTCGTCAAGGACGTGCTTGTATTATTTTTTCAATTTTTGCATTCAACTGAATGCGGAACATTTTATGATAAATACCCCGAAACTATTTCCTAACGTCAGTTATACCCTTCTTAAAATTTCGAAATATCATGAACTTCGTCACTAATTCTTGCATAAATATGAAACTTGACACAAGCTATCGTTTTCATTAATTAGTAGTAGAAACAATGCTCTAATTTTCTAACACATTGCAATATTGATTTTCAACGGTAAACATTGAAATTAAACAATCCGACTTTTCATACTTAATGAACTTTTTTTGAATAGAAATTGACCGATGCCCATGCTGATTAAAAGATCAGATCAAAATTTACTTACTCTTTCGTCAACTGTCAATAATGTGACGAGTGTCCCTCCATTCGTTTCGCAAAACGACTCTGCGTTAGTAAATGTCATAGCCTCGTAGTCTTCCGAAAAATAATAGCACAAATCGTTTCGTTTGTTCCATCCCGTAGGGCAGTCTTGTGCAAATCCTGAATAAAAAAACGAGGAAATTAGAATAAAATCGTGAAATGTTGTAGACGGAATACCTTACTTGGCACCAGTTTCTATGTTGGCTTGCTGTGCGCCAGAACAATAATCAAGCAATAAACGGAGGGGACATCATTGTAGACGAACCGTTTTCAGTAATTTATAAAGCAGATTTTGCCCTAACTGTTATATATACTTTTGTGCAGTTTAATAAGTTTGATACTTGAGTCTAACCAACTTCGGGTTCATGCTATTGTTTAGAGTTGACATGGGCAAATTCCGTTCTGTTGGGTAATTCCATCAATTGGCTTGTTAGAATTAGATGGTGATCGTAGTACGTGATCGTACGTTGTATTTAGCTAGTCACAGACTTTCATGATATGGAACGTTATCAAAACTTTACGTTTTCGCTCATTCGATTCCAAGGCGTGCTTTTCACTCCTCTTTCATTCGCCTCGTGTGCGGTCACGTGTAACTTTTTCGTCACACTTACATGGCCCGCCAGCTTAGGTGGACAAAATAGGCCCCTAGGCCACTGTCTAAAAAATAATTTCCCATTCCTGGTTTAGAGATTATTACGACACATGACACTTGTGTAAACTTATTTGGTAACGAGCCAGTGTCTACTTGTCTACTATCTCTAAACGATCCAAAAGATTCTAACATAAAGCAAAAATCTCTTGATCAGATGTTGTCTAGTATTTTGATATACGTATAGCCTTCATCTTTGTTACCTAACATTTCTAGGAAACCGGGAATACATCCTACAAAGGAGCAACAAAAGTCAAACTTTTTTGCCTAGTATATATGTATAGGTATTATAGAGTCGATTGATATAAACTGATATAATTATATTGTATATAATTATAAACTTGCCTGTAATAAATATTCCACACAGTAAAGCAAATCCGATGATAACTTTGAGCTGGAGTGACATCGTTGTATTCTCAAAATTAAATGCGAAAAACCATAAGTAAGGTCTATCTGTTTAATTAAAGTATATTCAAGAAAAAACAACAAAAATCGTCATATAAATGAGGCCGAATAGGGATTCCAATATGTGCAACCTTCGAATTCTTCATTTGGTGCCCGGGGAAAAGTTTGATCGTTTTAATAATAATAAGCATTGGCGTGCAACAAGAGATGTAAAAATTTCAATGTTTTAGATTGGTTGAAACCAAGAATCAGGGAAACGCACTGGGAAGAATGACAATAATATAAGGTGATATTCAATAGCCTATAGCGCTTTGGCGAAGCTTTGACCAAATTGTCTAATTTCCAAACAAACACCCAATATCGTAATAAATTTAGAATAAAACAGTTCTTACGTTGCCGATGCATATATCCTCGTAAACCCTACAAAAGACGTAACAAAACGTAACGCGAATGTCGCGATAATTTTATGAACAAGAACTGTTTGCTTACTTGTCATTAGGCAGCATGGTGCAAACAGGCACTAACAAGCTATGAATAAAATCTGTCGTCGGATAGCTGTTAATCTTTAATCAAAGAAGGGATGGATGTGAGAAGTACCGACGTTGCGTAATTTCAAAGAATAACTTCATTGAAACGATTATATTGACTTGTTTGCTAAATGCAACGACGTACCTAATTGTTAATCGTTTATTGGTTATTGAGCAAATAACAAGACATTAAAAATTAGAAATAAACAATTTTCCATTCAAAAATGAACCACAAACCACGATTGAAACCGAGAGACAAATGTTTCTCGAAATTGGGACAGAACGATATTTTTTCCATCGCATTACCGGCAAAATAGCCGTTTTGACACGTCCTGTCCGAATAAAACTTTCATCCTAAGTAGATGGCAGCTACAAAGACGTTTTGGTACATGTGCAGTTCATATAGAAATGCGTGTTTGATATATATAGTATCACGAAATATATTGTATATTCATGGTAGGCCGAAGTGGCAGGTGGGATTTTGGAGTTATTTTGTAAATCCTCCATTCAAGATATTGTGTACTAAACGTGGCAAAGCTGTTTTCACTTGGAAACACATTCCAGCAAGACCCTCGCCGCGCGACGTGTGTTACGGAACAGATTAAAGTACCTAACAAATTTTGAATATTACATAACAATTGTAGGGTAATTATAAAACCTTACTATGTAACAGGCTGAGTCACTATGTTTGCTAAATACCCTAATTGAAATTAATTCGAAAGAAAGTTATGTCCTGGTTTGACCGCAATTTGACTCTGCGGATCTCCTAATCGAGTTCACGGTTGGTTCCTCGTAAAGATGGCACGGAAAGAACGAGACAAGAAGTCAATCGACAAAGCGAGAGAGAAGTTGATAATCGAATTCAGACATATCTGTACTGTTTGAACAGGTTTTCACGGTCACTTGAATTTTGTTGCAATAAACAAACTCGATTAGTCTTCTCTTTCCAACATGCACGTTACCCAAAAGATACATCTATCCCGTCGACAGCAAGACTATAAAATCGTAAATTAGATACAACAATGAAAGCAACCTCACACTTCCTCCTTTGTTCTTCCTCAAATTTATACGTACGCTTCACAAATGAAACACGTGACAGAAATATAAGCAAGACAGACGATGTGAGCGTGTATTTGTAATTTCAAAATCTCTATACGCTATAAAGAAGCACCCTCTCCCTCCACCCACTTCTTCGTCGTTGACACACATTCTCAGGTCTATACTCTATTCTACAAAACTGTCCTCTCTCTTGCAATCCTCGGCGAATCAACAATATATCGATATATTTTTTTTTTACCCCATATTAGATATTGAACTTTGATGAAGTGAGGGAGCGACGGAAATCGAGTCACGTCACAGACTTGATAATATATTTCACACAGAACCATAACGTGGCTAAACCTATTTGTAAGATTTAGGATTCTTTATGCTGCATTTATTTAAACACAATCGTCAGAGTACATAATAACCAATTAAATAAATAAAAATGAGTGCAATTACGAAAAACCAACGAAAACAAATTGTTCCTGCTACTATATTGCTCTTTCACTTCTATTTGAATGTTTACTGGAGTAATCGATAAATGCAAAAATGAGACTTATGGTAATCGGGCAATCTTTTCTTAAAGCATACTTCTGCCACCACATCAAATTATTGAAGAAAAATTACATTAAAACCATCTGGTAAATTACCAGAAAGAAGCAAAGGAACTACACTAGTGGGTGCGTCTCTCCAAAACTGAGACAGAAAACAATGATTGGTTGCTATAGAAGGCAATATTATTGAATCGAATCAATCGAACTATTGCACAACGGTGCTCGCTCCGCTGGAATGTTCCATTGGAGTTCGATCCACCTAAAAGGTTGGAAACCACTGCACTATGGCACAAAATGCATTTAACACAACACATCTCCTTAAAGTACCGGACATAAATTATACTGTACTATATCTGGAAAGCCTAGGATTGGGGGTTGAGTTTAAAGTGTCCCGTTTTGAAGTTTATCTTTGTGGGAGTGAAAATATCGAGCGAACGTTTCAGCTACTATTAGAGGAAACACAAGTGTAGCTTCAGCATGAATCTGCAAAACAAAGAAAACATGCACATTATTAACAGAAATTGAATACTATTTTCATGAATGACAATAATAGGAACTAAATTAATGTTGAGTGTTTCAATAAAGTCCATTAGTCCAGTGAGGCAGTGACACACCATTCAGGAAAATTAGCAGAATAAAGATATACATAATTCACTATTAACTAGATAGCAATCTTTAATTATTTTTATTACTGTTATCATTATCAATCCACAGACACAGTAAAAAACATAAGTTGAAACTTTTTAACAATAATGCGACTTTTCAAGAAATTGCCATGGCAAGAAATAGTCAAGAATAGGCAATATGCTTCAGTCGGTATTGACTAAACATATTATTGGACACAAGGTGTACGATCATTTTGTTATCATGTTATTGTTGTCGTTGTTCTTGATAATTTTTTTCTTCTTGTTATAAATAAATCGCTTTTCTATTTATTTTCAAAAAAATTTTTGTGTGCGTTGACGTCATCAAAAATCGCACTCCTCGTGGCAGTTCCGTGTTCACGTTGTCATGAAGACTGTGGTACCGTAGTCTTACGTGACAGATTGCATACCCTTACTACTTCTTTTGACATTCGTACGCCTATATTCGAGCATCGCACTCTTGTATATTATTTTGAACAATGCAAAGCATGTCTTTACATAGAAAGGAATTTTAACTAATTCCCACATTTCTGCTGAAAACCAAAACTACCTTAACGGGGGTTGCATCCACTTTAATCTTTCCCCACGAAACAGCTTCATCAGGTGAAGCACCTGCATCAGATCCATCATATTCTTGAGCTGTGTTTATAAACACTGAAAAATCTGCTCCATTTCTCTAAAAAAACATCAAATTTTGATCATTTACGGCAGTCGAAGGAGAGGAAATGTGAAAAAAAAATCTAACCATTAAATTTGCATTGCAGATGTGATGTTTGATCAATCCTCCTCCCAAGATAATCATTCCTGAATGAGCTGCGTAAACTGATTGCGAATTAATCAGCCTGATATCTGAAAAACGACGAAAAAACTGAAGTCAGGAAATAATAGCGTTATACTGATATTTATTATACGTTATACGGATACGGCTGTATGGAAAAGGATGTATCGAACGGATGTTTTATGCCAACGGTACAATTAGCGCTAAAAGACTTTAGTGAGAGCATTTAGCATTAGTGAGAGCGAAACACCGGTGCTCAAAATTCTAACGGTGAGTCTTGCTCTACTCCTTTTGCAGTATATCGTTCTGAGTCCTTTTGGCACGCCCTTTTTTAAATTTCTTTTTCGGTTCGTTTTGTGCTAGAGCAGGGGTCGGCAAACTTTTGTCGTTCGCGGGCCAAAATTAAAGGTTGCAAGTCATTGGCGGGCCGCACATATTTTAAAAAAGTTAAAAACCGAGGGAATGGCCAATGAATCACATTTTTTTCAGAAATATTTCAGTTAAATATCAAGCAGCACGCGAAGACTGATCATTTGAATATTTTCTGCATCATTAAACCATTTGCACTGCCATTTGTCTAATTATAATCAATTTATAGGCTCATTAAACGAGTGATTGTGAATTATATACTTGTTAGGTTATAATATAATTTAGTGTCTCAAAACAAATTCTGTTTCGTAAAGAATACAATCGTCAATACAGTTGTTTTGTGGATATAATTCAGTGAAGCGTCGCGGGCCGGATTATATTGCTCCGCCGGCCGTTTGTCGACCCCTGTGCTAGAGCAACCAAAACAAATTTAGTTGAACAATTGATTGATGCTCTACTTTTAAGTACCTTTATTAACAGCGCTTGACCATGGTATTGAAATTGAATGAAAATATAGTACATAATGGTTTTGCGAGGCAGTTTTAAAAACGTTTCTCGGCATTTCAAAACGGTATATAAAAATGCTTTCTGTTCCTCGCTGATCACATTGCGAATGCGCTACTTTCGCTATTGATAACCTATGTATATGATTTATGGACATTGTTATAAGTAGGCTTGCACGTGATCGACCTATATCAATTCCGTAATTACGGCACAATCGCTTAGATAATGACCCCGTAATTTTGGCACTGGCCGATTTCTCTAGTCATAAAAGTATGGAATCAAGATGACACCTGTTGCAGGCAATGCGGTAAATTTAAGCTGATATTTTGCGAACAAATAGCTACATCAATCAGAAACAACAAAATGAATTTTTCATGAGGTAAACTTCATTTTAAATTTTTAATTAAAGATACTCTACATTATTTATCTAATATATCACCTTAGTCTGGAAAAAAGTCACGTCAAGTCCGTCGGTAGTTTTTGAATGGATAAAAAGGGGCTTCGCGCACAAATTGACTTTCTCATATATTGTAAAATATTGCGATTCACAATATATAAAAAAGCCTTTTTAATTATTCTGTGGTGGGCCCCTTGAAACACAACTTATGGATAGTGTTTACAGTTTTATTTTCTGCATTTTATATTGCCGCTTTTTAATCTAGAAATTCGGGTTGCGGATTAAATCCTTTATTTATATTAGCATCTCGCCACCGATGATATATAAACAACTCGTTTTTCTCACTGGAGTTAACAGTCCCGTAGGAGAAAAAACGGAATTATCATCGTCCTCGTGGCATATGTCGTCAGAAATTTGTAATTTAGTAAGAATAAACGCCGATATGAAAATGTTTACAGCCTAAATAACACCACACGTCAGCGCTGACGAAAATAATCGGCGATTTTTACAAAATGCAAAAAACACGTCGCACACGTTGTTAGCGCGTTTTTTATTCTTCTAAAAATTTCAAAAAAGTTTCGACTACAACGTAGTACCACAGACATTCGGCGTTTCAAGAAGGCGCATAAATCTCCATCTTTGAAAATTCTCATTTCGACTCCAACTTTTGTTCGCGAGTTATAGGAAGAGTTGTACAGCACGAAATGTACGCGAGTACACTAGAACTGAGTGCGATTTGTCACTAATTAGACTTTACTAATGCCAAATTTGTCAACGTAACTGAAAATAAATTCCGTGCAAGCCCAGTATGAAGTTGGGTACCCGAGATTGGATTTACATATTTACCCAAGGGACCAGCGGTTACATGAACTACCCTACGGCGGCGAAGAGTCCAGCAATCCTCTCGCACGTAACCATCCCAGCACGGGATTCAAACCTGCGGACCCACAAAAGGTAATCAGACGTGTTGGGGCGAGCGTATTCCTAAATCTTAGCACCATGCGCCACATCGCTGAATCATAAATACCGGCGATTGCACCTTGAACACCAACAGCTTCTATGTCAATTGTCTGATAAGCCTTGGCCAAGTATTTTTAACACACCTTCCGAGTAAAAAATCAATAATAAATCAAACAAATTAACATGAATTTAATTTTGGGGTACTAGGGTATGTGTAATAAACTGTAGGTCCCTTCCTCCTCGTTTGTTCCTATATTGCGATGCCGATCCGTCATTGCTACAAAGTTGATTGAAATAGCGCAATTTTTTCCACGAAATAGCAAGTACCGGTATATTAATAAGCTTTCATTAGATCATAGTCTAATTTCTCCAGACAAGGAAGATATAACTTAAACAAATAATGAACCCTTAAACGAGATTATTTCTGGTCTGTGATGTAACAATTGGATGATATACCTTCGACAATATCCAGAATAAGTCCTGGGTTTTTAAATGAATGAAAATACAACATGTCTCCTATTGATCCATCTGTTAGAGCAGGACTGAACACAGGAATCTGATTCTGAATATAACAAACAAGAAAACAATAGTAAAAATGGACGTAAATAATAAAAGACTATATAACACAGATATGGTTGATATGGTCAGTACTGTGAGAAACATATTTGGTGAACAACAAATCTTTATTCAGAAATCATATTTAGGAATAAAGAAGGTTCCAGAATTGGACAGTAAAGTGAATATGGTTTTAATTGATAACCAGTATTAGAATAATTGGACGTTTAACTGGAATACAAGCAATAAAAGTTGTGGACTGACTTGGTTAGTTATGAGAACACACCATTCCTTACACTGCTGAATAATTTATTGAGTGAGATTAGGCCCAAATAAGTGGTAGATTGGGACACATACAAGTGGGAGATTGGGACAAATATGAGTGGGAGATTGGGACACATATAAGTGGAAGATTGGAGCAAATATGAGTGGAAGATTGGGACACATATGAGTGGGAGATTAGGACAAATATGAGTGGGAGATTGGGACACATATAAGTGGAAGATTGGAGCAAATACGAGTGGAAGATTGGGACACATATGAGTGGGAGATTGGGACAAATATGAGTGGGAGATTGTACACATATGAGTGGGAGATTGTACACATATGAGTGGGAGATTGGAGCAAATATGAGTGGAAGATTGGAACACATATGAGTGGGAGATTGGGACAAATATGAGTGGGAGATTGTACACATATGAGTGGGAGATTGGGACAAATATGAGTGGAAGATTGGAGCAAATATGAGTGGAAGATTGGGACACATATGAGTGGGAGATTGGGACCCATAATATGAGTGGGAGATTGGGACACATATAAGTGGAAGATTGGAGCAAATATGAGTGGAAGATTGGGACACATATGAGTGGGAGATTGGGACAAATATGAGTGGGAGATTGGGACAAATATGAGTGGGAGATTGGGACAAATATGAGTGGGAGATTGTACAGATATGAGTGGGAGATTGTACACATATGAGTGGAAGATTGGAGCAAATATGAGTGGAAGATTGGGACACATATGAATGGGAGATTGGGACAAATTTGAGTGGGAGATTGTACACATATGAGTGGGAGATTGGGACAAATATGAGTGGGAGATTGGGACACATACGAGTGGGAGATTGAACACATATGAGTGGGAGATTGGGACACATATGAGTGGAAGATTGGAGCAAATATGAGTGGGAGATTGGGACACATATGAGTGGAAGATTGGGACAAATAGGAGTGGGAGATTAGACACATATGAGTGGCAGATTGGGATACATGATATGAGTGGGAGATTGGACACATATGAGTGGCAGATTGGGACACATGAGTGGCAGATTGGGACACATATGAGTGGGAAATTGGAACACATATGAGTGAAATCATGCACAAAAATGCTCAAGCATGCTCACTGAAGATTTGAGTTTTCGTATGGTGCAACTTGTCTTCAGTTCAAGCTTGTCAGAGTTATAAATTCACCGAAACATGATGGCTATATGCGTACCACCATCACAATGTTCTAGTTTTATTTCAAAATATGATCAAACCTTATAACACCAGTAATATACAGAGTCAGGGTTGTCTATTTCTTTTCCTAGTCGCCATATCATCTTCGAAGGAGTCCATTTTGTTCCTTCTTCATTTTGGTCTTTCAACATTTTATCAAATATCGGCATAATCCAATTCTCAAACAAACAGTAATTATCATTCGGCACAAGCAGGTTTCCGATTCTGAAGAATGCACAAGATTATGTCGTATTTCATTTATGAAACAAAAAAATCAAGAACAGATTAGTGAACAACGAGCTGCAACTCATTTATGGCCTGTTCTCCAGAATCATGATAAACATTTTTTATTGAATACATTTCGTAACATGCGATTCGCATAGAATTCAAAATCAAGGTTATCAAATTAGAATCCTTCATATTGAAATTCATTATTTTATTTTGTACAAATTTTTTAAATAAAAATTTTCCTTCTCACAATTTCTGCAGAAAAGATTTGATCAAATAAGCATTAGTTCCATCAGTAACCACAAAAAATCGATATATTACACCGTGCTACTTGACAACCACTGTTAATATTTTGAAGATAAGCATACAAAAAGGATGATAAAATATAATGCAATGGTAATAAACAAATGCATCTTCAAGCATAAAAACAATCTTGTATATATCTTTGCGAGAAATAGCTATAATTTCCTTATTCCTTAGTACAGTGGCAAGAGTACATTCACCCTGCTTCGACATCATCATTATTTCAATATCAATAATATTGTATATTCAATGCATAGATCAGGATACATTCATGTTTTCAACCTGTTAATTCCCTTTTTCCGTAATTCTTTTCCAGACAATTTGAAATCTCCAAGGTAAGTAGGAGCCAGGCACTTGATGAAATCTTCTTCCACTCCTCCAGCCGTCACACAGATACAATCAACAAGATTATGTTGTACTAGGAATCTGATAGTATCACGGATACCTGGCAAAAAACATAGTAAATTATCATCATTTTCTGCCAAATTAGAAGACAGAATTGTAGAGAAGTACACTGTTCTTATATGGGCATCCCTATTCCCTATATTACATACTTGAATCAATCAATTACATGATAATGTGTTATAGAATTGAGCTCTAAATCGATCATATGTAAATCAAACTATGCTGTGCCACATTTTTCTTGAAGAAATGTAATGTTGAATATTATAAAGAATAATTACATAAACATGAATTTTTATTCATCATGTTCCTAAACTACAATTATGTACCACAGCAAATTTAAAGCAATAGACTTAACTCTATTGGTTTCGCAGGCAACAACTCAGGTTCAAATACCCACTTTCTCACTCCGAGTCCTATGAATTGAGTAGGCAAAGCTAAACCGGGAAGCTTACGGTTTTTCGAAAAAACAGTAGCTCCCAACAATATATATTGTTAAAATTCATTGGATACTTGTACATGACCTTGTTCAGAGCGGAAGGTGAAAATGAGAGTTGAAAAAAAGAAAGAAAAAACATAAAATAAAATATCTTCGACCATGTTCATACAAAGTTCATAAACCTACCAGATGACATCATATTTGAAGTATACCCTAAGAAGATTGTGCAGTTTGATCTCTTTCTAACAATTGGATTTAAATTGACTTTCTGTAAGTCATCTTCAGACAATGGTTCATGTCTCTTTTCAATCTGAGAAATAATTTCATGATATTACACATTCACTTGAATGAATGATAATAATTCATTTATTGACACAATCACATATAGAAAAAATTGTTTTAAGTAATCGATAGAAGAGGTTTCCTAAAAATGCAAGCAATCTATTATCTTTCATATAAAATAGTTTTTGTCTATAATTTCGGGGTCTGGTATGATATAGTACTATGAGTAATTCTAGTGGCATATGTCATTCCTAACCTTTTGCATAAGTATAAGTATATTTTGATTTTCCCGCAAAAAAAATCATACACAAACAATGAACATCTAACAGTATGTCATCCACAGTTCTCGATTTCAGATGATCGACTCCTTTATTTTGGCGGGCCACATTACGTCACTGTGACATAATTTTGGATGGGGTTATACCAGACTCGAGTGGTGATGCAAGCGCAACAGGTGGCAGGGTGGGTTATCATTAGAAATCTGAAAACATGGGAAAAGAATGTTTTCTTTCCAACGTCTTACCATTTTATTAATTTGTTCCACAGCTTGACCAAAATGTTGAGCCTGAAATCCACAAGTCCTATAGGACTCCAGTAACTTATGATAATCAATCCCATCATTAAAATCATAACCAGAAACTATCCGGGAATCGTTTGACATGGCTTCGCTCTTTACAAAAACAGCGTCTACAGACTCCGAGGGAGCCGCCATACCGAACTGAGATGCAGGTAGACTATAGCAGTACCGGTACTGACGATTGTTGTTACCGTAATGTAATATACCGCAGCGGTGCCTTCACGTACCGTACCGTCAGACTGTACCGGTATGATTTCACAAAAGCCCTCTGCCCTACTGCTGTACAGTACAACACGTTAAAACTAGTACCGGTAATGTCTCTTAAATTTTATATTCTTCTCGTCAGGGCATGCTATGGATGGGGAAAATGGGACAAATCGATCTAAAAGAACCTCTTCGTGTCGTGCCCTTTTTCAGGTTACACATGTGTTCATTCATATCCACAACCTTTGACCCAGGGTAATATAAGGTGCTTCCCCCAAAATGGCTGAAATGGCTGTAGCAAACGACAATGACTGAACATTTACACGAGCATTTCTTTGTTTATTTTCGCGATGAAGTCGAATCAGCAGAAAGGTAAAAGTGACGTAACAATTAGAATATATAGGCATATTTTTAGTCACTTTTTTCACTCAGACAAATTTTTAGGCTTGATTCATGATTGTGAACGTTAATTTATTTTCGTATTTTTCAGTACTATTTTTTACTTTTTAGTTATGTTTACGAAATATAGTTGTCAATCAAATAATTCAGCCCCTATATATGAACGGAAATGTCTTACTTTGGTTGATTTTATCGAAAACACTATCGAAGAATGGGGTTTATCGAGCTTAGCTGTAGGTACTTTTATTATGACGAGTGCCTGAACTTCTGGGGCAAAATATGTAAACCAATCTAAATGCACCAATTCGCAACAATACTCTTAAAATCAGCACTTTTGCAATGGTAAAGTACCAGTACAACAATGATTTAATGATATGTATTGTAGTAAACCGATATCGTAATTACCGTGAAAAGTTTCCTATTAAAACAAAAGACAAAGAATACGACATAATTCTATTTTTATGTCCTTCTCTCTCATACTTATTGAAAATCATGACAAAGGATTTGAGAACCGAGGTCAAATCGTATTGTATTAAACCACGAAGGGTATATAGATGATCATAAATTGAGTAGCCTACTTCTTCGGTAAGCTTACCATTTTACTTATTTCTTCAACAGCGCGTCCAAAATTTTGAGCTTGAAATCCAGAAGTTCTATAAGATCCAAGCAAAGTAGGATAATCAATTCCATCATTAAAATCGTAACCCGACACTTTTTTCGAAGCTTTTGGCATTCGTTCACTTTTCACAAAAACAGCTCCAACTGACTCCGAAGGTGCCGACATTTTGAATGATCTACTTCAGTGTATTGAATTGCTAGATATCTGTGAAATATTTGCATCGTTGATAAAAATAAACTGTGAACTTATCCTCATTACCAAGTTATAACACCTGTATTGCAAGACTACCTGAATTTTGATAACTTATTGGCTTGCTAGTGGGGGTGCACCGTTTTTGGAATGTCGTGACAATTAACAAATCTTGTTTTTAGAACCCTTGCAAGTTTGACAAGATTTTCTGAAATGAGAGCCCTGCTATTAGGGAGTTTAATACAAAAGTGAAATTGTTTAAAATTTTGAATCTCTCCCCTATAGGGTAGTAGAGTTAGGTAAACGTCAATTTTGTTGTCCTATCTTGTTTTATTGTTTAAGAAGGTAAAATGATGAAGAGATTGTGGACCTGATAACGATGCAATCTGTCCTTCGAAACTTCTGTCATTTAGAATCTTTTTAATTTCTCGAGTGAGAAGTAAAATAACTATCATATTTTACTTTATTTTTCGTTTATGCTTCCTGCCTATCCTTTATTCCTATGATAAAATTTACTCTGATCAGAACACAATCTGATTGCTTTTCATCCAGCACAAAATTACAGCTCGATTTTGGGGAAATACACTTGTCGGTAAGCTAAGTAAGTATTCTAATGTACTTTTAAAAAATTCATAAATATAGACCATAAAAATTTCCATAGACAAATCTTCAATGTTGCCCCAGTGTCTGATAAAATAATTCGAGAGGTCAGTCTAATTTAGACCTCAATATTGGTCCTGTTGAATAATTTCTTTTTTCTTTCTCGAGTATCATCTTAAATCTACCTAAATGCGTGAAAGCGTAATTAATAATGCCTTAATATTTTGACAAAGTCAAGAAAATACTGATTTATATATATATACAAATTTATCTTCTTAGCAAAAACGAATCTAATAGTTATTATATTACTTACTATTTCTGATCTTCATTATCGTAGACTCGTTTTGTAATACAAAGATAAATTTATTATCAGTTCTGTTTTATTTATGAGCCATGCACTCCCACCTCTCGCTTCTATGCCTAAACTGTTAATATGTCGGATTTCTGGTGCCAGAAGTTTTATAACAACTTGACTTGTCAAAGTGATCTCAAATTCAAAATGTTATTGCAGGATTAACATTTGAAAAAAACACACACATCATTTTCTTCATTGTCTGGAAGAGCGGTTGCCAATCGCCAGAATGCCGAAATTTTGTTATTTCTTAACATCGTGTACATACGACCGTCTGGTTACCGAAGGTTGCGCGGCTTACTCAAAAATCATCGCAAAAAAGCGTCTCTTGATTTTTGTCTTTAGTTGTTTGTTCGTAAGGTAGCCAACCGCCATTTATTTCCAAGAAAAGTTTTTCATTTGAGTCTTTTATTTCTAACATCACCTTCATTGCACAATATTGATCGCTTGCCTCGACCGCCTTACAAGCGAATCCCATCCCTTTGTATTCTACCGTTAAGAACTCAAGTATATATTATACACCTAGTAACGAATTGGACAATTGCTAATTACAAAATTTACGCTGTTGTGAGTGGAGGTTCACCTCCGTGGCAAATTTAAATTAATCGCCAAATGGTCACATAATGCAAAGTTGCATACAGATATATAAGAACACGTAGGCTATAACTCCGATACAAGTACCTGAAATATTGACAAGACACTGGACTTCAAAACTGAACACCAATAACGAACTAAAGCACCAGTTTGTTGTGCAAGGTACCGCATCGGAGTCGGAAGATCGTTGGCATTCGGCGGTTGAAAAGGATACCGTATTGACAGCACTGATTGACAGCAAACGTTCACCATCAAGGCATCACTGCATATCCGCATTTACATTGCATTACGGTTCGCAAATAGAACGATGTATAAACCACTGGACTAGAATCTTATTTACTGAACAAACAGTCCCATAAATAACGTTGTAAAATTGCAATGGTATTTTTAGATGAAAAGAAAAACCGCCCAAATTACTGGTAAATATGGCTGGTCTTAGCAATTTAGATGCTCTCGGTACGACCAATGACATTAAACAACATGATGCGCAACTGCGGCATTTTTGGCCGAAGATCGTATCCGATAGCACGCTCCAATGCACATACTTGACGAGACGAAAACGTGCGGATGTGTGCTGTTTTCAAGGCATAGCGCGAATGGTGTTTGTGCCTGCTTTGACAGTTGTTGTCCATTTTAATGATATTTTGGAAAGTTGAGGTAAAAAGAAATCGGAAAAAGTTAAGGTGAATACTATTGTTGTATATCACACCCGGGCATCGCATTGTTAAGTACATGTGGAAAAGCCAGCTTTTGCCAAATACTACGAAGTTATTAATTCAGTACGCTACGTAGTTGCCCATTTGCCGAAATTGCATGTTTACCTAACCCTTATGATTTCAAATAGTTCATGCTCCTCCATTTGGATTTTTTCAATCAGTGAGGATATATACTCATTGCTGTAACATACTATTGCTCATTCACTTTTATTTACGTATTGAATCAAAGGGTTAACAAGTTCACCTAACATTTTACTCATACCGGTCTATATTGTATAGTCTGATCTCTCAAGTATTTGGAGCCACGAATGCTTGTAATTTTCTGACTAAACCCCTTTATTAGTTGCTTTATATACCAAATTCAGTAAAACATTTTTTACATAAAACATGAGATATTGGATTTATTAGTTTTTCCATTCTAAATCATATAGACATTATTTATTTATTCTTAACGAAAATTAATAAATCTCCTCTCTTTCTTCAGATGTGAAAGTTGTGGCCAAATCTGGGTAAGCATTGTGAGACTCCTGCAGCACAAGAGGCAATAGCAAAAATAGTAAGTATATCAATCAAGAAATTAATCCGATATAAAGCAAAACTTTTAACTATTTGTCTAACCTCAATTTCCTATTATTTATTCACAGGACAACTGTAGCAGAAGAGGAGATATCAGAAGTCTGACGACACATCAGTGACAGTGTGGTTCAAATAAATATAATTAGAGTACTCCATAAACGTTTGCAATAGAAGAACAACCAATGGAGGCATGCAAAGACATTTGACCCTCCGGTAGACTTGTGTATGGCCCCCACATCCTGCAGGGCTTGAGGAAAATAACAAAAATTCCAAATCGTAAGATTGCATAAGCAGTCTTATTTGTAAAAAAGCACAAAACACGCCAGACATACTTAAAACAGCTGTGGAAAATGAGGATTACGGGTCACTCACTACCATAGCAGAAATTCAGGAAAGGGTATAATCATGATTCATGATAAAATACTGTTATATATTTTGGACAACCTCCATCTAGACCAGGGATGTCAAACTCGCGGCCCCAGAGAACTTCCTGTGCGGCCCTCGAACGATTAACAATAATTGTGATAGTATTTTGGAAGTTTTTTTTATCTAAATGTAATAGATTTTTTAAATCTTTTAAAGTAAAATTGTTTATTCACACAGAAAACAAATTACTGAAATTAGTTTTGAAAAATTAATTATTTTTGTTTACATTTTGAACCAATTAGGAATACATATCAAGCTAGCAAAAGAATACTTGAATAAAACACTTGAATAACTTGAGCGATAAAGCAAAGTACATGAAGAAGGTGGCATTTTCGAAGAAATTGGAAGTTGCAATATTTCTGAATTTCCCAAAATTCTGGAGATATTGTTTAATTTGTCATATTTCCAACAGTACAATGAAAAAAAAAACAATAAGCTCAGCAGTCAATATGACAAATTCGAAGACCAACTTCGAACAGGAAATTTCCATGTGTTGGTATATTAATATAATTACACAACGACTTAGTTACTAAAATTCAATAACAATTCAAGCAACCCTATGCCACGCAATGTGGCGCGAAATGTCTTGTCGAAAAAATCTGTCATTTGTTTTTTTACTGATCTACACATGAAATAATAAAAGCAACTTTTTTGCATTACTGGAATTAATTAAACATTCGCAAAGATCCAGATTAACTCATGATCATGTGACCTCGTTTGTTAGAGTTGATACTATAAAATCATTTCAGCCTGGCCCTAGTATGTTGGTGACACAAAAAAGATGCCAAACGCCAGGACAAATGTAATTAAAAAAAACATTGAGTTTATACTGTAGTATTTTTGTTAATTTTAGGTCCATATATTTAGATTAAGTCATTTTTAGTGTATGTATTATTCTTTCCTTATCCAAAGCTTGTTCAAAAATGATTTTGATGGTTGTATATTTTATGATTTTTTGTAATAAATACAGTAACTTGCAATAATAGTGGAATGCAAATATTAATATGTAATTGCATTTGAAATTAAGAAAATAATAAAACTTAATCCAACTGTTTAGTTGCATCACAATATATGTCACAAACTAAAACTATCTGAAAAATATCTTTCAAGTATACATTATCAAAAACTGTTTGCGGCCCTTTTTACAATTTCCAAAATGCAATGCGGCTCTCGAAACCCATGAGTTTGACACCACTGATCTATTCTAGACGATTCAAGCATTGCTTTGGGAAATAATATCACTTCAATAAAATCTCGCTATATTAAATACAAAATCGTTGCTATCATAAAGGTAAACCAATTCAGCCACTCGGAATATATTGGCCTTCACAAAGCAATGGAGGCAAAATTGAGTGTTCATGAGCTATGAACTTTTTTCTTTTCTTTGTCTTGAACTTTTCATACTCCACAGCCCTATTAATTTTTTTTTTAATTTTAATTACCATGTGATGGTCATACATATCTTTAACTTGTATTTTCTGTCATGATGTATTATCTCAATGTGTCAAACTTTTAATTAGTGTGCATATTTTGCTTCCAGATGACATAAATGTATTGTCTTGTTTATTACCTCAGCTTGGAGTATTGACAAGAAAAAGTGCCCGTAAATTACGTAAAAATTTTGTTATAATCAGAATTCACAATTAATAGGAATTATAAACAGCCAACAATCAATGAGAATTATATGCAAATCCCAGAATAAATTTGTCTTCTAAAATCGGAGGAAGGCAAAACATATAGGTAGTTTCCATTCTCACAAGTCTTTCAAGAAGACTTGCTCGAGTCAAACTAAATGAGCATCATCAGGTGATCGGTAAGGCTGCAAGTTGAATCAGCCCTGCAACTCCTGCATAGAAGATAATATTAATTAGTGGGCTATGAGCTAAATTTAGACACAAACCTATCTACGAGGCATTATGTACCAGCAATGTTACCTACGATTAACTGAATATGTAATATGTCTAATAAATTCACCTACTAAAGCAAGTTCGATAGGTGCAAACTTTGTGTTATGGAATTGTATCACAGCACCTTAAGAGAAGTAAAAACAGTTTTGCTGTTTTGTATGACACCCTCTTTAAATGAAATTTCAATGTTTAAGCGCAAACATTAAAATTACTAACTTTGAACTTTGTCATTATCTGCAAAATGTTCACACAAATCTTTACGCTATCGCGTTTGTAATCTTCTCTGATAAAAAAAAACGTCTATGATGTCAGAATTACTCTTTACAGCTTGTCTGCCATTCCAGCTTGCCAAGTGAGCAAAACTTCTTAGATATTATAAGATATAGGAATTATTTTTTTCGTTACAGGCGCAAAAAGTCAGGTACTACACGTAAAGAAGACGCCGAGTAGCAAAAGCGAGCGAAAACGGTCGCGAAAGGCGACGAGAAATATGTGCATTGGAGCGTATCATGAAATACAATCTTTCGCATGTAGTCTTATGGAGTGACGTCAGAGTTGCCTATCATGTTGTTTAATGTCATTGGTACGACTGACAATGCCTAATTCACATCACAGAACTACGTGAATCTCTGTTCAATTTTAACACTTATATAAAAGCACAACTTTTATTTCGGCGGTAAAATTGAATGCGCTTGACAACATTTGAGAAAACTCTCTCGGTTGATTGAATTAGACAAATATCGGTGTCTCGAAAATGTCTCGTCTCACTTTGCCCTGGGACAAGTTGGTTACGACATATTTGAGACACCCGGCAAATATCAGCCTAAGAACCCAAACGACACATACAAACGCTCCACTTATGACAAATACCTATCGTAAGTTCAACAACATAACTACGAGAATTTCTAGAAATATGAAGCCACGGTGACAGAAAAAGCATTATATGAAAGCATTAAATGACATTCACGAACCGTTTACAGCTGAAGTGGCATTGACGAATAGAGCGAAGTACATTCTCTCACCTACGCCGGTTAGGGACTTATGAATTGGTACATGCCTTTTCATTGAATTTTAGAGATTTTTCATCCACGAGATGGCATACAGAAGGGTTCCTACACTTCGTAGTGTTAGGTTTATATTTTTAGTCGCCTTAGATGTTTGAAAAAATAATATACGAATAAATGGGGATTCATAGGACAGGTCGCACTCGCATGCGACATTATGGTCTGAAAAGTTGGTGGTTTCTTTTTATGGCACTACCAGCGAATATTACGAGGTTAGGTTTGTAAATTTCAAATTCTTGGAAACTTCGATTTATTTTATTGCCTCACAGGTTGGAATGGCATATTTATTACACATGATTCGCCAATTTGTGGCTCATATTTAAGGACAATTTGACTAAAGTGAAATTGAATCTTCCTTGTATGCTTTGACTCATCATCTGATTGTGCATGACTAGGACATCAACTCTTCTTGACAAATCGTGATAATGCTGATTTTTTAACATTTTTGCCACCAGAAACCTCAAAAGTATAAGGATTGCTGTTTTCATCATCTTTCGGTTGTTCTGTAATTTTTCTTTTCAAATCCATGTCCTTTTTGATTTTATCTCGAAGTTCAGAATCTTTAACAACTTGTTTTCTTTTTTCAATATTCCCAGCAGAACTTCGACCCTTTTTCTTGAATTTAGGCTCAAACTTTTTCTCTTCCTTCACAAAGCCCTGAATACATTAAAAACAAAGATAACAAATGGTGGATTTTGTATTCAACGTTTTTTCATGACCTAACAATCTTCTTCAAGACAGTACCATCATGCAACAACCATTATTAGAATGAGTGTTTACATAGATTTGTCAAAAAACAAGGTAATTTAAGTCAGACTGATTAACCTTGTCAAACAGTGTTTTAAACTGTGATTGATAATTTCTGATGAAGGTCTGAGACTAGTCATTGTGTATTACATATGTTACCATATGCTTCCAACTTCGAAAGATATGGGTACACTTGCAGTTCATGCCGAGTGTTCCTCAGAGACTTTGCCAAGGTGTGTGCCTCATTGCCTTTTAACTTTTATAAAAGTTTTTCCCTTTTTATTATTGATTGGATTATTGAGTGAAACTTGATGTTTCATATTTATACTGCAAAAGGTCAATATAAAATATTTGGAGCTCCAGAAGTATGTGCACCAAGATGGCGCAGATTCTGAACATAGTATGTGTACCAGATTAGGGTTCAGGTTGGGTGCCGTCTTGGTGCACATACTTTGGGAGCACCAAATATTAGAATTGAAGAATATTTCATTATTCAGACCAGCGGTTTTCAAACAGTGGGCCGCGCCCCACAAGGGAAAAATAAGACAATTTTTTGAGAGGACGTGAAGCTGGTTGAAAATAAAAATATTTGCTAGATTCGATTTTGCCAGCCTTATTTTGTGCACATATTTTTGACGTGTTTTCTGAAAAAAACCTACTTTCGCCATACTGTTTGTTAGTTGTAGCATATTGTTAGCTGGTTATTTTTGAGATTGGACGTGAGAGATTGGGCGTGGGGCGATTCAACCACTGATTTGGACATTGGTACCCCTCGTCAGAAAATCAGCGCTTTTTCATTTTCTTAACGGCCCCATGTATTTAAAACCACTTGTGCCAAGCAGTCACATCACATTAGTCCAACCTACCATTCGTTCCTCTTTATCTTTCCTTAATTGCTGTGCAGTAACTCTATCAACTGCACTAATTTGATGAGGATCAAGTGTGATCATATCTGGTTGTATTTTTTCCATCAATGCCTTGATTTCCCATTCTCTTCGTTGAGACTTACTTCTATATGGATTTGATTCCATACTGTCATAGTTAGGTTCCCCAGCACCTGTTATCAGTGTTCAAAACAAAATGTAAAAAATGAACGGTTGGTGAGATATAGGCCATTTAGAAATTTCTATTATCGGTAGGTAAAGTATGTTCAGGAATCTTTGATTTTTGTGATACCAAGCACAGGGTGGTGCTGTGGTATAGCGAGGTTGCAGGTTCGAGTGGGTCCGCATGTGTATTGCAGACGCCGATGTAGCAAATGCTAAGCAATAAATGATGTTTCTATAGTTGCCCTAATAAACAAATCTAATTTTCATTATTTTGCATCTGCCAAGATTCATTTTGCTAAAAAGGTTAGGAATCATTGCCCATTGGTTAGAGCACTGTGCTTAACTATGTTATCATCAGGGGTTGAAGATATAACAAATGTCATGCCCACTGTCTCACTCACGTGATGTGAGTAGGAAAAGCCAAATCTTTGGATGGATACTCACACAGAATCTCGTTTAGAGTAAACATAATATTAAAATGTCAGAAAGTAGAGAACCCTGTTTAACACCAATTGATGTACTAGAAAGCATGCAGGATGGAAGGAACAAGAGTTCTCTGGAACATATTCTGGGAGAACATAACTTTCGTGCAAAGTATCTTAGAGCAGGGGTGCACAACACAGGGCTCGCATGCCAAATTTGGTACGCCATACGCTCAAAGGTGGCACACGAACAGTTTTGGAAAAAAAAATTATGATATACCGTACATTAAAATATCACGTTTATATCAAAATCAGAAGTTTTTCGGAACATTAAGTTGTTTCAATAAATAGATATTCGTTATTATGTATTATTATTGGAATTTGTTTGATGTGTTTTTTACGGGAGTTTATTTACAAAGGTTCTTTCTCCGAACATCGACTTCCTTGTTTACTTCGTGACATTGGCCAATCAGCAAGATGGAAAAAGTGCGTTTTTAGGGGGGTCAGAAGTCGGGGAAAGGTCCATACCAACGATTGTGCGTGGCACGCGACAAGATTATTTTGAAAAATTTGGCACGTGTCCTCATTTGAGTTGTGCCCCCTGTCTTAGAGTACTAAGACTTTTGGATACAATTATACACAAACAGAAGGGCTCTGTTTTTTAGATCCTTTACATTGTTATAGTAAAGCCTACCAGGGTACAAGGAACAAGTTTACCGACAAGCTGACACATAAATAAAAGGGGCGGATTAATTTGAGGATCACAAACATCTGTTTGAAACAGCTCACTTCTCTTATAACACCTTGTTACATATAGTGGTTGTGACCATTGTGGGTCAGGTCCAAAGCTGGATGGAATGTAAACCATTCAATCCACCCACAAACTTATATAGACGAACATTAAAGTCGTGCGACCACTTTTGTTATTACAATCACAATCAATTTAAACCCATGTGCAACTACTAGATCAACACATTATTTATTCATTTATATTATAATAATGAAAGATATGTGACAAGAAATTTGATTAAATTATTCTAAACGAAATCGGTAAATTGCATCGATAAATAGCCGTGAAATAAGATAATCACATTCCGAAGATCATATCTGGGGATTAAAACACAAAACTCGCAAATATTGTGACCAATTTTGATTGTAGATGCAAAATTAAATAAAAATAAGTGGGCGGTAAGTCATAATTTGGATTAAGTGAGCCTTGAGTTCAGATATGAGAAGTAACCAAAAATGTACCGTAACCTTATTTCTAGGTAATCATCTTGATGAATTTTGACTATGTTCTACAAATTAAAAAAATGTTTATGTAGTATATTAAGGTTTGTGCCATAAAAATTATACAAATTTATTTTCTATAGATTTGAAAAATTTCTCTGCACAATCGAATTAGTATAGTTTCATTTCTAATGAAGAATTTTAGTATAGGATTTTCATATTTATCTCAGGAGAGAGGAAAGCCAATAAGATTGCTCAAACACATGGCGAACCTCGGCCTCTCTCATCCGGTTACCAGTCCCTGTCGGGAACGGAATAGTTGACCAATTATTCGTTTTAAATACATGAACTCAATGGTAGAGGAAGCCACCACAAATCTGTGGCTTACCAATCTTTTTCGCAAATGATTATACCCCAACAGGAATCAGGCTTGCCAACTAATGCAGAATTAGTTGCATGAAATTGGAAAGTATGGACTTCAGGAACTTTAAAATTGAAGCTTTTTAACTGTATACAATCATGTATACGGATTATTAACAATATTAAACTTCGGACTCTTTTTAAAAAAATAACATAGGATATTCATCGAATAAAGGGATTTGTCTCACAAGACCTTGTTGAAAAACTGTTAATGTTTTAATAATAGTTCATGTCATCTTTGTATAATGTAATGAATAAATATAATAGACAAGGTCAAAAGTGGGCAGTTTAGATTTTGATCTCCAACATGGGCTCCCAACATGGCTAAACCATTAATTATCCAACAGACTTCAAAGTGAAAAGTACTCACCAGGCACAAGAATACTTTCAAATCCATCATCTCTTCCTATACCAAGCACATCTTCATAAGGACAAAATTCAATAGTTTCAGCTGGATGAGCCAGCTTGTGAATAAGATATGGTGATTTCTGAATCTAAAAAACAATTATATTCTGATTGCGATATTGAAATAAATAAAAACAAATGTACAAATGTCATAGTGACAGATATTTTAACCAAGTTTCGAATTTAAAGGATGCAAGTCACGAAATTGACTACAACAATAAATGAAACTAGGTGGGTTTATGTTCTACTAATGGGTCAGTATAATAGTGTAAAGTTATTTATGAATATATTTTCGTATAAAATTTATAAATCTTGTGTCATATTTTTTAATAAAATATAAATTAAAAATCAAATTGCAAATGAGGCAGGTTCTTCTTTAGCTGCAACAAAACCAAGACATATTCGGATACAATCTGAATCAAAACTGATATATTCTTATATGCAATATCGTGGATTTCTGATTGTCACAATATCAAAATCATACCATAATTTGACCACAACGAATGTCCAAAAACAATAGATTATCGTAAACATAATTTAGAAACACCCACATTCAGAAATTATTTCATTACAGTCATTATCACTAGCAATAACCTGTACCTCTCGGCAGGGATCACGATATACTTCTACAATATTACTGCATGTTGCTGATAATAAACCACGCTGGCTAAACTTGAGATTTGAAGGACTGGACATTACTCGGTATGCATGTAATGGACGATATGTACGAATATCAAAAATCTTCATTTTTCCATCTTGTCCAGATGTAGCCATGTATCTAAAAATATTACTTTAGTTTTTATTTATTGTTTTGCTTTGAATAAGATTCTGTACAAGTTATTGTTAGGAAAGATGCTACTGTAGTATGAAATATATTACACCATGGCCTAGGTGTTGAGCATATGATTTGAACTTGAGATTTTTATCTTGATGCCATCATAGTTGATGATCTGTATCTGTTATAAATCATTGTACAAATTACTGTATACCGGTAAGTATTAGATCAGTATTAGCAAAACTTTCATTTTCAAACAGTGGGTGCAGTGAACAAGCATATGACTGTTAGATATATTCATTCACGATAACATCACAATGTACAAATTTTGGTTCAAATTTCATGCCCATCAACTTAACCAGAACGTAATAAATTAGGCAGGCATACCCGAATAGGATTCTGATCTTCAAAACGAGGTACGGTGGGTGGTTAAACAGTCATTTAAAGACTAGACGTCATCTTAAAGATGATTACACAAGCAATGCAAAACACATAAACAAATGTGTTGTATCAAGAAATGGGCGAATTTTAAATAAATATTTGATCAGGGGGTTATTTTTTACGAGTAATAATATAAATAAACACTCATGAGTGAAGGAAATGGATTATTCAACACATGTGCCACTAGAGCTACGTTAGCTTCTAGGAAAAAAACAAGAATGAAAGACTGATTTTGAAATTACCATAAATATCTAATGACAATCTCCTGGGAACAACATTGTATAAATAAGCACATCAATTTGAAGTCATTAAATATTCATTAATATATGTTAAGCCAAATTACATCATACGTAAGCAGTGGACCAGATTTACATTTTGTAATTACCGTATATCTTGAAATAAAGGTAAGCTAAGAAAATATGTAAACAATTTGATAATATGCTTGCTTTCTAGTATTGAACATGCGCTGCTGCTTAATATTATATCCCGTTCCATAAAAAACCTATTTATTATTGAATGATATTAACAAAACCTTTTTTGAGAATCAAAATTGAATAAATCAGTAGATGAAAAGGACAAATTGGGTAACATTTGCAAGAATAATATATTAATATTGTTTATCAAGATTCTTTATCAAGAAATTCTGAAAAAGTGTTCTAAATTTAGAGCAACTGGCAGTGATTTTCCAACAGCTTAAATAATTCATTTGTGGGAAAGATGCAAAAGCTGGTTCCATGTCAACTCAATGCCGCTAATTCCACAAATACTATCTTTGCTGCAAGTAAATTGGTACACCGTGTCAAAATAGTAAACAACAGAATGCAGTGACCATTGTAGTTATGTAACTGAATATATACAAATCTTTGCCATGATAGTATTTTTCTCTACTGTTCAATAATTTCAAATTGCAAACATCTCGAATTTGTGTACTGCTCTTTACTTGGTGATCCAAAAAATAAATAAAATCAGTTCATGTGGAACATATTTTAAGGAGAACAAGGAGTAAACCACAGAACGTAAAGACAATTGTACATAAAGACACTAATATGACTGAATATATACAAATCTTAGTCTTATTAGTATTTTTCTATACTGTTCAATGATTTCAAAAGGCAAGCATCCCAAATTCTTGTACTGTTCTTTACAGGGTGATCCAAAAACAGTTTATTTAGAACACACCCTACATGGAATATAATTTTCGTGATAACCGTCCTAGATTTCTGAAAATTTTTGGTACAATCATACCAAACAGAAGTTCAAGTGTTAAATAAATTTTCCTATTATTTTGGATGTAAATTTTCAAGTTGTGCCTTCATTACTTTATAGCCTATTAGCCTATTAGCTTTCTCATCCATTGATAAGTAGGTGTAGATATAATGTGGTATAAGTGAATACTATTTGGAGATACCTTTGCACTGAGCCTACCTAATACTGTTACACACTAAAATAATGGTGTGTAAAAATAGCATATCAAATAAATAAAATACAACTGGTTAACTAACTATTATCATTCGTTTCTTAGAAATTCGTAACTAAAAAATCTAAATAGCCACACCAATTTAATATTTATAAATATTTTAGTACTGGCATTCTCTTCCATCTTCTAATCACCAAATATATTTTTTATTAATGAAAATTGGATACCTACTAAGTATTTTTAAAACTATTAGAATAGCAGAGGCATATGGTAACTAAAAATATACAATTTGCTTCATTCAAAATTAATGAATGCCTCCAATTGTGATTCTTTGCCGTAGGTTTCCAAATTTGATTTATTCCAACACATTCGACATAGATTATTTTAAAAATCAACAGACTGCTTGGAATATCGGTTTTCAATCCATATTTCACAATCCTCGTTGCAGACCAGAATAATTCAGATCCAAAAAATTAGAGTTAAAGAGTGAAAAATTACTTTTTTTTCATAAGAAAATTAAACAGCTACTGAAACTATAAAGAATTGTAGTGTAGAAAGATCCAAAGAAATGATTAAGTTAACGAGTAAAAAATTACATTTTTTCCATAAGAAAACTAAACAGCTACTGAAACTATAAAGAATTGTAGTGTAGAAAGATCCAAAGAAATGATTAAGTTAACGAGTAAAAAATTACATTTTTTCCATAAGAAAACTAAACAGCTACTGAAACTATAAAGAATTATAGTGTAGAATTGCGCATTAGTAAACACAGATTGATGTGAGACGCAATCCATGTCCACAAGAATAGGCTTGGCAATGTGGCACACCGTGCTAAGCGTTAAGAATACGCTCGTCACCGCACCTCTGATTACCCTGCGTGGGTTCAAATCCCATGGAGGGATAGTTATGTGCAAGAGGATTGCTGGACTCCTCGCCGCTGTCGGATGGGTCACTACACGTAAATCCTGTCCTTGACAAGTGCTATAAGGTAGTTAGTGATTTTTAAATAACTGAAGTTCTTGGAAAAAATTCTTTTATGCGCAAAATGTTTTTGTGTAGGTACACTGACATGGAACGGAGAATGTTCAGCCAACTGAGTTTTTCACATCTAAATTTTTTTTATGAAGGAACAAGTTCCGAAAATTCAGAAAAACATAGCCCTTTGAAAGATCTGTAAAATAAGGACAGCTACGTAACATTTTGTTAATGGGAATGAGTTCCATACCCCATTTGACTATGATTGTTTTAGAAATTACCACAATATTTAGGTATATTGGTTTTCAATCCATATATTACAATCCATAAAATGTCCAAAGAATTGATTCTGCTAAAGAGTGATGAATATACATTTAAAGTATGCTTTGAATAATGGTGGAACAATTTGGAATATTTTAAATTAAAATCAATATTGTATCTTAGAGCATCCTTTTGCTAGGGTTGTTATGGTTACTGCAAGTAACATCGCAGAAAAAGCTTTTTCCAATTTTCAAATCTGACCTCACAGAGTTCAAGCATGCAGTGTCAATTTCCATCTTCAAAATTAATATTTTATGACTTAGATAGATAATAGGTAACAACATAACACAAAAATCTAAGCCTGTCCAAGCCGATACAAGGGTTAACATGGTGAAGGGTGTATTTTCTATGATGACATAGAATATGCTTTTTTCACACCCAATATATGAAAGATGCCTTTGGTTTGATAAACTTTATAAGCACAGCTTTCTTTTCCTTCTTTTGTAATATTCCTGTGTGGATTTGTAAATCATGTTTATGGTTACTATATATTATGATATGCTTTGTAAATGTAAGAATTGTAATATTCTAGTCAAGTCATTGCAAAATAAATTTGTTTGGTATTGCTGTTATGTTATCTTGTTTGTCTGTTTCACAAATCAAAGTTATAATCCAAACAAAATTTTTTTTTGCATGAAATCCTCATCGGAAGAAGTTAATTGGTATTAAATAAATCCAATGATGAGTTTCAGACTTCATCAAAAATATGCTTTTTCAGATTCAAGAGTTTAATAGCAGCAAGGGACACATCCACTTTTCCATTTGAAGCACTGATGCCCCAAAATGAGCAAAAAATTATCATTTACGCTACGCGATAACTTTTCCATAAATTACCGGTACTTAAAAATGCAATGTCATGACTATGTTGCTGAATATATTGCAGTTAGAAGAAGACTTGGAAGCCAATGTTCAAAACAGTGGAGGCGGATGTGCCAAAATGTAAATAAATTAGCCGGTGACACAAATTTGTTAACGAATAAATCATTGCATAACGCATGCATGAATTGTTACTCATCCCCCGTGCAAACCGTTTGTTGCTTTTCTATCACTTCCTTTACAATAGGTTAGCAAAATTACAAGAATTTTTGCTCAGTGATGAAAGAAAATGCAAAAAAGCAATCAAATATTATTACTGACGTTCTAAGACGTAAATGAGATGCACATCACAAGGAATAATCAGATGGATTATCATGATTAATATCCTTCCTTCCTCATTAGAGATTCAAGTCATGTATTGACATAAATATTACTCAAGAGACGAGATATCAGTTTTTGTAGGGGAAAGTTGATCAGAATGGAAGATTTTGATTTGTCAGTATAATGGTATAGAAAAACCCCACTGTGTGTTGTTCTCAGGCATGGCCAAAATTGAATAACTTTCCATTCCGAATATAATTGAAATAACATTATTGAAAAAGAAATATTGGATATATTCCAAATCGAGACACGTTTGGCAGGGAAATTTGAACAAATTATCGTATAAATGAACTTGGTAAATGCTGAGAGGAACATTGTTATGTTTGCAGTGCCAGAAGATAAGTATATTTATTTTTGGATCCAACACCATATGTTAAATGGCCAGAATATTCTTCTAATCAAGAATTCATAATATCAAATATAACTGATATTGGATGGATTTGAACACCCCTACACTAGTACTCTTACTACTAAAACTAAAGTTTGTAGTCTGGGACGTTTTATGAAGTGAATTTCGTTAATATCACGACTCCACCAAATAGTAACATAATTAAAGTAGGCCCATTCAAAGCCGAGCGCACGAAGCGATTCTAGAAAAGTGAGCGTGATGGCCTAACAGTTAAAGCGTTAGACTCAACAGTGTTCGCATCACAGGCTACACAATGCTGAATCGGAAAGATTATGGTCCTAACATAAATAGTAGCTCCTTACATAACGTTATATATGATTAGCTGCTTCTATGTGTCCTTGTTTGGAGTGAATGGCGTGAAAAGTGCTTTTTAAAAAAGCTAACTATTTGCATACAAACATTCATAATTTCACCACTTACAATCCAGTTTTATCCACTGCAATAGCTCTGATAGCACTTTTGTGACAAAGCATTTGTACAAGAGGTTCTTTCATATTTGGGCTCCACATTGAAACGGTTCCGTTATGATGTCCAGTTAACATGATTGCGTTGTACGGATTTTGTGCAAGAACATTGAGTCTTCTTCCTTTGGTTCGTATTGATGCAATATTCTTTCCAATTGAAATATCAAGGTAATGAAGAAATCCTTCATTTGTCTAAAAACGGTAATTATGAAGTAAAGCGTAAGTTACTCATGTATATTGGAAGTTTGTCCTTATTGAAACTCCTTCCTTTTTAATTAGGTATGATCACACAAATTAGTATAATTATTTTGATAGTTTAGATTCAGGTTTTCTCAAACTGGGCCCTCGGCCCGCCTAGGAGGCCACAGGACTACGAAGTGATTCCCTGGGGGCCACAAGCAAATGCTTTCAGTAGATACTATTTGCGATGACGTTAATTTAAAGTAAATAAACTGATTGATAAAATATTTGACTGTGTTGCATTTTTTATTTCACTACATCCGGGAACATGTTAACAACAAAAATAGTTTTATTTTTGAACTGCTGGGGACCACATAGTGTTGAAAGTCTTTAGAATTGGGCCATGGATCATGAAAGTATGAGAAGCACTGGTTTAGATCGCCCTTTCCAAAACTATTTCATCTTAGTCAGAACTAGATATTTTTACTGCCTTCTGCTGGAATAATTTTATTTCAGAATAAATGACTATGAAATGTATTACAAAACAAAACCAACTTTTTTAACAGTGCATGAGTGGCTTCATACAAGAAAAGATAGGAATCATGGTGATAACATCTATATAAAAGAAAAAAAATAATTTCCCGTCGGAAAATATTCCAATGCCTATACCAAAAGGTAGACAAACCTTTTTAATAATGTATAACAAGAATGATATTTTTGCCAACTTCAGATATCAAATACAAAAGACAATACATCACATGCTTCACAGCGTTATGAAAAATTTACATGGTCAACATCGATTTCACGTTGTCTCAAGATATAAAACTGATACGCTGGCCCTTTGAGACCCGATGACAAGTCTTGCGATGCATCGAGTACATTGAGCGAATGAGAGCATTAACATGCATTATTCAAAGACTTAAAATTAGCGAAATAGTGACGGACATATAAATAACGCTATGTTTTTTATAGAAAATTGTTTTATTCTGAGAAAAGACTTTTGAAGGACGTATATTTTCAGATTAGACAAATTGAAAAATTTTATTGAAGGATGGTAACCTGTTTTATAACTTTTAATAATTCATTTCGAATCGGTTTGCTTAGTATTTTGGTCACAGACAGTTAAATATGGAGACAGTTACATCAATTGCAACTTTCCTACAATTTCACACTATTGACAAAAGGCCTTTAGCCTTTAGTATTTTATAGATTTGCCAATGTGACTAACCTGGGTTCTGATTCTTGGGTCACCATCATAGGGCTTAGTCAATTTTTAAATATAAAATTGAAAAAAAAATGGAGTTAAAATCGTAACCGCAGACAGGTGATGGAATGAATTTGATAGCTTTTGAGATTACCACTTGTCATGAAGTAAACGAATGAAATAAACATTCATTTGAAGTGCGTCAGGTGGAACAATTCATCGTATTTCGAGTAGTGGCATTTTTTCTATTTTCAAAGGACCAAATGTGGGTAGAATGAGCTTCGGGTAATGTAGATTTAAGAAGATTTTTTTGTTTGTTGTAGGGGACTTGTTGACTTAGGTAAGATGATTTGCAAGTAAGATATTTGCAAGTCAGATTTTGTTTCATCAGGTATAGAGAGGCTGTTCTTCAAAACACAAAGTGACACTTGTACAGAGTGACCCTAAAAAAAAACGGGACCCATAAATTTCTTAATTATTTCTTTTTCGAAAATGAATAATTTCCAAATGGGTTCTGCTCTGTTCTGTTCTTAGGGGCGACTCGGAGAGCAGATTTAGTTCACTATAGTCTAGTTATTTGATAGTTTTTTGCTTTTGATTGAATAATTGCAGCTGAGTAAAGTTATATGATCTTTTTGTTGAAGAGTTAAATATTTGAATCACCTTAAAAGTTCTAAGCTAGAATAAATTAATCCAATTAGGATTAATGGTCCTTTTTTAATTAATTTGTAATAACTTAAAAAGATGAATGCGTCACTCCATCGATATATTAAATCAGGCAATAGTAACTGCCAAACGAGGAAAAAACTTAATTCATCAAAAAATCTAAAATATAATGGACGTGATTTAACAGTTCATTTATAAGTTTATTACATTCATGTCTTATAATACTGACATCTTTCATTGATGTTTTTTTTTATGTGATAGAAATCTTTTCAGTACAAAGGAAAGAACCCCTCTTTGTATATAATTGATCTTCAATGAATTTGTTGATTTTTTTTTTATATTATTCCTAATTTGAAACATATTGTTCAATTTTGCAATTTAAGCATAGAGCATATTAATATCATAATTCATAAAAAGCTCATGTAAAAAAAATATATTGGCCCCAACAATCTGAAGTAATTTCGTGAAAAGTAATAAATGAAGTCAAAAAACTTAAATAAGCACTGATTAAAACAAAACAGACCTGGTTAAGATATATTGAGAACTGTCTCCATAACAAAATCGAAATTGTGAGGGGACTTTATGACACTCTGCATATCAAATATGTGAAAAATGCTTTTGACCTTCCAATCCATGCAAAGATAAAGCATTCATCATAAAAAATAACATCTTACCGTTGACACTAATAAAAAATGATAGGGCAGATAATCAAGACGAAGAGGTTGATGCATGTTTTTCAAACAATGAAGTTCAACACCTTGATTGTCATATACATAAACCCATTTTTTCTGAGCGACGGCGAACATATTTTCTGTGTGCAGCCATCTGTAAGAGAGTAGAAATAAAAGGTTAAGTTTCTTCAAGGATAATTTTTTTTTGTGTCTGATAATGTGAGATATTGTCAGTTTACATAAGGGCTACGAAGCCCTTTCAGATAAACGATAATTCGATCTTTTTTGTTCTATCACATATAGACCAGTATATGGGAATGAGATGAAATAATTTGAATAAACTTTCAAAATTTAGGCAAGGTTTTATAAAAAAACAAGATGGAAGGTTTAAATCAAGGTGAGGACTCAAGACGAGTCAATGACTCGAGACGAGGAGAGCATTTGGTAGAGTATAAAAAAGAAAATCGCTGTCATTGCCGCGAGATCATGCATAATAGCATCAATATAGGTTTAATAATCAAATTTTTAATTTAATCATGCTTAGTGATATATATTCAATAAATATAAAATTCCATGTATGGTTTCCCAGTATTCATATAATGAATCAACAGGATAGAAAAATCACATTTGCTTTAGGTCATGGTAATGGCATTCGTGTTATATAAAGCATTACACAAAAAATGGTTGTGGTTGTGATTGAAATCTATATTGAGATTGCTATCAACCGAAACACAACAAATATCCATTTTAAAGCTGCAGAAATAGCTTTATTAAAAAAAAACAGCAGTGTGTTTTTCTATCATATTAGTATTAATCATGCAATAAAAAAATGGAAAATCAATCATAAAAGGTCAAGGGTGACGTCATATAAACAGGAAGTGTTTTATAAATAAATTTTATGTTTTATTTTGGTTCCAATTTTCAACATCATAGATTGTAGATAAAAGCTTTTGGTCATTAAAAATCAGTTAGGGAGGTCCTCAGGGCTGCTGATAAATTTTTTAATGGTGATTTGTCGTTTAATTTTATCATTTGTCATCCGTGAAATGTTTTCATTTTGAAGTTATGGAAAGCTATTTAATTTCAGGCATGCATAAGAAATGATCTGCGGTTTTGCATAGTGCAACACTGAAGATAGCAATTTTTATACTAAAAAAACCCAAGGACATTAAGTATTACTTGTGATAGTAAGTAAGACACGTGCGTGTTAGTAGCAACAAAAAATGCTAATTTAAGAAAGTTTGAGGTAAAATTATGAAGCCTAATTTCTAATACAGAAATGAGTGATGTTATGAAATTTCCAATTTAATAAGTGGTAGTCATAGTTGTTACAATCACTTTCACACATCTTCGATGAAGTTTAATGCAGCGCTGCTGTAGAAAGGCAGAACAATATTTCATTCTATGATAAAAGCCATTTAAATGACGATTGGGACAATACAACCATCCATAATCCTAAATGAGGTTAAGATTTCTGTAGACTAATCAAAACACTGAACCAATGTAAAGTGAGAGAGGATATGGATAAAATCTGAATATGTATTTATATATTTATTGGATATAAGTATATCGCCGACAGAAACAAAATGTATGTATTTGCAGTGAAATTATCTGTTATGATCTTAAGGCAATGCAATTTGAAAGAAAGAAAAGCATAACAGTACATATAACCTGGTAGGTAATTAAGGTTCCTATGATTGGATAATTATAAATAGGAAAGAAGTGTAGGCCTATTCTTAATTTGGTTTTTGATTATTGATATAGCTGTTTCTTTGTAAGGTAGTCTGAGGAGGGATGGAGAAAAATAATAATTTCAATATTTCAAAAATCCTTTTTGTTACTGAAATGCTCCCCCGCCTTGATTTTGATTCTAGTCCTTACCTCATTAGAAAATTACAAAAAAAGGGAATACCAATAAAAATGGAATTTTATTCATATTTGCTCAAGGCAAGATGCTGGACAGCTGTCCATTTAAGGAGATGAAAAATTTAAAAAAACCCAAAAAATTATACTGTAATAGACTGCTATAAAGATAAAGTTAATATTTGGTTCTATTTACGTAATTTTTTCGATTTTGTAATTAAATAAAATTGTTATATATGATAATATTAGTCTCATAAAAATAATCGTTTTTGAATTCTAGATATTTGGAAGTTTATTGATCAACCTTAATAAGATATAGGAAACTGTTTGCCAATCTTTATGTGTATTTGGTAAAAACCTGATTAAATATTTTGTCTTGTTATTGTTGTTCGTTTCTAATCTTTTGCTTACGTATGACAATTTATTGACAACGCTTAGGAGAATTATATACAATCGAGATTGAGCTGTTGTAAAAATAAAATTCGGTCCATCTCCCAATCATACTAAACAATATTCCTATAATGATTGGGCTTCAATGTTTTGACAACCCCCTTTTCGTCATGTCAATGATCTTTTTGCGTGCTTGACATTTATTAGCTGTTCTCGTCTTTCGCACCCAGAGTACAAAACAAATCATTACTAATCGATAGTTTTTATCTAAAATAAACATAGGAATGGTATTCTAGAAATTGGAAGTGGTTTGGCTCGAGCATGAATCGATTCAAAAATTTGTATGGATCCAATGACATAAACGAGGAAAGATAAAAATAGCACTCAATTATATTCACATTAAATCTCTTTAGCGATAGCTATTATGATTAATTTTGGATATTTTATGGGTGACTTAATAGAAATCGTGATATATCTAATTTACCGCTATTATAATTTTGTTTATTTATAGCATAAAAGAGATAAGCTTCCAGCACAGATGACATTATGTTATGTCTCGTGCTATAGATATACTTCAAATCTATTTAAGCAGAGAAAGGTAGACAGCATCAAAAGTGAACATGAGAAAATCTACTTTACAAATTATTAGATAACAGAGACACTGGTAGATAGTGAATAGTGGTGTATATTATGGGGGATTACAGAAATAAACATATTAGCTAAAGAAAGAAAATAAATTGTACTCTGAAAGTTTTATTTTTCACAAAAATTCGATTTCTTAGATGCCATGGTTTCCTAAAAACGTTTTTGTACAAAGACCCATGCTGGAAGGCAACTTCCTCATGAGATGGAATAGAAGGCTCTATCTGGCAATAAAGAACAACAATCCTAGCTCTTTGGTACTATTTTCTCAAATATATCAATTCTGCATCAAATAATATTAAATGATAAAGAGAGTATAAATATACAGTTCATGCATTAGGACAGGACAAAAATCAGATGTATGGCACAAATAGACTGAAGAATATAACCCTATACAAAATATATCTGTTATGAATTTATGATATTTTTATATCTTGGAATAAAACATGGAAATTTACTTTATCTTTCAATTTAATATCATATCTGAAACAATGACAAAAAATTGAGGAGTATGATCCAAGTTTCACGGAACCTTTTTCTATTTTTGTAATTAGTAGTTCTTTATTTTAGCTAGCTGTCAATAAGCAGATTATAAATAAAAAGTAAAACCTTACTGTATTAAAAGTGGCAATTGAAAATGACATGGTATTTAGAAACTTAAAACATACATATCACAACATTTTGAAAATGGACAATAGCATTGTAGCAAAAGTTTTAAGGTCATAGTACAACATTGTGAGGTCATAATGGAAATTAGTAAATGATATTGCTTAAATAACGCAAATGAACCACAAGGAAATAGTTAATGATCTCCATATTTGAATCATGGATCTGTGTATTACTTATTTTTGAATTTTGCTGAAAAGAAAAAAGCGGAAATAGCATGATCAGTAGAGACACACTGCGAAGATATCAAATTACCCAACAGTATAGTCCTTGAAAAAAAAAACATCATTAAGTAATTATATTAATGAGAATTACTTGACAAGATTGTTCGAATTCAATATTATTTTGCTGTTAGCAAATCTGTGCAAAGTAAAATCTAAGATGATGGGTGAACTTAATTTTAAATTTCTTTTTCGACAAAGAATGGCCAATATACACATTGCACAATGTTGATAGAGTACGGTATATCAAAGTCGTCACTCGTCATCATTCAATAAATGAGTATTTATCCAATTTCAGCTTTATTGAAACCTCATATACCACATATAAATGCGACGTTCAATTGTGGTTTCTTATTTACCCGTATAATATTCAAATCAGATATGTCACATCCACATATGAAGATTTAAAATCTTTATGAATTGATAAAATTTGAATGCAGACAAGCTTACGTTTTGAATCTCAAGTTCGAATGAATTACGCTAAAAATATCTGGAAATTTTTTCATTTTTTATTCCCACATCAAGAGCTGATAGAAATCTTCATTCAATCATCTGCGTTTTTAGTAGAAATCCACAAACCACGTTATTCAATATACTGACTATTAGAAAATTATTTAGAAAGGGTGACTTCGGGTCGATAGGGAATTAGAAAAAGTGGAGAATCACACATTTCTATTATCTTGTGTCATATGAATGAATCTATCTTTGATTTTCGTCGGCTTAATTTTGGCCAAAAGAAATTTGAAGTGTTTTAATCTATTAAATATTCTTATTTTGTATTTTCCCCAAATGATAAACTAGATCAAAGTTGACTGCGTAGACAAATTAATTCGTTGTGTAAGAAATAATTGAATAAAATCATGACAATAGTAGTAGTTTAAGAGTGCCATTTGGATATGATTTTTCTTGAGATAAGACCATGTTTTATTATAAAACAGAATTTTGACTCAAGATTTACAGGTGAAAAGACCAAGAGCATGTAAGCTTTCATTGTATCATCAATAGTAAAATTATTTACTTGAATTTATTGGGATTAGACATAGCATAGACTAGTGGTTTTCAACTGAAGTTCCGTGGCACTCTAGGGATCCGCCAGTGCAGTTCAGGGGGTCTGCTGGTTTCAATTAAAAATCAAAAGTCAATAGTATGTATATTATTTATTAGGTTTGCCACTATTATCAAACTTCCTGCACTTTGAGGATCATTTCGTTTTGTCAGTATTAGATTTGCTTTTATATATATTTATAGTTTATACAATTCAGGCAATCGAACTACTGTACAAGGGTTCCTCGAGCCAAGTTTCCTTAGGGGTCTGCTCCACGAAAAAGGTTGAAATCCACTGGCACGAACAGGAAAATTGTAGTGGATATTT